ACTACGAAGAGAAAGTAAAGAACACAGTATAGCAGTTTATAATATATGAGCAGAGAGAAAAAAGAAGAATTAGGGCAATACAACTGAAAAAACGCCTATCGTAATATAATTGCTTTATGATCATATATGCACATTTGCCTTTCAAATCGACTGTTAAAGATAAAAACGAGATTTGAGTTCGATTGTTCATATGATTCTATCGTGAACAATCAGAAGGGATTTCGTCTCGATGCTTATTTACAAGCGCATAACGATAAACAATTTTTTCTGTGTAAAGATTGATTTAGTCAAAGTCTAAGCGTTATGCGAAAATAGATTTTTCTCTCACTCTTTGTCTACCAATCGACGAGAGTGACAGTTCTTTTTCTCAACAAATTTAGTTCAATTATGCAAACTAAAACATACAATTAAACCAAATTTTGCTTTTTTAATCACTCACTCTCTATAACAAGCAGCAAGCTCGTTGAAGTCGTAAACATTTCATAGTCGTTATCAAGTGTGTCACATACGGGCAATGTAATACGCCAACAGATTGTTCGAAGTGCCGAGCATCCGCTTTCCTTGGCGATGTACAACTGATCATATCATGTAAAATGAAGAATGCTCGAATGAGTGTCAACGGGAAAAGAGACTGGCGTGTGTTTTTGAGTAGACCGAATTCCTTATTTATTTTATCCATACTGTAATCTAGTTACCTTAGATCGGTAAGAAGATTAAACGTAAATCTTGATTTAATTAAGAAAAAAAGATTAAGATTTCTTTTATGACAAAAAAAAAATTTAGCAGATGATATACTAGAATAAACATTCAAGTCAATCTATGTCCTACTTTCTAATCTACGCACAGTTGAGTTCAGGAAAGCCTAACCAGAATAGAATATGTCTCACTAAAAACATCGCGTGTTGTATTACTTTCGTCTATATTGTTTCACAATCTAATATTCTTAATTATTCTATACTATTTCACACATTATGCTCACGGTATTGTTACATATTCTAATTCACTCTGGTTTTTGCGAGTAAAAGTGCAACAGCTCGACATAACTGACTCCGCTGATTTGATAATGAGTTTTTTTGCTTACGAATATAAATAACATCTTATTCCCAAGGGTAGTGTCGCTTAGATATCTTTGTTAAATCAATTTTTACCTTCGAGCGTCTCTGTCCACGCGCCGATATCTTGTTCATATTTATCATGCAATAAAAAAATCATGTTATGCAAATAAATATACGCTGATTTGTTTGATGTATTGATGAAAAACTGCTTGTCGGCCGTTGCCTTGAACATGATCAAAGAAAACTTGTTCACATAATGAACGTGTAATTGAATTAGATGATGACAAATATCGAGCGTTTGCTCGAAATGACAATCAAACAACATGAAGTCGATCTTGTATTCAAAAGAGATTCTTTTTTTTTGTTTGCTGCTGAATGTAGTTGTAATGGAATAGAATTAGATTATCTTTTCTTAAGTAAGTTTTCGAATCGAAGAAAAAGGAGAAGCGCAGCTCTCGAATGTGAAGTACATAATTGATACGAAATGCGATCAAATTGACTCTTCTCGTCAGCTAGATCCGTTCTTGCAGCACGACGTGATATGAAACAAGTGAATTTCAATTTGTTCATAATTCAAAAGCAAACATCCGGTTGAAATTTTGAAGAAGATACAGACCCTGAGCTTCCACATACAAACACTTTTTGGAAATCACTGATGTTGTCTGAATTAATAGCATTTTTCTTGACCTTTTCCCAATGCAGACGCACGGCATGAGTTTATATCATAACAATAGCATCCTTGATATTCGGTATGATTCAACCAACATCGTACCATTTCAATTGTGTTCAGACGCGTCTATTCAAAACAGCAGTAGTGTCACAATCGAAAGCATTCTACTTTATAAACTTATCCCTATATTATAACATTGTTTACACATTAGATATTTATCCTAATACAACTCTCGCGGGAATATATTTTTACAAAAGCATGTCTTTATTATTACCAATCTATTGCACGACAAGTGATGACAGTGATATATCAACATGTGGCCAACCTTGTATAACTAATATTGTTGGGATAAGGTCGAACAGTACCAATTATCAAATGAAATTGTTAGTGAAAGTTGAGTATGTTTGAAAGGTAACTTTTATTACATAAATTCTCGTTTATTCTTCTCCTCAATTAAACAATCGCGATGATCGATTCTATCTATTTATAATTTTCTTTACCTATGTACAAAAGAAATATTCGAATAAGAGTTTGACAAAGAAAATGAACATTTGAGGAGAAAAAAAAGTTAAGAAAAAGAGAAAAAAAAATTACACTTTGCAGACATTTGAAAATCACAGGAAGAGAAAAAAAAAGAGAATAGTAAAGATCGATGACGAATAGAATATAATTTAAAGCAAAGGTTTCAATTAACTGGATCAGTTTTGACAAATGGTCGAAAATCTTTTTCGAATTGTTTTTCGAGACTCTTCATTGATTCGCTTAATTTCATAAATCGTGCATCGTAATCCTCTTCATCAACATCTTCGATTTGCCAACTTTGACTGGATGTTGAACTTGTTTCGTCATCACCTTGACCACTATCGGTCTTCGGAGTAACATCGACTTCTTGCTTGATTTCCGAGGACAATGGTTCGGATTCCGATGCATGTTCTTCGGCATGAATCTCGTTCGAAGATTCCGTTATGAAAGAAAAGTTTTCCCACTGAAAAATCAATTTAGAAGAAAATTACCAAGAAGAACTTTCTCTTACTTCGTTCGAAAGTTTCTTTTTCGGTAGAAAGCTTAATTCATGGATTAAATCGGCAGCTGGTTTTGATAATAATTCTAGAAATCAAACTCCTTGCCAAACGGATATTTTTCGAATTGAAATTACCTTTAGATTCTTCGCTGGTTGATAAATGATCTCGATAGTTTTCCAAGACACGATCCTAGAAAAGAGAATCTATCGAAATGAGATTTATTCGGTTTAAAATCACTCACATGTCGATATTCGAGAAAAGTTAAGACTTTATCCAAGGAAATATCTTTTTTTGCTGGAAAGTAGACAGTGGTCAATGCTGCTTGCAGGAACGTCCATTTTTCTCGAAGATTAACAAGATTTTCGTAGTAACGATAATCATCGAAGAACTTCTCGTTTTTCATTTGTAATTCTGTTGCTTGTCTTTCCAAACTTGGTGTCATCTTATCGAACATATTATAAGCATATTTTCGTCGGTAAGCTAACATAGCATCAGCTGATAAGAAGATTTCATCTTTCATTTGAGAATTTAGATAATCGGCATCCTTGTCGAACTTTTCTAAACATTCATCCAATCGGCCCAGCTAAAAATAAACAGATCTGTCGAAATCGAGTCGTTCATTTGATGTTCACATACTTTCGCTTGTCGGCGATTTTCGATGTACGTGTGTATATTCTTACTCGCTTTGACAATTCGATCAATAGCATCATCGACTAGTTTCTTCGCTTGTTCATGTGCATCTTTCGCTTGTTTGTCAATAAATGCCATTACTTCACTAACACCTTGGTGACGATTCATGGCCATTTGTTCCGAAATCGCGTTCATATCATCGAGAATATTCTTTCGATGGCACATAAAACATAATTGACAAAATTGTTGTGAACAATGACGACAGATCACTTCGCTGCTCAAATCGCATGAAGTTGATGCACAAAAGTTAGTTTGAAAGTTAACTGAACGCATTTTTCCTTGTGGTTCATCATACGAATGGTTCGACATGTTTGTACTTCTTCTTGGCTACGGAATAACAAATCGACGGCTAGGTCAACGATAGGAGAACTGTCCGAATAATGATCGTGTGCCTATGTATGTGTATAGATTCTCTATTTCTTTTTCTATTCGTCCATTAATGCCGGCCACCACAATGACCGAAGAGAAGAAGAAGAAAGAGTGTTAGACATCGTCGTCTATATGAACTCGAAGAAAAATGTCAGCTGACTCGTTTTGTCGGCGTTTGCCTGAACAACCAGGAGATTTAATTATACAAAGAAAATATTTTCGACGTAGTAAAGTCCTTATGTTCAGGACGATGAAGTAAACGTTAGTTATGCATAAGTTATGAAGAGAATCGAGCAAATTGAGTTCTTTCACCATATATCTATTTTAACTAATAGTTCTACCAATTTTCTCTTCATTGAAGTGTTCAATTATATCGTAATAGAGAATTTATCAATGAAATTCGCATTTCAAGTATGAACGATTACCTCTTATGATGAATTTGAATGGCCATCTTGATGTTTATCAATTGATAACGAAGCGTAAACGGAAAATGGGTTCTCCTTTCAATGGAATACTTTTCATCAGAAATTCTTGCTTTGAAATGCTCACGTGGACTTTGTTCCTGATTTCTGCAGTTGTAAAAAATGTTGTAGTTGGTGCAATGGACATGTAGTCAGTAAATCTGCTGACAGCTGTTCGTTAGTTTTCGAATTAGCTCGTTTTCGTTGAGGAATTTTTTGTATTTCGAGTGCTCAAACTTACGTCGCATGTAGAATTTTTCGATAAGCATCGTACTGTGTTAGATATACGGAAGAACTATTATTCACGTGTGATATGCATAATATTGTAGTGATTGGTGTTTAGCTTGAGGTAGGTGTGCATGGTTTAGCATGTAAATGAGGAATAACATGAGAATAGTTGAGAAAGAATCGTTCAAACATTAGACTATTATTAATTAATACTCTACAACAGTAAGCGTTTAAAAACAGTTGGAAAAGATTCATTTATGTTTCACAAATCGTATATGTCATAGTACATAAGCACGTGCCGACGTCAAAACCAAAACATAGATCAGTTATTGAATACGTCCCTCTCAAAATGTAACAAAGAACAGTTATACAAAGTCGAAATAACATCGAAGACATAGTAATTGACAAGGTTTGTAGAAATCTTTTGAATCGCTATGTTTATTCAATAAAACAAAATAAAAGTAATAAAAAGGAATGACTAGACTTCACTGAATGTCTGTTAGTTCGTTGCTGGATTTGTCAACATCTTCGGGAGATATAAAGTAAGAAAATGCGTCAGATCAACGAATAATTGATGTTGTTCAGTAGCTTGAAATTCAAAATAGATGCGAACTTTGCGAAGATTATGTTCTGTTTCTGTCATTGGTAAGAATTTCATTTCCATAGACATATACAGAGGCATTTCTAAATGATGATTTGGATCCTCTTGTAGTTTTTTACTGATAAGCTTCTCGCGTTCATAAGGCGAAGCATTTTGATGATCATTTTCAATACTTCGTTTCAATTTGCGACGATCTTGCCATGTGCGATATGCAACCTGAAAGTAAAGTTTCTCTTTTGAATAGGTTATACCAGTTGCCGGGGCTGTGAGTGTATAATTGTCATCATCGGTCCGACGCCGTTTCGACGAAAGTGTTTTATCTAATTTTTCAGCTAGTTTATTCGGCGTGACTTCGTTTGGTGGACTGGCTGGGCGTTTTTTACTGATGGTTTCATAATTAACTTGTTCGAAGAGAAGAACATCTTTCAAAATCAGTTGAATCTGATTCTCTAATTCCTGCTCGTTCGTCTGCTCGGTTTGAAATTCGATTGTGTTGGTTGAATGCGGATAATGTGGTTCGTGAGCGAAATTCTTTTGTGGTAATGATTTACGTGTTAAAATCAACGACAAACCCCACGATTTATTCAGACGCTTTTTAGAGAATTCATCGAGAACTTGACTGGCTAATGAGCATTCTTCTTGAAACTTTTGCCAATTTGATGGCGATAAATTTGAAGTTAGATTATGATCATGTTCGAATGGATCATAAATTGCGAATAATTTGCCTTCCGGTGTTTTTGTTTCAAGTTTACCAGTCCATGGTGAGAGTTCATGTTGATTTGCATTGAATGTTGAATAAAATTTGAAAAAGTTATGAAGTATTTGCTCTAAGTAAACACTTTTGAGTTCGATTTTAAAATGAATATGGAATTTACCTATGGAACCAGTTGGAATCTTCTTTTCCATTTGACTGATATCCGGGATGGAACAATTCCATGGTCCATGTTGTCGTTTATGATCTACACACGTTCATCGACTCGTTCAATGTCCAAGGTAAAAAGTCATAGTATCTTACGTGCACGTTCAGCTAATGATAGTACACTTGGTAGTTGTTGATTATCCAATTGCAATGAACAAACAACCATCCAGAATAGCGTATAAGTATTAAATCGATGTCCTTTGCCAACGAGATCCTTTTGCTTCAGCCATAATCGAATGGTGTATAACAACGAACGAAGTTTAGGTTCGTAGATGAGATAATATCGCACTAAATCCGTGTTCGCTACTGCCAAACTGAAAATTCACACTTAGTTATTGACATATTGTAATGTAGAGTTGAAAATGCTTACTGATTATTGATGGATAATTCGCAGAATATCTTTTGTTGTTTGTGACAGAATCGAACAACTGGACATCGAGCTTGTGCGATTCGCTGTACGTGACAAACATAGGCTGCAGATGAGCGAAGTAAACGACGAATACAATCGAGCCGATCTGGGATTGACATTTGAAGAAGTTCATCAACGGAATAAGTCGATGTTTGAAGTGTAGGTGACAACGATCGACTTGATGAACCATCACTTACATTTCGTTTGAACTAATGAAATTCAAATTACAAATCGATTGATTCAGCTAAAGATGACTGACATACCTTATTTTGATGAATATCTATATCATTACTACAACTGTTCTCGTCGATAGTCATCGATTCGCCACTATTATTTGATGATGATGGGAGACGTTGAGGTTCAATGTATGTATCATTTAGAACGAGAACGAGATCCATATCGGACAAGGTTGTGACTAAACTATTAGCCATTGAACCAGTTAAACATAGTTTTGCTCCTAAATTCAATCGATTGGAACGATTCTTCGTCAATGAGAAAGATTTTACCTGGAAAATGTTTGCCGAACATTGTTTCTAATTCTTTGAAAAAGTCTTCTCGTAGCTTTAAAATCTCCTCCGGAAGTTTTTCTTGTTGAACAATCGCTTCTGCTTGTTCATCAATCTAAATATTCACTTTAGAATTTCTCATAACCAATTTTTCCCGTAGTTCTCACCGTCGACTGGCTATTTAAAACTTGAATCAATGCTGCATGTTGTTCAATTTCTTTCTCTTTATTAATATTCAAAAATTCCTGTTCGCTGATCAACATTCGTTTCGATTTGAATTCATGCTGATTACGTGGTTTCACTTTTAAACGTGTACCATCATCCAATTGACACTGTTCACTTTGCTCCAAACATTTGTTCGCAGAATCAATGTTTTCATATTCAATTATAGCGTAAACATGCTGAATGAAGGCAAAACAACCATCTAATTTTCAGAAACAAATCAATGATTTTATCTCAAACCTTTTCTTTGTCGAGAAAACAGTTCTTGATCGAACCAAACCGTGAAAAATAAGTCTTCAGCGTTGTTTCATCATGATCAGCTTTGATCCGTGTTACATAGATGCTCGAATTTTGCGAGGTTTCAAATCGTTCACGAGCAGTTAACAATGCTTGATGACGTTTACCATTATTATGATCAGCTAAGACATGTTCTACAAAAGAAAAACTTCCTAAATTCGATTCTCCATCTTGAATTTATCTGAACAAACCATCGGGTACTTCGATTCGACATAATTCACAACGGAGAACCATCGTTGAATTTCTTTGTTATACGTGTGGAAGAGTTATTTCGAAAAGCTTTGCCTTATACGCTGTGTATGTGAATTATAGATGGCGTTGATAAAAATTTGGAAAGTGTTTTTTTTTCGCGACTTGAAATGCAATTTATAAAAGAATCGAAAAAAATCCATGTGAATAAAATCAGAATAAATTTTATTGGTATTTATTTTTTTTTCAATCGATAAATCAATCAATGAAAGAAAGAACGAAGAAAGAAAGGAAGCCAAGTCAAGTAAAACTATTTGTTTATTTGTTTTTGTCAAGACATTCGAGTTAACGTTCTATCTTGACAGAAGAAATCGCTTTTCGATTGGTGAAATTTGTTTATTCTAGATTATTATCTCTTTGTTAGGTGGTTTTTTTTCTTTCTCTCTCAGTTGAAGTCTACTCCTAGCAGTACTGTTCAATATGTCAACAAGGTAAGCATTCCTCATGCAACAAAATAAGGTCATATTTCGATAAACAGCGAAATAGATATATCAATCTGTGCATTCCACATGTCGAATCTCTTCATGTAGTGACGAATAGCTTATCGATAAGCTTTTTCTTGCCTTTGTTGATAGATATCCACTGAAATTTGGTCAGGTTTTGTTTTTATTGTATGGGAAGAAAGAGAGAGAATGATAGAAAAAATAAACTGATTGGTAATCGGAGAGCTCACTTGAACACGAAGGTCGAGAACATGACGAATGTATGATCTCTGAGCTACAGCACAGAATGATTTCAAGTCTTTGAGAGTATTTCCCAAATTGGTAACAAAAGAACAATGTGACTGATTCGATTCACTTCAGTATACAAGAGTGTAATTGATTTCATATGAAAAAGAAGAAATTTGGCTATTGTAATCACTTTAAAACGTTTCTTTTTTTTCTAAAGCCCTTTTTTGTTGATTTTAATCCCTTCTGCCGTGAGCATAGGTAAAACCACAAAAATGTCCATTTGCGTTTCATTTCGTCTTCTTCTGTCACCTCATCTCTCTGAAATAGCACATCTGTTGCTTTCGAAATCATTCATTATCACCATAATTTTTTCCCATTTTACAAAAATGCTACATTTCTTTTGTTCCCAAATTGGTACATGACCCATTTCTGTTTATTAAGATATATATCCCATTTATTGTAATGTTTACATATACCCCGAAGTATATATTTTAGACAGTCTCGTCGATGTAACTGAAAGTAGTCTCCCTTTTTTTTTTTATAAATCGTTCTATGTCTAGCTCATTGATTTGCGGTTAGCTTTTCCTTCGATCTTTGGTTAATAAACCAGCACATATTGTCATTATTGCGAGAAGAGAAGGCAATAGCACGACAAAAACAAAATGTGTCGTGCAACAGTTGTAATAGTAATCATTTGCTGGTACCATTTAGTATTTCTCTTCGAGCTAACGAGAACGAATGGACGACAGACAGACAAACAAACAGCAAGAGAGGGAGAGAAAAAAGAAAAAAACAGAACATATACGAGACGAAGGCGAGAAAGAAAGGCATTATCAACACACAACTACCTTTGAACGGATAGAAAGAATAGAAGAACGACGATGAACGCAAATGATTACCAACATCACCACATCTGCAAGTAGAAACAAGGATAGATAAAATGTGAGCGATATTCTTTTTCTTTACCCCGTAGATAACCGTCTGACCGATGGACAAGCGAATAAAAACATATACACTCGACATAGAGAGAAAGAGAAAAGAGAAAGAGAATATACACTATTGCTTCTCTATGCATAGGCCAAGAATTCATTGTGAGATATTTAACGTTAAAAGCAGAATGTAAGAAAGGCAGCAGCAGAAGCAATGGTCGATACAGCATCATATCATCAACAACAAGCATAGTAAGCTGAATCGAAGAAAAAAAAATCTTCTCTTCCCGGTTTTTTTTTCTTTCATTAATTCCCATCCGAGAAATCATTTAGTTGAATTGAAGCAAAAGAAAAGCATTCGCATTGATCTATTGAGTTGTCTGTCCGAGAACACATTCATCGTATCATCGACTCTTTATTGGACATACTCATCTTCTGTTATGATATAAATATCTCTATGACTAGTAATTATCATAATATTTTTCGTCTACTCTAGTTTGGACATGTCGCCAGTCACCGCTAATGGTATTCATCATCCTCAAACGAATGGTCATAGTTCTCAACATGATCAAATTCCATTTAATATAGATCAATTAGCAGCTGATTTCGATTTAGCTGGCCAAGATGAATGCAATTCATCGGCTCGCATGTTCGAACGAACACGTATTCAAGTCCTTGCCGATGAACGTGGTCATGTACAAAAGAAAACTTTTACTAAATGGGTCAATTCACATTTAACGCGTGTCGGTTGTCGTATCAATGATTTGTATACCGATCTCGGCGATGGACGAATGTTAATTCGTCTTCTGGAAATTTTAAGTGGAGAACGTTTACCCAAAGCAACACGAGGCAAAATGCGTATTCACTGTTTAGAAAATGTCGACAAAGCAATTATGTTTTTACAAGAACAACATGTTCATTTAGAAAATATTGGGTATGTAACGAATAGCGATGAGAGATTCGTTTTCGAATTGACTTTATGAGAGGCACAATTCGATCTATTTGAGTATTGCTTAGATTAATTCTTCACGATGAATGTTAATACATCAATCAAAAGAAGATTTGGTTCACTTAGACTACGTGCAATACGCTTCATTAAAATCGCTTGATTTCTCCTTGAGAAAGAAATTCATATAAAACCTTTACTTTTTTGTAGTGCCCATGATATTGTCGATGGCAATTCTTCATTAATTCTCGGTCTTATCTGGACAATAATCCTTCGCTTTCAAATTCAAGACATAACAATTGAAGAATATGAATCAACGGAAACGAAATCTGCTAAAGATGCTTTATTACTTTGGTGTCAAATGAAAACAGCTGATTATCCCAATGTTAATGTTCGTAATTTTACTTCCTCATGGAAAGATGGCTTAGCATTTTGTGCGTTGATACATAAACATCGTCCGGATTTGATTCCGCAATTCAAAACATTAACAAAAGAGAATCCAAATCACAACCTACAATTAGCATTCGACATCTGTGAAAAACGCTTAGGTATTAGTAAATTACTCGATCCCGAAGATGTCAATGTTGAATATGTCGATGAAAAGTCCGTTATTACATATATTGTAACATTATATCATTACTTTTCCAAGATGAAAAACGATAGCGTACAAGGTAGACGCTTGGCTAAAGTTGTCGGTTCGGCACTCGATTCAGAAAAAATGGCTAACGATTATGAACGATTGGTATCGGATCTTTTAACATGGATTGAACAAACTATTCGAGTATTGAACGATCGTCAATTTCCTAATTCACTCGGACGTGTGCAAGAGAAATTAGTTGAATTTAATCGATATCGTGTTATGGACAAACCAAGTCGCTTTGCTGAAAAAGGAAACTTAGAAGTTTTACTATTTACATTGCAAAGTAAAGAACGTGCCAATCAACAGGTACCATTTCAACCACGGGAAGGCAAAATGATCTCAGATATCAATCGTGCATGGGAGAATTTGGAACGTGCTGAACACGAACGAGAGTTAGCATTACGAGAAGAAATTCTTCGACAAGAACGATTGGAACAATTAGCAACGAAATTCAATCGAAAAGCTGGCTTAAGAGAAAAATGGTTAACCGATAGTGAAAAGCTCGTTGCCAGGTAAATTAAATTCATTGAATCTATCTGTAGCATAGTCGGAAGAATTCATTTAACATAAATAAGTGTTCTGATTAGATGATGAATCAAGAGTAAGTCTTTGTGAAATCTCCTCTCAAACATCCGTACTCCGAAGAGTGATCGATGTGTTGGTGTAATCTATTAGAAGGTAACTGACAGCATGCAATAAATCTTTGCTATCATTGCTTATTGCTGTAAAAGGAACCAAGTGTAGTAGTCGGCAGTCCATTCGCTTAAGTACAACATGATAGAAACGATAATATTTAGTTTTGAATGAGTTAATAAATCTCCTTTGATCTGTATTTTAGTGATCAATTTGGTACAGATTTAGCTTCGGTTGAGGCAGCTTTTAAGAAGCAAGAAGCTATACAAACAGATATTGCAGCATTCGAAGAACGCCTTCAGAATATCATGGCGATTGCCAATGAACTCAAAACTGAAGATTATCATGATTATGCAACAATCGAAGCACGAAAAAAGAACGTGGAAATGCATTGGGAATACTTGGTCGGTCTAGTTACTAAACGACGACAATGTCTTGAACTTGCTTATAATTTACAACGAGTTTTTCAAGTAAGAATTTTTCCTAGTCAATTGTTGCCTAAGAAATGAGTATTTCTTTTCCAGGAAATGCAATATATCTTCGAATGGATCACCGATTTAAAATGGCGATTGAAATCTGATGATGTCGAAAAATTCGTCATGTCCGCCGATGATCTTCTTCAGCGACATTCGTTAATCGAAGCGGACATCTATGTCATCGATGAACGTTTAAAACGTGCTATAACTGATGCCGATGAGTATCTCAATCCAGATGTGAACATCGATGGTTATCGTCCAGCAACACCGGAAGAGATTGAAATTCGTATTCATAATTTACAAAAAGCTTACGACGAATTGATCGAATTGGCACGAAAACGTCGTGATGTTCTCGAACAAGCGAAAGTTCTTTCGAAATTCTATTCCGATGTTGGCGATGCAGAATTATGGATTGATGAAAAACAACAAACGATGACATCACCCGATGTTGGTCACGATGTCAATTCAACAGACAGTTTAGCAGCGAAGCACAAACTAGTCGAAACGGATATGGCTGCCAGGTAAGGCGCTTGGATTTCGAATATTGAGTGAACTTCAAAACATTTTCATTGTTAGATTTGGTCAAGTAGAAAACTTAACAAATCAAGGCGATAGTTTGATCAAACAAGGTCACTTTGCGGGTCCGAAAATCAACGATCGATTGAATATCTTGAAATCCAAATGGGACAATCTACTTCAAATCTCATCAAATCGTGCGAATAATCTCAACGAAACGCATAATTATTATCAATTCTTCTCCGATGCTGACGATATTGACACGTGGATGCTTGATATGTTAAAACTTGTGTCAAGCGAAGATATTGGTCGGGATGAATTATCTGCTCAAACACTATTGAAAAAGCACAAAGATACACAAGATATGCTGGATAATTACCGACAAATGATCGATAATTTGAAAACGAATAATCTTCAAACACTAACAGCAGAAAAACAAGCACTACCGGATGTTCAACAGCGTCTTCAATCGATCGAACGTCGGTATACAGAGTTACTAGAATTATCCAAATTACGTAAACAAAAATTACATGACGCCATTTCATTATTTCGTCTATTGGCTGACGCTGATAATGTCGAAGCGTGGATCGAAGAAAAAGAACGCTTTTTAGCCACATTGGATCCAACTCAAGTGAATGACATTGAAGAACTCGAAGTGATTAAACATCGTTTTGACGGTTTCGAACGTGATATGAATTCGACCGCATCAAAAGTTGCGATTGTTGGTCACCAAGCACGAACATTAGTACAAAATGATCATCCCAACTCTCAAGAGATTTTAGATCGCATCAATCGATTAAATCATAACTGGGCTCAATTACGGCGATTGGTTGATAAAAAACGTGAAGATTTAAGTTCAACATTTGGTGTGCAAACCTTTCACATTGAGTGCAATGAGACCATCTCATGGATTCAAGATAAGATCCGCATTGTTCAATCTACTGAAGATTTAGGTAAGATTTCTAGTCCATATATGCTTTTATCGAGGGAGGATATTCTGTACGCTGTTGATGATTGACATATGTTGATTTTTAGGTCGTGATCTTGGTGGTGTAATGACAATGCAGCGTCGTCTAAGTGGTTTGGAACGTGACATGGCTGCTATTCAATCTAAACTTGATCAACTGGAATCTGAGGCATCGAAATTAGAAAAAGATCATCCGGACGAAGCACAAGACATTCGTAACAAAGTCGGTCAAATCAATTCGGTTTGGTATGAATTAAAAGAAATTTTACGTCGTCGAGAAGAATCCATGGGCGAAGCGGCCGAATTACAGAAATTTCTTCGTGATCTTGATCACTTTTCAGCATGGTTAACACGTACACAAACTTCAGTCGCTAGTGAAGATATACCAAATTCGTTGAACGAGGCCGAACAATTATTAAATCAACATCAAACCATTAAGGAAGAAATTGATCGTTATGGTCCCGATTATGGTCAAATGAAAGACTATGGCCATCGGGTTATTCGTGACGCTGACACAACCGATCCTCAGTACATATTCTTACGCGAACGTTTGAATGCACTCGATGATGGCTGGAACGAACTTGATCAAATGTGGCATCAGAAGAAGAATATGTTAACCGAAGCTATGCAATATCAAATGTTTGCTCGCGATGCGAATCAAGCCGAGATTCTACTCAATCATCAAGAAGCTTACTTGGCACGGGAACGTGAACAAAAACCGAAGTCGTTTGACGACGTCGAAGTTTTAATTAAGAAACACGAAGATTTTGTTACAACAATGACAGCCAATGAAGACAAAATTCAAGGAGTTTGCTCATTTGCTCAACGTCTATGTCAAGAAAATCATTACTTAGGTGATCGCATTCTCTCTCGTGCGTCTGTTATCAACGATCGTTACGGTGCTAATCGTCAAACTGCTCTTGAAATGCACGACAAACTTCACGAATCACTTAAATACTTTCAATTCATTCAAGATTGCGATGATTTGAAAGAATGGCTGGATATGAAATCTCTTCAAGCTCAAGACGATACCTATCGTGATACCGCGAATATTCATACGAAATATCTTCGTCACCAAGCTTTTCAAGCAGAAATTCTCTCGAATAAAGAACGTCTAGTCGCTCTCAAAGAACATGCCGATCAATTGAAAGCCGAAAATCGTCAACTAATCGATCCGAACATGATCGATCAACGTATTAAAGAATTAGATGATTCATGGGTTAATTTAGAAGATATCACACGCGAGAAAGGCGAACGATTGTTCGATGCCAACCGTTCGAAGTTGTTTCAACAATCGATTACTAATCTCGATGAATTTATGTTGAATATTGAGAAACATTTATACGCTGGTGAATCTACAGCAACAACTGATCAACCCGACAGCCAATTAGCGACGACAATGGAACCATTAGAAAACAATTTAACTGCAACGAATCTCTTATTACTCAAACAGACAACCATCGAAGAAGAATTATTGAAACGTCAACAACAAGTAGACGAGTTACGTGTTCAAGCCGAGAAATTAAAACAATTAGAACCGGAAAAATCCGAAGAGATCGATTCGAAACGTTTGCAAGTCGAAGAGAAATTTTCTAAACTTCTTCTTCCATTAGAACAGAAGAAGCTTCGTTTAGAACAACAAAAACATCTTCATCAATATTTACGCGACATCGAAGATGAACAAATCTGGCTAAGTGAAAAACGTCATCTCTTGCAATCCTATGCTGACTTGATCTTTAACAATAAACAACAAACATTGATGAACATTCAATTGTTAAAACGCAAAAATGAATCACTACTAAAAGAAATCGACAATCACGAACAACGTCTTTTGGAACATTTAAACAACGAATGTACACGAATCAGTCAAGATTATCCTGCACGTTCCGATGAATTTCGTCAACGTTTAGATCAACTTTCCGACAACTATATTCAATTAAAAGAAACTATCAAACAACGACGTGAACACTTAGAATTACTCGAAAATCTCCATCAATACTATTACGATTTAAGTGAAGCTGAAGCATGGCTTGGCGAACAAGAGTTATATATGATGAGCGAAGAACGTGGCAAAGACGAATTAGCTACACAAACATTCATTCGTAAACAACAAACCATGGATCAAACCATCGAAAACTACACCGATATCCTCGGCGAATTGGATGGCAAAGCGAAGAAATTGAACGAAGATCTAACTCAATCAAGCCTAGCGCGAGACTTCGTTCACGAACAACAAGATTTGATAACGAAACGACAGAGTCAATTGGATAAATTATACGCTAGTTTGAAAGATTTATCTGTTGAACGACGACAACGTCTGGAAGAAACATTGAAACTCTATCGACTCAATCGAGAAATTGACGATTTGGAGCAATGGATATCTGATCGAGAATTGATTGCCGGTTCACACGAACTCGGACAAGATTTCGAACATGTTTCCATGTTGCTCGATCGTTTCGCAGCATTTGCTCAAGAAACCGAACAGATCGGTAATGAACGTTTACAACATGCCAACGACATGATCGATATTTTAATCGCCAACGGTCATATCGATTCTGCTGAAATCGCTGAATTGAAAGATTCTTTGAACGAATCCTATCAAGATCTATTAGAAATGATCGAAACACGTTTACAATCATTGAAAGCATCATGGGAGTTGCATAAATTCTTACACGACTGTAAAGAAATCTTGGCAGCTATGCAAGAGCGTAAAAATTCCATACCAGACGAAATTGGCCGTGATCAACAAAGTGTTCAACAATTGTTACGCAAACATCAACAATTCGAAACGGAATTAGTTCTACTAGCACAAGATATTCAACGTATTCAACAGGAAGCGAAACGTCTCAATGGAAGATATGCAGGTGAAAAAGAAGCCGAAATTAAACAGAAAGAAATTGATGTCATCACCCAATGGAAGTTATTACAACAATTTGTCGATCAACGCAAACGTCTCCTCAATGATTACGAAGATTTACATCGATTCTTCGGTTTAGCACGAGACCTACATCTATGGATGGATGGAATGATTCGACAAATGCATAATAGTGATAAACCACACGATGTCAGCGGTGTTGATTTACTTATGAATAATCATCAAAGCTTAAAAGCAGAAATTGACGCGCGACAAGAAAACTTCATTATGTGCATTAATTTAGGCAAAGATTTAATCAATCGACGACATGCACGTTCATCTGAAGTGAAAGAAAAATGTGTTCAACTGTCCATGTTACGCGATCGCGTGGATGATACATGGAACGAACGTTGGGAATATCTACAACTCATTCTCGAAGTCTATCAATTCGCACGAGATGCAGCTATCGCGGAAACATGGCTGATTGCTCAAGAATCCTATTTGAACAACGAAGAACTTGGTGAAACACTAGATCAAGTCGAAAATCTCATTAAACGCCACGAACAATTCGAAAAATCATTAATGGCACAAGAAGATCGGTTCAATGCTTTACGAAATCTAACAACATTAGAAAAGAAACGACAACAGCCACCGAGTGAACCTCGACCAAGTCGTTTAGCATTCTATACTGAAGAATTCAAAACATGGGAAGAACGCGATGCAGCACGCTTAGCAGGCAATAAAACGAAATCGACTATTGCGGAAGAACGAACGGTCACGGATGGCACTCGTCTATCAGGTAAACAACGTCCTAGTCAGGAAATCGATACACTCAATGGTAAACAACGACGATCGGAATCCGCAACACGTGTACCAACCATCAAAGAAGGCTTCTTATCACGCAAACATGAATGGGAAGGACATGGACGCAAAGCAACACATCGCGCATGGGAAAAATATTACTGTGCATTGACAAGTGATCGATTATCGTTTTACAAGGATGCTAAACATCTACGATCAGGTCGTCAAGTAAGCGATGATCTGCTCTTTGATTCATCAGCAAATGTCGCACCGGCGACTGACTACCGTAAAAAGAATCATGTATTTCGTATTAAATTACAAGGTGGAAACGAATATCTTTTTCACGCTAAAGATGATGTCGAAATGAATGAATGGATCACTGCAACTAATAGTTCAATTACTTCAACAACAAGCAGTGAAACTGCATCACCTGGAACACAAGTTCCGTCAATTGCTTTAACTTCACTTCCCACAACTAGTTCACTACGACAAACACCAGGATCGGGTAAGTTGTCATGTTCGAAATGAAAGTCTTTCCTCTCTATGAACATCTTTATATTTAGGTGTCGAAATATCTCAATCGTCTTCGGAACATGAAACAAAAGCACGAACATTACCACAACGTTCAAGTTCATCAGTTGAACCTCGTACATCATCCATAACAGACAAGAAGAAATCCAGTGGATTTTTCTCTAAGAAAAAAAAATGAACAGAGAATGACATGATCCCATATCTTCACCTCTCATTGTATCTTTGTTTCTTTTCTTCTTCACTGTTTGTTTTCTGTTTCTCATTCTCTTGATCATAATGATCTTGTTTCATCTAATGAATCGTGGTTTTCGAAACTAGACTTATTTCTCATGCAGATAATCGAAGATTTTTCTCAAGCGAAAACACAAAACACCTAGTCAACCTATCGTTTCTTTGTCTGTCTCGTTATACGAGCTTAATTTTATCCACAAAGCAAATCTTCTCGATTTCATACTTAGATTCAAACCACAAACATTAGGGATCTCTCTTTTATTTCATTGGGTTTGTTTTCTTTTCTTTTTCTCGTGTGATGTGCGTGTGTGTTTTCTTCCATTATCTACCATCATAATATTTTGCTGTGCTCAGATTTTTGTTGCTGTAGATTATTGCATTTGTCTTTTTCTCTCCTTACTTCTACATAGTTATCTTTGATTACTTTCTTTTCTGCTTTAACCTACCATTTGAAAAAAAAAAGAAGGAAGATCAAGCAAACCAAAGAGAGAAGTCGAAGACTTTTCTTGTTTCTTTTTCTTATGAACGTTCTTACGGTTGTTGCGATTATGTGTCCTGTTCGATGGTGATCATGTTTGTTTTTTTTTCTACGCTATTTTTTTCCTTCTATATCAATTGCTGCTCACATACGTGTGTATTTGTTGTTTTTGCTTTTGCGTTTGTCATCTTTCTCTTCTCTTCTCTTCTCTTTGCTAAAATTATATCATTATTACTTTCGAATAAGAAAATAAAAAAAAACAAAAAAAAAACAATTCCACTCAAGCAATAAACGATAGGATTAATTCGCTCATAGTTCGTACGGATAGCTGACACTTTTGTGCCGTTTATTTGATATATTATTCATGGGGGAACACGGTGACTTGATTTATATTTGGAACTGATACAAAAGTATGTTCAATATAATTGAATTAATAAATATATACGGAAATCTGCCTTTTTTCTGTTCTCTCCTAGCGAAGTATCATGGATCTAGAGGCTTTAATAAAGTGTAACTTCGGTTGAGTAGGAGAAAAATCTTCTAGACATCATTTACAGAAAATCGAAGTAAAGCTTGATAGTAAATAAGTGAACAGATCTTGATAAACTAGTATATAACCATGGTTACTTGTTAATATTTCTACTCAATTTGAATTGCTTTTCAATTGATTTCGTTCTGTTAACCGTAGTCTTATACGAAGGACAGACAAACTCAATAATGCGTGATGTATACGTACAAGTGGAGGTAATGTCAAAACATGCAGGTGACAAATATCGCCATCTCAAATAAGTAATTTTTATTCGTGTAGCGTTAGGTTGAAAGCATGATTGGATCAATATAATTGTACATTATTACTGAGTAAGGAGAGTATTTTCATTTGCTATGGACACTTTTAGTATCTGTGTATTACATGAATCATTGTTATCTTTAGTCTATTTATGAATATAGTCATATTTTGAAACGACGAACAACATGACCACATCATTCTTTGCTGATAAAACTCATAAAACCAAACCAAGATATGTTTATATTGGTCGACGAGATTTAAATTCTATTTGGTATCCACAAAATGTCATTCGAAATCAAAAGTATAACATTCTCACCTTTGCTCCATTAGTCTTCTTCGAACAATTTCGTTCGTTCCTCAATCTCTATGGTCTCATTATGGCATGCACGCAAATTATTCCATCCGTTCGTGTTTCACCTCTTTACACCTATTGGCTTCCAATCGGATTCATCATACTTATTGGCATGATACGCGAAGGTTATGATGATATGAAACGAGTTTATCGTGATCGAGAACTCAATTCTCAGAAGTATATTCTATTGAAAGCCAATGGACAAAAAGAAGAAATTTCAAGTTCAGATATTAAAGTATCTGATATTATTATTATACAGAAGAATCAACGTGTACCAGCAGACGTCGTACTCTTGCAAACATCGGATAAATCAGGTTTGTAGGAAAATATTGTTGTGACATGCGAATCATTTTTCAAGATGTGTAATTCAGGCAGTTGTTTCATTCGTACTGATCAACTCGATGGTGAAACTGATTGGAAATTACGAATTGCTAGCACGCTGACTCAATCAGTTGCAGATATATCCGTTTTCATAACGGATAAGAATGCATCGGGAAAAATCTATGCTGAACCACCATCATTGAGTATTCACGAATTTACCGGCGTCTTATCATGGAGGGCAGATGAGCCATTAACTGCTGAAAACACGCTTTGGTCAGGAACAGTTCTGGCGTCTGGCGAAGCGACCTGCTGTGTTGTTTACACTGGCTCGGATACACGTATGGTGATGAATACTAGTAAACCACGTGCTAAGTTTGGTCTAGTCGATGCGGAAATCAATACATTAGCAAAATTACTTGTTGCAGCTGGACTTACGTTATCTATCACGATGGTTATATTAGAAGGTTTTCAAGGTTCTTGGATACGAGAACTAGTTCGATTTCTTCTTCTCTTTTCTAATATGATTCCGATTAGTCTCCGATTGAACTGTGATATCGGTAAATTTGTTTCCTCTTGGTTCATTCAACAAGATAAGAACATACCGGGTACCGTTGTACGTACGAGTACTATTCCAGAAGAATTAGGTCGAATTGGTTATCTATTAACTGATAAAACAGGGACATTAACACAAAATGTAATGGTGTTCAAACGTTTACACTTGGGAACAGTATCGTATACGAACGATGATCGCACTGATCTGTCAAATATATTAACTGAACACTCTCGAACAGCAACGATAGAAGCATCCGAAAGTCAACAACCTATGTCGTCAACTAGTCGCACACGTAGTATACTTCGAAAGACAGAATCAATGAAAGTTTGTGAAGCAATCACAGCCTTAGCTATCTGTCACAATGTTACACCAGTATTCGATGAAGAAACAACAGCAAGAACAGTAAATTCGATTGACGACGAAAATCATTCACATGGTTTTGCATCAGATACACCAATGACTAGCACGACATCATTACACACTACAGATGGTATGGGTTCAATGGAATTATTACCACGAAAAAGTATAACATTTGTCCATGTCGAAGAAGCCTTAGACTTTTTGTTATCTTATAGGTGTAACATATCAAGCGTCGAGTCCTGACGAAATTGCTCTTGTCGAATGGACTGAAAGTATTGGCTTAACGCTTGTTCATCGTGATTTGCAGTCGTTAACCTTAAAATTCAATTCTTCTCAACAATTGCATCATTACAAAATCTTGCAAATGTTTCCGTTCACTTCTGAAACGAAACGCATGGGCATTATCGTGCAAGACGAACAAACCAATGAAATAATATTTTATTTAAAAGGTGCTGATATTGTTATGCAGAACATCGTCCAGTACAATGATTGGTTACTAGAAGAATGCTCAAATATGGCTCGTGAAGGTTTACGAACACTAGTTGTTGGAAGAAAAGTATTAACCAGCGCACAATATCAAGCATTCGAGCAACGATTAACGAAAGCACGTTTACAAACAACTGACCGCAATCGTTATATCAACGAAGTTGTCGGAAATTTAGAAAATGACTTCGAACTATTGTGCGTAACCGGTGTTGAAGATAAATTACAAGACGATGTACGACAAACGTTAGAAGTTTTACGTACAGCTGGTGTGAAAATATGGATGTTAACTGGTGATAAAGTTGAAACCGCAACATGTATCGCGAAAAGTTCTCGACTAATTGGACGCGATCATGATGTTTATATTTTCAAACAAGTAGGAACACGCGAAGAATGTTCACAAGAGATGAATGTTTTTCGACGAAAAATAGATCCATGCTTGATCATAACCGGTGATACTTTACAAATATGTTTATCGTTCTATGAAAAAGAGCTTATGGAATTGATTATTAATTGTCCTGCAGTTGTGGTTTGTCGATGTTCACCAACACAGAAAGCAAGCGTCGTAGGCTTGTTGAAAACCTATGGAAATCGAGGATTACGGGTTACCGCGGTCGGCGATGGAGGAAATGATGTTAGTATGATTCAAAAAGCACATGTTGGCATAGGTATTGTCGGTAAAGAAGGTAAACAAGCTTCCTTAGCTGCTGACTTCTCCATCACTCAATTCTCTCATATATCTCGTTTGTTATTTGTCCATGGTCGTAATAGCTATACACGTACAGCGCAACTCTCTCAATTTGTCATGCATCGTGGTATGATCATCTCCATCATGCAAGCAATATTCTCATCCGTGTTTTACTTTTCGTCGATTGCATTATTCCAAGGTATTCTACTGGTTGGTTATGGAACATTCTATACAAATTTTCCTGTTTTTGCACTTGTATTGGACCAAGACGTTCGACCGGAAATCGCTTTGCTCTATCCCGAACTGTACAAAGAACTTACGAAGGGAAGACAGATATCATTCAAAACATTCTTTCTCTGGGCTTTTATCTCAACTTATCAAGCTGCTGCAATCATGTACGGTGCAATGATCAAATTCGATGATGATTTTATTCATATTGTATCGATTACATTTACGGCATTAATTGTAACAGAATTGATTATGGTTGCTCTAACAGTACGTCAGTCATTTCATTGCTACAAACGAAAACGATCTGTTTTTCACGTTTGTTATAGGTTCATATATGGCATCCGCTAATGTTTGTCGCCGAGGCGTTAAGTTTCAGTTGCTATGTCCTTTCGCTAATCATTTTCAGATCTCATTTCGATTCGGAATTTCTCCAATCATGGGATTTTATATGGGGCGTGACGCTGATTACATTAATCTCATGTTTACCACTCGGCATTCTCAAATTTCTCCGAATCCGATTCAAACCGCCAGTGTATCAAAAGCTCATGCAATACTCAACCTTCAAATAAATATTTTTTTTCTAACCGAAATCAATTAACATTATACATTTTGTATCGATAAAATAAAATAATCTTCAAAAATAACGTCCAGCCATTCCTATTGGTTCAATATGATTAAGTACGGACTAAATCATGATATGATAGTATCACCTATACATACGATTCATGATTTTGATATAAAAACGAAAAAAAAACACATCAGTTAAAGAAGATCAGTCAAGCGTATGTTACATTCCTAGGTAATGATAACTCAATACAAAAGTTAACATTCGTTTTTCTAACGTGCGTCTTATGTTTCGTTTTCTTCTTCCGTTTCTTCTCTCCATTCGTTATGCACATATGTGTACAAATTTTCTTGTTCAGCATTGCACGGATATTCCATTTGGATTCAGATCGATGCTAACGATCAAATGTATTCAATTGATTCCTGCGCAATATGATTATCTGACCGAATATTCGATACAGAATTATTTGGTAAAGAAAAGTACGAATTGTTATGATGTTGTATCGTATGATTCGTCATCGAGGGTTCTCTTCTCAAATCAGTGTCAAGAATTATGTCCGGAACAATATTGTCAACTATTTGATTCCCAACCAAATACAACGATTTTCAATATATTTTATTCTGATTCGTCGACATATGATAGCATGAGTTCAACAAATGATGGAACACTTTCTTATGATTATTTATATTTTGATACGTGTTCGGCTGATAATCATCAACATCGAGTACTCATTATCATTGTCTTTGTTCTTGCTGGATTTATTGCCCTGACGACAGTACTTCTTATTGTCAGATGTATAATTCGTCGAAAACGCTTAAAAGAAGGCGACTGGCATCCATACGACTGGCGTTGGATTCGAGATCTGGTTCTATGTCAACATTTAACCGATGGTCATCCGCAAAATCGACCTGAGAATGAACCAAATCCATTGTACTTTATCGAATATAATACTCAACCAAGCGTCGATAACAATCGACCACAAACAACGAGTTACCATGATTCAAAGTCTCGTCCGCAGGTGTTACCGACAAGTAGCCCAAATATTGTCGTGAAGCGACGACGAAATTATGTAAATGGCTATAGTACAGACAGTAATTCGGTTCCGTCACATATCGACGGTTCATCTGGCTTGAGTATTCCAGCAAATCCATTACCGCTAGCTATAATTCACCATTCCGACAGTGGTGAATCCTCGAGCAACGATTCTGTTGATGCATCAAGTCGTTTTCACTCTCAACATCAACCTCAATCATCCATTCTCAACGCATTGAATAGACTATCTTCGAAAGCAAGCAGTGTACTAACAGGTACACATTCGTCACATGGATACGATTCGCTTGGAGAACGTATATCTCGCGAATATCCAATCATTCGGCTGTGAATCTTTTTTTTTTGTAGTCTATCATGAACATTATTATTCAGGATTAGATTTCGATCAGTTTTCTTTTCTCTTCTGTAACTACGAACAAAAGACATTATTCTTTCTTAAAAAAGAAGTCGTTTCATTAAAACATTTGCTCTCGGTACGGAAACGCCCAATGGATACAATTTTCTCGTTCATTTCTTTTTGTTCTTGAAACAGTCGGTCAACAAAGTCAAGGAAAGCAAATCTGTTTCAAACGTCACGAGTAATCTAAAATATGTATTCTATCGATCATGTTAAGAAAGAATATTCTATGGTTTCATCTGTGATGAAAATTTATTCTCGTGTTGTTAAAGCAACAATTTCATTTTCAAACTATCATCAGATTGACATAACAACCTATACATTCTTATCAACAAATCAACAAAATTTCTTTATTCGTCTGATAAATTGATATGGTAAGTTAGGTTGAAGTCGAAGAGGCAAAATTTTTGTTTGTTTGTTTGTTATAGCCTTCGAAAAACGATAAAGAACATGCGCCTAAGAAACCGCCGAAAACCGATCGACAGAAAAAAGCCGAAGCGGAAATGATGAAAACTCTTGCTACTCAATATGTAAGAAGAAAAACAAGTTCGATTTCAATTTCATTTCTATATTTCTAGAATGGCGTTCTGTCAACAAGTGACTTAAATGGTAAACGATCGATACACTCATTGTTAAACTAGCATTGATTTCTGTTCTAGCTATGAAAGAAGTCTTTGACGCATATGACAAACAAAATACTGGTATTATAAAAGTTAGTTTAATCGGTAAAATCTTTCGCAATCTTGGTTTTAATCCTTTGGAAAGTGACATTCAACGAATCATGTCCCAAATCGATCCGAATGGTATTGTCAATGTTAATGATTTACCGCTGATTTTCCTTCATTTAGATAAAGATCAAATGAAATTTCCTGACTATGTCACCGCTTTTCTAAGTATTCCATCATCCGTCACTGACCGAGAGATCGTTCCCGCTTTTCAAGTATTTGACACAGAAAATCGTGGTGTGTTAGAAGCAGATGAGATGTTAAAGCAATTGTTGAACATCGGTGAACCGTTAACCGAAGCGGAAGCCAAAGCGTTCAAAGACAATCTTAAGATCGATGAGCAAGGTTTATTCAATTACACAGGTAGATGAGAGTTTTGTCACGAAAATTTTATTTGTTTTCTTATCTCGTAGAATTTTTCCTCAAATTCACTCAACCAAAAAGTAAAACAAAGAAGAAAGGAAAGAAAAAGAAGAAGAAGAAGAAATCGAAATAAAACCAAATAAGACATTTTTTTATTTTATGTTTATATAAATACACCTTGCCGAGAAAGTACAAAGACCCAATAGAAAGAAAATGTATATCATCATCCGTATAAAACAAAGAAAGAAGACAACTATCTATTGTAAATAAAAGAATTAGATGCAGCCAATAGCTTCACGCATTATTGTACGATATTGTTCTTGAGTGATATCGAATTCACCACCGTTAACGACGCCGGGAAGTTGAATTTCCGCTGCTAATTGACGGTCTTGTGCGAGAGACTAAAAAAAACGAATGAATGAAGAGAGAGAGAGAATGTCTGGGTTGAGGATTTTACTTTAGAAAATTGAGGATTGGAGAATGTTTTCATATTTGTTTGAATAGTTGAACCTGGTAGAACACAACTTTGACATTGATTCAAGCGGTTGTTTAACTAGAGCAGAAATACGAAGGTTTCGAAATCGAACTAACAAAGTTTCGTCTTACATTGAAAGCAGTTTGATCAACTAATTTCATCTTCGTACGTATGATTTCTTGTTTGGCAGCTACATTATCTCCAGTTATTTTATAACTAGCAATTGATGAAAATAAATCCTAGAAAGACACTGAATGTTGAATACGAATGTTTAAAACAACTCGAAACATACGTTTAAGAGTAATGTGGAATTCCTATAAATGTCCGCGATTTCATTGGTTTTTGTCGACGGGGTGGGTGTATCCAATTTCGCTAATTCCGCCGATGTACGAGTCATTTTCAGATGCCATAATTCATCTTTCAAAAGACGAACAGTATTTCGAAGTGCTGCAACCTGAAAATACATATATAGATGATGTTTGAATTTCACACAAACAAGTAAATACTTCTTGATCACTTGTACTTGATAGAACAAGTCCATCACCTATTGATGGAGAACCTAGTTGACGTTGTAACGATACACGATCATCTGGTGATGGACCTAAGCGAACGGGATTAGTAAGGAGATATCACAATGGTCATCTTACTAAGCATTCCACCGGTTTTTTGTGGTCCACCGATCTTTTTCTGCATTAGATCATCGACTAATTTGTTCTTTGTTAATTGTCTCAAACGCTCTTTCAGGACGCTTTTTTCTTGTTCAAGTTGTTCGTTATCATTTTGCAAAACTGCCATAGCTTCTTCGCATTGTCTAGAAGAACGACAAGGAAGGAATTTAGATTGTTTTTCATCTTCGAATATTTACTTGATCTTCTTCTGTCCATCGACTCTGGCTTCTTCTAGTGTTTGTTTATATTTACTATCTTTCTCTTCCAATTCTTTTTGTAAATTTTCAATTTTCTTCTCGTTTAACGATAAACGAATGTTCAATTCGCTTAATTCATCATGTTTGACTTTCAACATTTTCTTCAGATCTAATAATTCCTCTTCTTTCAATTCAAGTCGACCACGAACTGAATCCGATTCGTTCATTGATGTTTTCAGTTGTTCAGCAATGACATAAATAGCTTGTTTAGTATTTTGATCAGACAATGGCGAGTCATACGCGCCTGATTCTAATGAGCTACTGATCGTGGACAATGTTGAGATCGTTTCATTCATCGAATCCCTGAAATAGTTTGTGTAATCGAAGCAAATTACTTGGACATGAATTACCGAAGACTTTCATAGGGACCACTGTCTTCTTTTTTATAGATTTTGTCACATGCTTGATAGGCAATGTTTTCGATGTCTTGCGCACTGATTCGTTCGTTAGCATCTAAATCGAACTACTGATTTTTGAACTTGTGACTCGAAACGATCAACATACCGGAAAGCATGAGAATTTGGGTAGTTAAACCCGCGCAAATTTCGTGAAATGTTTTGGCAAGTCGATCAAGATTACGAATGGAGGATTCGATCAAAGATATGGTATTGGAATCAAAACTTATCGAACGGTTGGCATTCTCATCCTGTGGTACAAGACGATTGATCTGGAAGACAAGAATGTTGTATTCGTTACGAATTTCAAATCGATCTCACTTTGGCAGCTTGAGCACGCATTTGTTCATTACTTTCAACAAGACGTTTCACAAGTACAGCAAATGGACTTTGATCACTTCCAGGCTAAATGTTCAAAGAAACAATATAGTCTTCCTTCTACATCGAATGATCAGATAAGCAGATAAACAATAGAAAACGAACATAATGTCTTCTACTCGTCACCTAACTTATACAATATATATATATATATTTCATGCATTTTACCGTTTCATATTCCTATGTGGTATGAAAATTTCTACTTGGAATATTGCTCTACAGTTCCTTCTTGTCACTTACCTTTTGTAAAAGTTGTACACGTTGAATATCAGTTTGCAGAACATCACTGCTTAGCAAAACAACGGATGTTAGGTCTCGCATGTAATTTGTCATAGAAAATTTCTCTTGATTCAAATGGCTTTTGTAAACATGCTTCGAAAGAAAAGAAATCGTCGCATTATGAAGAAGAAAGCACCGTTCGATATTTACTTCATAGAATGCAATCGTTTTGTCTAGTGTATTCAATGATAACGAATCATGTAATTGATCTTTTTGTAAAAGATCGATCAAAAAATCCAAGGACTTCTCATGAGTTAACAGATCATGGTAAGTGCTTGATAAATGACGAAGACTATCTGGATTACACACTTCCATCGCTCTAGAATTTCGATATTTAGAAAAGATGGAACAATTTGTGGCAAAAAAAGTGCAATTACTTCACGTATTTTCGAAGAATCATACGGAATATTGATAGTGACTGAGATAATTTACAAGCGAAACCCCACTGTTCTGCTCGATGTGACTTGACGACATCATCAAATGTTAACTGGTCGATTCTTTCGAATTTTTTTTGAATTTCCGTTGTTAATAAATCACATTTGGATATCAAACGATGAACAAGTAAAAGAACAAGGATACAATCATGATCAGCACCACGTTTGAGAAACTGTTCAGGTAAAAATAATGTTAAGAGATGAACATGCTTGCTTAGATTAGCCGCTTCAAGTTTATGTAATTCGCCTTCGACGACCTCGCTGTACGATTTCGCTTCAACAATCTTCGCTTTGAATTCACTGGATTGAGCGGAACCGGCGAGTTTCAATTGTTCATCATATTTCTCCATTTGTTTCTTGCTTTGATCGTTTTGAAACTATACAAATGAAAACAAAAGTTGTTTTCTCCTTCGTCAGAAAGAATCGAAATTCGAAACGTACTTGCATAGTTTTAACTGTTTCACGGAATTTCAGGATTGTACGTTCATGATCACCGATCGTATATTGCAATTGTTCAGTTTGTCGCTCTTTCTGCAAGGAAAGTTTTAAAATCAGGGATAACTGTTAGTTGAAAGCCATCATACCTCGCGAATTTGATTTTGTAACAAATCGATCGTTTCTCGAAGTTCGTGTTCAACTTCTTTAGCATTTTCTTCCATTTCTAATTGAAATGGAACGATTGAATCAAAACGAAGAATGACATGAACTCAATTTACCTTTATCCATTTCACAGAGCGATTCCTAAGTGAAACGAAAGTAAACGTCTAGAATCAGAATAGAAGTCTGAAAAGTCTAGCTTACCAAGTTGTCGACTGCTTCTTGTAACTCTCGTACTTGGTCTTCGAGCGTGAGATTTTTACTTGTTAATATATCAACCATTTGTTGAGCACCCAAACATGTATCAACCTAAATAGATTGTTTGATTCGAACAAAGATAACACGATGAAAATTTCGACGGTACTTGTTCTTTAAGATCAGCGATTGTCGCTTGCATATTTGTGATATCAGCTTTAGCATTTTCGTTCTCTTTTGTTAAGACTTTGACTTTATGTTCCAATGTTTCGCATTGTTTTTTCAATGTATCATTTTCGGCTTGTTTTGTCACTGATAAATCACGTAACCTAAAGTAAAATGCATATGATTAACTTCATTGTTGGAAATACGAGAAAAAAGAAATGTACTTGATCAAAGCTTGTTCCATTTTTGCTGTTCGTTCATCATCAATCTTTTGTTGAATTCCACTAGCAACTTGACCCGGTCCATTCAATTGTATTTCGCCTTTGATAACATCCAATTCCAATTGTACTTCTTCGAATTTTTCTTTTAATGTTGTATTCTCTAATGTAATTGTTTCGAGCTAGAACAGAATACATGAAAACACGTGAAGGTAAGCGAAACAATGTACCTTCTCTTCGGCCATCTCAAGATCCAATGTTAACGATTCAATTCGTACTTCAGTATCAGCCATTTCATCACGATAAGCTGCGAATTTTTCTCGTGTATCTTTGAGTTCGTTTTCTTGATTTTGTAATTTATCGTTTAATTCTTTCATACGTTCCTGTGCTTCACGTTTGTAACTTTGTAGCTAAAGAGTGGTGAAAGTGAATGGAGAAAGATACTTTAATTAGCCATCTTTTACTTGATCAAGTTGAAGTTTAGTACGTTCGAATTCTTTCAGTTTTTCAAGATCATCGCGGCGTTTTTTGATCAATGTTTGAATTTGCTCTTCTTGATCAGTTATTTTACTCTTCAGACTTGAAACCGCTTGTTGAGACTCTAAGGATTCGCCTGCCGCCGGAATAGATTTCCGAGAAGGATTCGTTGATTCGGCTGCAGTCGGAGTCGAAACTGGAGCTGGTATTGTTGAAGGTGGAGGCTAAAATAGAATGATAATATTGATGTTAAGTTGCAAATAGGTTACCTACCATAGTCGTTGTAGGCTTTGGTTTGACATCTTCTTTCGGTGGTGAGATTCGTTCTGTGGTAGCGGTAAGATCATTATTTGATGGACCTGACCGGGTCAAACCTTGAAAAGAGAACGATTTTATGAGAAACTGAGCGATCAAGTACAAAGGTTAACCATCACCAATGAATACATAGAATTTTTACGATTTATGGCAAAAGAAGTGGATACTAGTGAAGATTTTATTTCTATGACACTTTAACCATGAACGAAAAAGCAATAAGCAATAACTACCTGCTTCATCTGTATCACCACTAGATCCTACTTTCAAAAACAAGAGAGCATTTACTTGTTCTTTTCTTCATTTCTTCCAAGCAAAATTAAAAAAAACAGAATGTGTTTTTGTATATTACCTGGTAGTTTGCTTGCTGTACTAGGTGTTGGAGCTCGAAGTCCAGTTTGTTTCGCTGGGATACTCGTTGTTTTTGGAACGGCAGAGTTTGAAGGTTGTGGAATACTTCCTGTACTACTGCCTTGGGATTTAATCGAATGGTTCGATGCTGATCGAGTTAAGTCCGACTGTAAATCATTCAGTACAGATTCAATCTGTCCCGGTCGAACATAAAGACCATGATTATCATTACATGTGAAGTATCGTACAATTGTTCCGTCTGAAACAAGTGAAATTAGTGAGAGAAATGTCATCAGAGACAGTACCTTTTTTTTGTACAGTGCCGTTATTTTTTCCTTTCGGCTCATCGAGAATTACACCAATCCATTCACCTGCATTAGAGAACGAAATAGAAATTCGAATACGAATGTAGTTATTTACCATCAGCAAATTCAGTTTTTCCAACAAAAGCAATTGTGCCTAAGCCTTTGCCGGCGATCGAGACTCGTTGGTCAAGACGAAACAGTGTCGTTGAAGTCATTTTTGAAGAATAAAGGCAAACAAATGAAATGAGGGGTGAGTAACATCGAATATTGATATTTCGAATACATATTGCTACCTATACCAACCAATCAGATTACATACAGCTGTCACTAAAGTTCGATTTTCTAATTAAATTTCAATGTAAGACAAAATAAATGGTAATAATCGATGAAATTCATCGATATAAGTTCATTTTGCAATGCTCTATTACTGAATACTGTCAAAGATAAGATCGGCGTATGAATGATAGAGGGCAGTACTGATCCGACTTTTTATACAATGCTCTTTTACTATCAAAACTCAGTACAGCTCGAATAGAAGAGTATCGTCTAATAAAGTACTGCAGTCTAAGTTTATACACATTAATATTTTCTATATATTTGACTGCTCATTGATGTTGTATCAATATCGAAATAAAAGTTGTACATAGCAAACATTCAGACTTGAGAATCATGTTGCGTGTTCGGAGATAACGATAGAGATGTATCACGACCTAATATCAACATAATGATAAGAAATAACAGAACAATTCGTGGAATTATCGTTATTAGTTTTTGAAACGAGCTCGAAGTAAAGAAATATGTCGGTTTTACGATTTAAATTTCTCATCTTTCTAATCTGTGTAATATACAATCAAGATTTGATTAAGAGCACAGAATTTTCATGCAACGAATCGGCATCATGTGGATGCTCGCAATACAACGCTATTGTCAATTCACGAATTGTTGGTGGAGAACCAGCTGTCAATCATAGTTGGGGTTGGGCTGCTTCCTTGCGTGTAATTTCTGGAATCCACATATGTGGTGGAACAATTCTCTCTCCAATATACATTCTCACAGCAGCACATTGTGTGGACGATCCTGAAATTATGAATTACAACTTGAAAGCAGCTGTGGGCACCGATACATTGACTGATGATGAGGGACTGAGAATTTCAGTAGAGAAAATTTATTTACATCCACAGTGGACACCAAAAACAAACGAAAATGATATTGCTGTTTTAAAATTGATCACACCGATCGAATTCTTCAATACGAGTGTTGCTAAAATATGCCTACCATCGATAAGCGTCTCACTGGCAACAAAATTTCCCAAGATCGATTCATCGCTAGTAGCTATCGGCTGGGGATCGACAACAACACCCGATGGTGATACATCAAATGTGCTTCGACAAGTCACAGTTCAGGCAATTGATAGTCGAGAAAGAAAATGTAACAATTCAATCAATAATCCTACTTTACAATTCTGTGCAGCTGTTTCCGACGGAGGAAAAGGTATTTTACAGACGAATATCTGTGCGTACTATGATTATTTGTCGTTTAGATACATGTCTCGGCGATTCGGGAGGACCGATTATGTATTTTTCAGAAGTACATCAACGATGGATAATTGTTGGTATCACTTCCTATGGTCGTGGATGTGCGGTAAGTATCTACGCTGGTGTTTATACTCGAATTAGCATGTATATTGATTGGATTAAGTCAATTACGGAAACGTATCAGATCATTACGATCGATGAAAACAGTGCAGCTGTGAGTATAAGATCGAATAAAGTTGTTGTTGTTTCACAACTATTATTACTTCTAATCTTGATGATTCAAATATTGAAACATGAAATTGTCGAGTCTTTTCATATTTGTCAATAAACAGCTTTGTATTGATCAAAGAGATCCTTACTTCCTAGTCTACTTTATTATTTACGTCAGTCGACTCGGTTTGTACTTGATAATAGAGTTTTCAACCACGCATTATTGTTCGCTCTCTGGCGTCTTCTTGATAAAGTGTATACCATGTAACTATAGGTGAATAACGAAAACAAATAACATGACAATTTTTGTCATTCTTGTGACGTATATTTCTTCCATAAAAGCTTTTTTCTCAAGTATATAAACTCACGATACACCTTTCTTGGAGATCACAAAACATCATGACTCGTCTGTGTACATTCGTATTACTTCTTTTGTCTGGTCTCTTTGCTCAAAATTCAATTCAAGCATCTTTGTATTCATGCAATAGAAACGCGTCATGTGGTTGTTCACAAAACCCAGTTAATATCAATAGCCGAATAGTCGGTGGTGAAACAGCTGCAAGTCATAGTTGGGGTTGGGCTGTTTCGATACGTCGATATAGTACTCAACATTTCTGTGGCGGTTCAATTATCTCACCGAATTATATATTGACAGCTGCACATTGTGTCGATGGCATTTCTTTATTACGAAATGATTTGACGATAGCCGTTGGTTCAGATAATCTTCTTGATAACGAAGGACAAAGAATATTAGTCTCACAAATATTCATGTATTCGGGCTATAACTCGCTTACTAAAGAGAATGATATCGCCATTCTCCGACTGAAGAAAGCAATTTCATTCAGAGATCGAAACATTGCAAGAATTTGTCTTCCACCGGCGAGTAATCGCAATGCAACAGAGTTTCCGCGAATAAATTCTACACTCGTTGCTATTGGTTGGGGACACACGAGTATGTCTGGTTCTTTATCAAACACTCTTCGACAGGTAACTGTTAATGCAGTTGGCAATCGAGAATTGAAATGCAGAAATTCGATTCGTAATGTCGATCTACAATTTTGCGCTGCCGTCAATGGCGGAGGCAAAGGTAAAGTATCCCTCTATACTCTTATATAAAACTTTTTTTCGTCAATAGATACATGTCAAGGCGATTCAGGCGGTCCATTAATGTTTTTTTCAACTGAGAATCAGCAATGGATGTTAGCAGGCGTCACATCGTATGGTCGGGGATGTGGTCTAACGGACTATGCTGGTGTCTACACTCGCGCGAGTGCATATACCAAATGGATTGCATCCTTTGTAGATAATGATATAAACTTTGAAGAAAATAGTGCTCAGATGAATACGATGTCAAACATATTTTATAGTGGAATTCTTGCATTAATTATTCTTACACATTCTTTCTTATAAAAATATAGCTAAAGATATTGTAACAAATTGTGTTTTGATGCCTCTTTTGAAAAAAAATAAAACATGAAGAGTTCAATGATTTCAATTTATCAAACAATAGAAACTCTACTGTGCTTTAAATTGAAAAGAATAAGAAGGCACCAAGGAAGAGGCGCTTCGTAAAGATTAACATCCATGCTGCTCTTCGCTCCACTTCTTTCATTGTAAATAGTTATTGATTGATCGTCGCAGTTGATTTTCAATTCTAAAATATCATTTTCATTGACTTGTGGCCAACCAGGCTGAGGTTCTCGACCATTGATAACCGTATATCCATGTACGAACCATCCGTGAGTAGACGGCGTGTTATAATGAACTGGACCTGCGAGTGTTTTACTATATGAACAAATACCCATCAAAATATTCGCTGTGCCTTCTTCTAATTTCAACCGAACGCGATGTGTACCGTTGGAATAGGTTTGCGAACCGAAAACACATTGATAAACCCCTTGAGTAATTTTTTCACAACGGCGATCATTATCAGTTAATTGCACATCAGAATTACTGAGCGTCCAAAATCGTAGTGTTCCTTTTTCTGATTGACGGGATCTCGGTACTTCTGGTTGCCAAGCTTTAGTTGATTCCGGTTGCCATGCAGTCGGCGATGGTATCGTAGTACTGCTGGTATTAATCGTTCGATCTCGATCGATGTATCGTTCGTCAATTTTCAATAGATAAAGTAAATCGAGAAAGGACTGTTCGTGTCCAGCGACCAATCTAATGACACGTTCCATACCTGGATCAGACCAAGTACGAAGTTGGTTCAAAAGACATTTAAATAGCTAAAAAAATCAATTGATTATAATTTTGGAGGAGAAGAAGAAGAATAAAATCAAACCTACAAATGGATCGTAATCAAGAAATATGCATCCGGCTGAATCTTTTGTTAATTTGTGATCTAGCTTTCCTGAAAACATAGCCGCTAACAGAGATCCTTCGGGTTGAGTCAACGTTCGTCTCGATGTACTAATCTTTTCTCCGCCCACATTCAAATTCACAATTGGACTTGCTGTTGCGACTAATTTCTCTAACGCTGCCTTTTCTTCATCCCATAATCGTCGTTCTTCTCTCAATTGATCTCGCTTAGCTTGATATCGCCGATCGTTTTCAGCTCGCTGTCGTTCGAGTTCTTCTACGGCTTCATCAAACGATAATTTCGCTGCGTCCGTTCGATTGTGCAGCTGTATCATAAGATTTCGAAGTTTTTCATTCGATGACTGCATGTGCACTACTCAATTGTTACTCACGAATGGTTAGTAACCAAAAAACAGCGTTTTCTTTCTCGCTGTTTACTAAACAAGCATCAAACAATTTTTTAAACGTAAGAAAATACCGTAAGGCAATAAGAGAGAGAGAAAAGAAGAAGAAAAAGAGCAATCACTGAAACCATAACTATGTAGCAAATCAGATGACATTCAACTTTCAACAAGTTTTTTGTTTCTATGTTATTCAATTTCACTTGTACCCATACTTGACTAGACAAAAGAATAGCAAGATATCGAAGTTTTTCTTGGTTAAGATAATCTACAATTATGTTTTATTCGTTTGACTATATCTATAATCATTTGAATGCCTTGTTGAAATCGAAAAAGAAGAGGCTCGCTCAGGTTTGTACAGTTCTGTTGACTAAGTTGTTTAAGTAATTGAATGGTAGTCGTTAACGATTGACGTAATTGTGTTGTTAAAGAAATTAATGGTGTTTGTATTTGTTGGAGATGTTCATGAAGTGTTTCGAGTACAAATACAAGTTTATGACCTGCCACGACAAGCGCTTTACCTTCACTGGCAACTAATGATGTGCTGTTTTGTTCACACTCTGATAGACGTGAATACCGTTTGAGAACCGAATCAATCTGTTCATTTATATGTCGGTAATAACATTTCATCAATGGATTCGACGCAGGAGGTGGTTCATCTTGATGAATACTTTTGTAGGACGATGCCGGTGTGAGAAAATCTGAACTTAACCGTGGAGAACTTTTAATTGCGGATGATCGGCGCTTTCGATAGATATGTGCTGTCGAAATATCTTCGTTAGGTTCGAGATGAAGCTTTTTGAATACATCGTTGGATATCGTCGATGAAAGTTGATTTCGTTCTTTCAATTGTAAATCAATAGTTAATTTAATTAATTGAATAATTTTTGTTGATGATTGAATGACACGTTTGTCGTTATGTTCAGTTTCATAGAGAAAGGTTTCTTTGATTAAACGATATGTATGACGATCCAAAAGACAACCGTAGTTTTGAAGAAATAGATAACATTCAGTAACGAAGGATTTTATCAGAGATTCAGTGTTAGTATGAGATATCAATTGAAGATATTTGTCGGTCAATGATGAACAAATGGAAAGCTGTTTGAAAGAATTTTGCAATTGTTTCAATTCGACTAGAGAAATATAAGATAAGAGTGTTCGATGGTATTCGAAGATTGACTTACAAAGAGATAATGTATCATTATTGGCTGTAGATGAATAGAAATCGATTGATGAAGAAGAAGAAAATTGAAGTTCATTTGTCGAATAAATACCGGATGATCGTGATGACGTTTCCGGTGAAGAATCCAATGATTTTCCATCCGAAATAAAATCTATAAGACTAAAAGCATCAATCCAATTTATCCTTCACAGAGAATCCAACCTGATTTTTGTTGATTATCATAATCGTGATTCAACGAGTCGATTGTCTGTTGATTATATAAACTATCATACATCTAAGTTCACAGAGTGCAGAGCGTCTCTTCCTGTGAATTTCAATCGAAAGTGTTGAAACTTACAGAAAGAGTGGATAGACGAGAACAGTATTGTACGAAGTCATTCGATTCAGTGGCTGAACATGTCGTTGGATTTTGAATTAATTTCAAACGGTTTTCAGGACATAAACCGCATTTGTTCTTATGTTTACACAACCACCAGCCATCGAAACCATTGGGATTTTCTATGAGTACAGTTAAGATGTCACCCTTGCGAAATTCCAGTTCGTCTTCATCGTCAACATCGTTGTTGTAGAGAGCTACTGCTAACTGCATATTCTAAAAAATTCGATCTCGAGGTTCAAGGTGTATTTGAAATAATGGAATAAATCAAAATGAAACTGAAGATTATATGTAAATGAAAAAAAAATGTCGTGAATTGATAATTTTATTTACATAAAAAACTCAATTTTTTTGTATAAAACAGTTCTCATTCGCACGTCCCGCAACGGAGGAAAAGAGAGAGAGAGAGAGGGGGAAGAGAAATTCCTGATACTCCACTCCGTGTCAATCATCATTATGATTAGTACAAGAGCAAAGAAAACGAAAAGACGTTATATCCTTGTGATTATTCATTCAAAGAGCATAACCTATGTACAGAACAATTTGAACATTACCGTAAAAAGCAGACGTGTGTCAAAGAAAAAAATGTGTATATTATTCAGATTATTCGATGAACAACTCCGCCTTAACAACACCTAACCTTCTCTTCATCCACAAATTGTGAAGTGTCGGTGATGATGCAACATCTCCTTTCTTTCCAGACAAAGTAATAGGACACACGGGTTTATTAAATAAATATAGAGATAGAAGACGACAACATTTCTCGCTTAATCTGTCTCCAAATAGATCAACAACGAAATAATGTACGTTCAAACGACAACAACTACTAGACCTATCATATGTATGACAAAGTTGTACAAGAAGCATGTAAGAAAGAAAGAAAGAAAGAAAGAAAATTGTACAGCGAAATTGAAGGGCTTCGACCACTTTCACATTGTTCAATCATTAGAAATGCTTACTTCAACATTTATCCACTCGACGACTGAATTGTTCACAGACATGTCCTTTCGCTCACTTAGAAACCAATTAATCATCTCGAAGACATGATTTTATTAAAAAAAGAATTCACGAGTAACGAAAGTCATTGATTCAACACGAAACTTTCTTCCGAGCAAAATCAATCACTCGGCTTTTTCTCTCTTTACCCAACGTCACATGATAATTAACATTATACAAAGAACAAATTAGACCTTGACGGTTCTGCTCATCAAAATATCGAAGCATTTCATATGCCTAACCATTTTTATTGTATTTCAATTAAGCATTAGAATACCCATTGACATATAATTCGAAACTAAATGTGTCAAGATTGTCTTGTCGAGCTTGTTTCTTCTGATATATATATATATATATATATATATATATGAAAAATCATGTTGTTCACGTACTTAAAAGCTTCGATTGACATAGAAAAAAAACGATCTATTGATTTTGACTGCTATTCCATCCTGGTAAAAAATCGAACTTCATTCTTTAAGTAACATTCAATATTTACGAGAGAGCTAAATAACTATTCACGGGCAAAGTTAATTCTTACAGCATTGTTGAGATACATGATATCCTTGTTTGGATTTGGATATCTAAATCTAGAAAAATATTGACAGACAAATTGATGTATGAAGATCCAGAGCAGTCATTTCAAATCAAAAAATAAGGATGTCGACATCTCAAATGCAGTTTATCGACCCCTCTGCTATTCAGTGGACTATGGTAAGTCCAACACCACCTCCCACGACCGCGCGAAAAGAATCTCGAACATTAGACGTTCTAAAAATTCTTCTTGGCTTTTTAATTGCGTTGTTGCTTGCTGCGATTCTTATTGCTGTGATCGTCATTCCACGTTCGTCGGGTTCAGTCGACCTACGCGCATCGAATGAACAAATCGCAAAATTACAACGCGAATCCAATGAGAATATCGCACGATTGCAACGTGAATTTACAGAGAATCTAACACGTTTGATGCATAACGAACAATTGAAAGAAGCAGATAGATTGACTAAACGCGAAGAAACTTTTATTGAAAAGAATCGTGGCGAAGATCAAGCGATTCAACGTGATCAACGTCAACAGGATCTATCTCTTGCCATGCAGCAGTTACGGCAACATATAAATATTGAAGAACGTCGTATTCAAATTTTGCTAGAAGATCGACAAATACGCGCGGAACATCGAAAAGAAGATCAAAGTCGAGAGAATGCGGATTTACTTGCTCATTTTATTGAAGAAGTTGTTTCCGCTGAGGAACCATTAGAAGATTCTCTCCTACGAGTGAAAATCGATTCACTACTTACTCGTTTGGATCGTGAGCATAAATCATCCTTAATTGACTTTCTCTACAAATTGAAATACATTCATGGCGAGCGTCCGGATAAGACACCATTGAATTTACAAGGCGCATTTTTGAAAGAACTCGATCTTGATGACCTCGATAGGAATTCTGATGAAGGTAAATTACTTGTAGTTCGCCCAAAAGCCGATCATCTTTTTCTTCATTAGGAGGAACTCAACTAGATTACAGTCAGTTAATGTTACCATCCACAATATTGATCAATGCTTCGCTTAAACAGATCTTGTTGCCCAAATCGAATTTTAGTTCGAGTAATCTGCAAGGTGCAATGCTTCAGCAATCCGATGTAACCCAAGCAGATTTTTCTCGTGCAACGTTAATTATGTCGAATTTTCGTCATGCGAAAGCTTCAGAGAGTAATTTTATGAATGTTAAGATGCGAAGTGCTTTATTTGAAAATGCTGATATAACCCGAGCACGATTAACCAATTCTGATTTATCGTCTACTAAATTTCAAGGTTCTATTGCCGTGGAAGCATGGTTTTCTCGTTCGGAACTATCAAATGCTGATTTTCAAGCAGCTGATCTATCTCGAGTTCTAATGAATAATGTCTCTGCTCGTTCAGCAAACTTTTATACAAGTAATGCAGCTGACGCTGATTTTTCACATAGTTACTTATCAAACTGTCTGTTTCAATGGGCTAATTTACGTGGTGCATCTTTTCGAAATGCATTCTTAGCGGGAACTACCTTTGAAAACGCAAATGTTGAATTCGCCGATTTTAGCAATGCACAACTGATTGGAGTTATCATTACACAAGGACAACTTAATGTCGCTTTGTCGATTGCAAATACTATTTTGCCCGATGGATCAACAGGAAGAAATATAAATTTAGTTAACAATAGTGATGCACAATGTGTAGGAATGAATGAAACAATTCCATTCTGGACTAGTGATGGACATGTTTCTACTGTTGGTGTTCCGTCAAGTACAGAGTGTCTGTTTCAAGGGAATCAACAGAATGCCATATTGCAACAACGAGTTGATGCGCGTCGTTATGAACGGTTAATTCGACGGGGAGGTAGCAAAGTTCGTATTGAGATGCAAGGAAAAACATCGGATGGTGTTGTCGATCCAATAAATTTACCTATCTATATGAATGTACGTTTTTTGGATCTGAATAACAATGATATTGGCCCAGAACGTACGTAGAATTTCAGGATATCAAAGATAGAAAACTGATTAGTTTATCATTTTAGAGTCAACGTTAAATAATACTCGAGTAACAGGATTCTCAGTATTAGTGGCCTATCTTCCATGTCCTTCAGCGACTACTGAACTACAACTTACTGTTGTATTCAAAGCAACCAATGCCACTGTTGACAATATCTATGTGTCAATCGAATGATGACTTTGACTATACAATCATGTCTCTCATAATTTGTACGTTGGTAACAGTGGAAAAGAATGAAATGTTCCAAAAGAGAAATAAAGTACGCATCAATAAAGAGTCATTGAAAAATAAGAGAATAATCATCACACACATTTGTCACAGTATGAATCATTGCTTATCTGATTTCGAAAAGATGATTTAATACAGTAATATCTTATCTCATAACCACGAGGCAATTCTATAAACAAGTGGCACGATCACACTTTGCTCGTATTGAAAATAGACTGTTTGCTTTTCACTCATAGAAAACCTTGTAGTTGAAATCTTACTTCGTCGCATAATATTTTGTATTCGATGTAGTTCTGTATATCTTGTGATAGTGTGATTGGCCATACTCTCTTATTTTTTACAGACGCTTTTGCCAACTGTTGACTAATATGAGCAGAGAAAACCTAACTGACCTGTCAAACTTCTTAACAGTGTCATTTTCATTCGCCTATTTATCTCTAGTTCTATATGAATGAGAAAAGAAGACAAGAGCAGAATCATTTTAGCCAGATAAAAAGACTTGTATTGGTTTTGTCGCAGTTTTCCGAAACATGAGTATGTTTGTTGAATGCCTGCTCATAAAGATGTTTCACAAAACAAAAAAGCTTACGACACTCGGTATTCCCAGGCGGTCACCCATCCAAGTACTAACCGAGCCCGACGTTGCTTAACTTCAGTGATCGGACGAGAACTGGTGTATTCAACGTGGTATGGCCGTAAGCGAAAGTATACGTAATAGAAGAGTCATTCGAGATATTCTTTATCCATTCACTATTTTATTTGAAAAAAAATCATTGCAAAGATTTGACATTGACAGTCTCTAATTCATTCATTTTGAGATCTTCCTTTGCTGCAACTTGTTCTTGCGATTTATTCATTATCCAATGTTTCAGTAAAATCACTTCAATAGCACCTAGCATCAATTGTGCAACTTGATTGACAATCAAAGGTAACGCAAGTACACTACTAATTTCTTGATGACTATTTCCATATAAGGCATTGATCAATGGAATTCCCATCACTAAACTTTTCATTGCACCACAAAACATCATTGCAACAGTATCTCGTTCAGAGAATTGCCAATACGATATAGGTATTCGAGCAGTGGTCATAATTAGCAAGGAAGACACGATATAGATCACGCCATTAATTACAATTAAGATACAAAGATCTCGTTTCGGTATGACTTCAAATGACCGACTGGCGAAAGCAGTGCAAAATATCGACCAAACAAGTATTAATATAGCTAAACTATTCAATTCACCAAAATATAACTTTTCACGAACGTGCATCACTTGCTTTGGACATAAATTATGAATTATCTGGCCAAGAATCAATGGAACTAACACAGTTAAACTCAATTTTTGAATAACATGAGTGTATCGTAATTGTCCATTGGTAATATCGTCATTGAAAAGTAAGTCAAACGTTGAATCCTTCATGAAATAAAATACTAAAGCAGGAGATAAAAAGATTCCTAAAACATTTCCGAGAACAGCATTCAGTAATGCAGCATATTCATTTCCTAGTGCATTTCTTGTCATCACAACATTGCTCGATATTGATGTTGATGTTGAAGCCATGATTATTACACCAAATACTAATGTTTTATTGATATTTAGTTTCACTAGCAATAATCCCAAGCCATAAATTGCAAATGGAATTATCAAAAAGCTATAAAGTTGAGTAAAGATATGAAGACGAATGTAAAGAAGTTCCCTGAGAAGTTGTTTTGTACGTAACGATAAACCACTGAGAAAGAAAACAAAGATAATACAACCCCATTTAACTGTCCATTCAGAGCGAATGTATCCACCTGCTTTGCCAACGTTTGGAAATAGATACGCCAGAATAATGGTGCAGATTAATCCAATAAGAAACCAGTATTTTCGAAAGATTGATTGATGAGCACTTTTCTTCTCCTCCTTTTGATTATTTATTATATAATCATTTACCGCTGAGCTCAATTCTGGTAAACAATGTAAACGTGTTAATTTATCATCGTAAATGGCACATATTGATGGTAGTTCATCAGACAAGAAAGTTTCTAAAGATATATTCTCTGAAACAATGATAATTACAGAAGATTTCTTCTTATCAAGGACATATTCTCGTAATTGATCATAAGTTGTGAATCTTTCTATGATTTTAACTTTTGATTTGAGTTGAACAGACTTATCCGCAAACCAAACACATATGAATTTGTTTTGATCATTACTTTCAATCGACATTTTATTTCACAAGTACAATGATCTATTCAAGCTGTAGAAAAAGTACATTGGCCAAGACTGATCGACCAACATTCACAAAAACAATAAAGCACGTAGCACATGGATCAAATGAGTAGAGCTATGGATTACGAGTAATGTATAGATGTCCTCTCACTACAATGCATTGTATCAATCTAATCGACTAGGTTAAAAGCTGAGATTCGTATTCAGGCTTGAGTATTCTATATTCATTTGTGAAGAAACAAATGCTCGAGAGAAAAAAAACGTTAAGATACATTGACGATAGATTGCAAATTCAACTATTGTCGTGCATAAAAGAAAAGTGTGAGACAATGATATTAACTATGAAATCGCTTTCAAGACAGTTTCATAGGTTAAGTAAGAAATAGAAACAGCTGGAATAACTTTTAGCATATTCGGAACAAGACCACGGTAGAGGCCAGCAATGCCTTCCTTATGCCAAATTTCTTTGAGCATTGTCGTCGCGGGCAAGATTGGATGAGCTTTACTTTGATCCATACTGGGTAATGGTACGATTTGACCTTGCCGACGTGTTCGAACCAAAGCAATTGGATATGTTATAAGTTGAGCAGTAAATGATGAAATGGCACCACAGCTAAGAACTACGTAAGTCGGTGGTTCGTGATTATTATGGCTAGCAATATACAATCGTTTCAAACTCTAAATTATTCAGACAAGACTCGGATTGCACGCAAATTATCTTGTCATTTACCTCATAGAATGCGAGATCAAATCCAGCGTAAGGGACAATGCCGACTTGATTGAGAACATAACCACGCCAGAAAGATTTGGGCCCTTCAAATTTGTACATGCGTTTCATCGCCTCTACCCAATGCGAATATTCACCGGTTCGTCTTAGACAAAAACGAACTTTTAAAACCTAATTTCGATGAACTAAGCAATCAGAGTAGTTATAAAGAAAGGAAACTTACATCCAGCGGATACACAGCAGTTTGAGAAATAAAACCGGCCATGGCTCCACCGATGAATCGTTCACCGACCGTTGTTTCTGTGCTAAGATCCTTATTTTGAATTCGTTTGAGCATTTTTTTTGACTAAAATGAACCACAACTATTATGTTCTCTTCAATAAACAATATGCTGATTACTTCTTCATAAACTGCAAATCGAAGTGCACTTTCCGGTATAATTTTCATAACATTAACACCATTGCCACGCCATAAACTCTTCACGCCACCTTCTTTGATTAAGTACTGACAACCACTTATCATAGACATTCGATGTCTTGAACCCAGATACTAAGAAATCTAGCAATATTTATCAATCTTTCCTAGTTTTCGCGAAGAGCAACACGTCATCTAGGCATCAATCATCCGTCAACTATTTACCTGCATCACAATTTTCAGTCGATCGAACGGTGCTGTTGCTGTTCGAGATACAGCACCAGCACAACCACCGGCGATAAGATTTTTCCACCATAGTCCACCTTCAGTTAAAGCATCGGCTGGTGCACCGTACGGTGAATCACCCAAGTCCAGATACTAATCGAATAGAGAAAAAGACTCAAGTCAATATGTGGAAAACGGTACGAATTGTTTACTGGAGCACTTCGCCAATACTGTAGCATTTCATGTGGATCATTAGTAATCGTCTCGAGAATGACTGGATTACTCATGAAAAATGAACGCCATTCATCGAAAGAAATCTGCAATGAATTATCTTGATCCATTCTACAAGACAGAAAGCAAAACTATGGAATATTCGAATTGAATTAAACTCACTTTTCAACTAATTTCTTTGCTTCGTCCAGCTCAAGTTTAATTCCAAGTTTTTTAAAATAAAAAACTAAATCTTCAACATCAAATTTCCCTAAAAGCAATTCTATGAACTCTCAAAACTTTTTCACATGCATTGCTTTTTACCTTGGTGACTGGCATCGACTTTTCGAAAGACTAAACTAAGTTTTTTCTCTTGCTTCAAAACATAATCGACAAATTGTTGAAATGTCACAGAAGATGCATCTGCCGATCCAGTACTATGTTTAATAATACGCTACAAACAATCAAACCAGTCAGATTCGATTCGATTTCGAAGGCAAAGACAACTTACACGTGCAATAGCGAAACGTTTTTTGGATATTGTCTCTCCGCCGACCTTTTCTAATAATTCAATTAATTCATCAACATCGATTTTTCCATCGTTATTCTTATCAACACGATGAAATAGTTCATCGTACGAAAGTTGCTTTTCGTTCAATTTCTGATGGATTTCTGCATCTTTAATCAAGTCAGGAGAAGTCTCTCGCATCGTTAATCTAGTCTCCCGTTGTCATTAACATCTTTTAGTTAGTCTGAAGAAGAGAAAAACAAATCATTAAGGTAGTTTCGGCGTTTGTTTTCAATTCTTCTTTTCTTTTTTATTTTATTGTTAAACATGCAAAAAACAATGTGAACTCGGCAATAAGCACATGTTTCGTTTATGCTTCATCGGCTGAAACTTTTTCGCTGACGTAGATACCGTCAAGAAATTTACGGATATCTTTGTTTTTAACTGATGTTGACATCTGAATGAGTGCAGCTAGAAAGATTCAAGCGAGAAATGATTGAAGAGAAGCAACAGCGATTGTTACCTGATCGTGAAACAAGTTCGATGTCATTGCCTTCAAGAATGAGTTCATCTTTTTGTTTTGTGCTAGCAGTGATCTTTACACCTGGTTGCATTTTAACACGACGAACGAATTTTTCACCTAAGAAGTTACGGATTTCAACTGCTTGACCATTTTCGGTAACGACGGTGTTGATGGGAAAGTGAGCGTAGACTGAACGCATTTTATAACAATATCCCTGCGAAGAAATGATAGTTATTTGTGGGAAATGTTCATGCTGATGTCAAATACCTTTGTTACACCTTTGATCATATTGTTAATATGTGAACAAATTGTACGAACAACGGCATTTTCTTTGTTTGTGCCGAACCATTTTTCTACGACGATCAAATTCTTCTTAGGCATGGAAATATCGACTCGGGCATGACGAAAACTTCGTACAAGTTTGCCACGTTTGCCTGATACTTGAACAACGCGACTTTTTACACTGACTTTAACTGTAAATAGAAAGAGAAATAAGAAAATTCGATACTGCAAAACAAAAAACAACAAAATCCTACCATCATCAGGTATGGCAAGTTGTTCACGTGCTTTAATTGGTCGCATGATGATACTGATGAACGATCTGAAATACAAAATACGAACATTATCAGAATCTTCGGTAATCGAATGTTGAGAGTGAGAAATGAATATCGACGACTTCTGTAAAATGCATATCCTAATATACAATATGGTAAACTATGGAATGATTTCATTTGTAAAAAACTCGAACCTTTTCTTTAAATGTGGATGGAATTAACAAATCCAGTGTAGAAAATCAGAATCATAAGTTTTTCTCCGCGGACTTCCATATGAATTTCATGTGAAGAAATGAAGATGCATTAGCGTGATGGTGAGTCATCAACGGAGGTGTTGCTTAGCAACAAACAAACTTCATGTCTGTCGATTGACAGAAACTTTTCACATAACATTCGTGTAAAATGACATCAACTTATCGACCTAATGAATCCAAACGAGAAGAATTCCGACGCTATCTTGAAAAAGGCGGTGTCGTCGATTCAATTACAAGTCTGTTCACTTTCCTGACGCTTCCATTTGCGAAGTTACATTGTTTCTAGAAGCGCTCGTAGCACTTTACGAAGAGGCAGAGAAGCCGAATAATGCAGCTGAATTCGTTCGTCGGTATATGGGAGCAAGTGGACCTGATACTGCTGAATTGGAGACGACCAAAAATGAACTGATGTGTTTACGTGAAAAAATCGACGAGTTAACACGAGAGAACGAGACATTGAAAGAAAAATTACAAAAATACGAGAGTGGTGGACAATAAATAAAATCTTTTCTTGAATTCATTTGACCTTTTCCTCATCTTCTGCTTACGTTTTGATTGATTTGTAGATAATGGTGAATAATGAATCCGAATTTCGTGTTAAAGTCGCTATTCGAGTATGTACACGAATACTCCTGATAAATATCACGATGATTATTATGTACGTACATTTCTAGGTTCGACCATTCTTACAACGAGAGAAAGCTCACGAACAAAAGAGTTGTGTAGCGATTCATCCACAGACAAATCAGATCGTTGTAGGCGATCGAAAGACGTTCAAATACGATTTTGTATTCGGACCCAAAACTCAACAAGTAAAGACAGATCAATGCTATAAGTCAATTTGTTTACATGTTTATTCGCAGGAAGAACTGTATGAAACATGTATAGCACCTATGTTAACGAATGTTTTTGATGGATACAACGTGACTATCTTTGCTTATGGACAAACCGTACGTGAATTGTGTTAGGTACAGTTATGATGTTGACACTGGTTCTGTTCGGTAGGGTTCAGGAAAAACATATACAATGACCGGTGGAAATATTCTATCGATTGGAGAGAAAGATTATGGTATCGTACCACGAGCTGTTCAAACAATTTTCCATACATTACAGGTAATCAACGAACGTTTCCTCGGATGAAGATAATTAATGAAATGTGTGTATTTAGAATCGACCTGATCGTCGTGCGACTATTTCTGCATCGTACTTAGAAATTTATAAGGATGACATTATTGATTTATTGGATATAAATGATAAAGCTTTGGATGTTCGTGATGATGCAGCTGGAAATACTAGTAAAAGAGAATCTTTTCTTCTTTTCCAATCATAGTTCGGGATAATTCTTGTAGTTGTTGTCGGTGCCAGTGAACACACATGTCATTCAGTTGATGATGTTGTTAATTTATTAAAGAAAGGATCGACCGCACGACACATAGGAGCAACACAAATGAACGACGAATCATCACGATCTCATGCGATTTTTACTTTGCATATCGGTATGTGTTCTTCATTTTGAGATAGAGAATATCAGCTGCCTTCTTCTAGAACAACGTATGAGAGAGAAAAATTCCAGCTCACTTATGATACAAGCATCGTTTGATGGTCTTATGAAACCTGTTCAAGCTGCATTCGACGGTAATATTGGTAAAAGACTTAAATGGAAGTATGAGATTCTCTTTTGTAGAAAGTTATCTCTCTGCCAAATTGCACTTTGTGGATTTGGCTGGCTCAGAACGTGTCGCACGAACACATAATACTGGTGAACGATTCCAAGAATCTATTCGTATCAATTCAGGCCTATTAGCATTGGGAAATGTCGTTAGTGCCTTGTCCGATCCGAAAAAACGTGCTGGTGGTCATATTCCTTATCGAGACTCCAAAATTACTCGTCTACTCAAAGATTCACTCGGTGGAAATGCCAAAACATTGATGATAACATGTAACATTTCGCTAAAACACACCTATCATTCCATATCTTCTCCTTCTAGGTGTTAGTCCGTGTATTGTCGATCTCGATGAATCTGTCAATGCTCTTCAGTATGCTCATCGGGTATGTTCTGAAAAGAGTAGATTATTTTCATACATAGTTTTGATGATACAGGCAAGTCAAATTCGTAATAAACCTATCAAAAATGTTGACCCGAATGCTCAACGCTTCGTTGAAATGCAAAGTGAAATTACGGTCAGTGAATAATAAATGATAGACAAAAATCTATCTAAAATGTCTTTTTTTATAGTACTTACGGGAGGAATTACAACGACAGCGATCCTTATTATCTCGTAATGGCCAAGTGTCCAGTGCACGTCGTTCTAAGTAGAGAACTTTCTTATTTGTTTGAAGCTCGTACACATAATCATCTGTTTAGTACAACAGTGAATACTAATAATGCACGCCGTTTAATTCAAACAGCTTATACATGTTTTCAACAATTGAATGAATGTCGAGAATTGAATGACGAGCAAAAACAATGGATACAAACGTGGATGGATGCTGTAGTCAATGTAAATAATAAGGTTGAGAAGTCATCTGAAAGATAATTTGATTTTTTGTCTGAAGGAAAGTTCTATGGATTGGTACAACGATCTGTTCACATGTCGAATAACAAATTTAGAGACTGCATTGCATACAGTAAGTTTAAATTGGTGATTGAATTGATAAGAAAATCGAGTTCTTTTATTAGGCTCAAGATGAGTTGAAGTCGGAATCGGAAATGCGTGTTCAACGAGATATGATTATGGATAAACTTCAAGACGAATTGAAAACTAAAGTAAGATACTCTTTTGAGAAGGAAGGACATTTTATTATTACTCGCTTGTAGGAAGATGAACTGAATCGTATACGTGTTGCATTAGATGAATCAAATCATCATCTAAAACAACAAGAAGAAATTCTTTCCCAACTACAAAACCAGTCACAAGTAAATTTTCGAATTTCCTCAAATGATTTGATCATTTTTCTTTGTAGAACCACAATCATTCAACTAATATCTATCAACTGAATCATTCTACAGCGAAAAAATCGTTCTATGATCGTGTTAAATCCGCACCTCACTTCAACGGTTTTCAAAGAAAAGTAAGACGGTCATCAACTTCGTTTCTAATATATACAATATCGATTAGGATCAATCAATTCAACCACGAAACATTCATTCTAGTCCAGCTGCATTTGATATGGAATATGTCATAGACAGATTTCATGGACGATCACTAGCTATAGCACACTCCCGAGAAGAAGTTGAAGAACTCGCATTGAAAAGTACAGAAGATTCGTTAACTGAACAAAAGTGAGTAAAGAAATGTTTTTGAGAAAATTCGAAATTTTCTCGTTTGATTTCTAGTCGATTAGTTCGCCACGATACATATCGTGTCCGTCGAAAACGAACCACACCAAGTATTATCCCCGATGATGAAACAATTCAATCGTTGAGACAATCAACACTGCAGAAGCAACAGCTAATCGATGAAACTACCCGAAAAGTCAAAGAAGCAGAAAATAATGCTCATTTACTCAATATTAACATTCAGTAAGTCGTTTCGTGTTTATCCCTTATCTTCAAAGTTGTTTTCATAGATTAAAAGAGCAATTAATTAAAAGTGTATACACGTCGACAAAAGATGTGAAAGATACCAACGAACAATATCAACAACATATTAAAACACTCGAGCGGGTACTTTGTTTCAAACGAGAGAAAGTTTGTTTGAGCGAATGATTCGAATTCTAGGAAATGGAAAAAGCGAAGCTTGAGTATCACGACTTACAAAAGGTAATGCAACAAATAGCAACTAAAACCAATCATGAAAAATCGAAATTAGAAGGGTATGACAACATACGTTCATGTTCTTCACGTGTTCAAACGATTCTTTCTAGGGAATACCGAAAGAAATGTGAACTGGCAAAAGCTCGAATAGAATCACTTCAGCAGAAGGAGAAACACTACCGAGAATTGATGATCAAACTCACAGGCAATACGGAAAAGAGGTATGAAGTATAAAGTTTTTCTCAAACTGACATCGCAGTTGAGCATTCGACGTTGTTTAGGATTGTTGACCTCCAAGCAGCACTATTCCGAATGAAACAGCAATACGAAACTGCACAAAAACGAATACGTGAAGAGAGCGAATTGAAAAATAAATTCGAACAGGAACTCATTCGCGAACAACAACGTATTCAAGAGCTACAAATTCAGAATGAACAGCAACAGAAAATTCTCAAACTTAAAACAGAAGGTCTCGTTGCTGCACAACGGAAATTACGCGGTGCTTCCAATGGAAATATTTCTGATCGAACGACGACGTTCGATGTTGATATGGAGAAGTTGATTGCCGAACGAAAAGAATTAGAAGCACTGAGAGATGATATACAAAAACGTGAAGAGCTAATACAAAAGAAGGAAATTCTACTTCAAGAGAAAACGGAATTAGAAGCGAAAAAGATTCGTGCAAGTCAGATTGTCAATAAGGTTAAAATGCTTCGTTTCATTTTGTGAGAAATGCAAACTAATTGTGTCTCTGTATAGAATTTGAAAAATGTGGATAAACAACAAACAGATCGTCGAGTAATACGTGAGCAATTATTAGAACAAAAGCGTTTGTATACAGAACGATTGGAAGAACAAAATGGTGTGTTATCACCAACAGAAGAACGACGTTTGATTGAAATTGGTGAAGCCATCGAAGCAGTTAATTTAGCAATTGATTATCAAAATAATATGATCTTGAAACGTGAGCGTGACGTCGAACAATCAGTTCGAGCCAGTCAGGTAATTCCTTTTCGCAACAAATCGATTGAATAACTCTCGATACGACGTTCCTATAGGGTGCGGAATCACCTTTGTTCAAGATCGGACAGTTAAACGAGAGCGAAGCAAAAGAACTCTGTCGCAAATTGTTTGACAAAGTCATCGACCTCAAAGAAGATAATAATAAAGTTCAACGTGACTGCGAAGAGATGAAAGTATGCTAAAGTAGTTTCTGTCTTTTGTCAATTTAATTGAACATTTCAGTCTCAACTTGCTGAGCAAAATGAAATCGTCAACGAACTACAATCGCGTATTCAATCTTTAACACTCGACCATGATCGTCGTTTGACATCAATTCAACAAGCTCATGAAGAAGAAAAGCAGTTATTACTTGGTCAATTACAAGAAACCTCGAATCAAATCAAAGAATTAGAAAAAGATTTATACTTCTACAAATGTAAAACAAGAGAATTACGTAAATCGATGGCAACTTCGATCACCAATGTTAGCGAGATAACAACACAACGAAAACATTCGTCTTCGAAAGAAAATAGTTTTCGATCATCCAGATCGCCCATCTCACAGCAACCTGCACCGTTTATTCTTAGAGTAGGTAGTCGAAGCAATTCAGCACACGACTCGTAAGATGAATACATCTAAAAAACCAATAATCTCAGACAGTGATCTCCATTGTTTACTATTCGTAATATTATTGTCGTCACGTTTTTGTTTTCTTATGTTGATCAGTTGTAATATGTTTTACAGTTGTCTGTGTATCCATAGTATGTGTTTTACAAAGGACAAATAAATATAAAGTTCGAAAACTTAATCCAGAATGATGTGTTCTACTAGTATTGCTCGTTAAAAATCTCTATCGGTAAATGCTTGATCGTAGCGTTTTCTGGTCGAGATGGTGTCGTCGTCTTGTTGAATCGACCATGGTGAAAAGCCATTTGAAATACTTGTAATTCCGCTGGAATCATCGCGTGATGTTAAACTGCTTTCTGGTAACATCGTTTAAGTATCATATATGTATAACTCGAAACTTGAATTCGAGTATTCAATTAATGGTACTCAAGTGTTCGACAAGTGAGGGCGTTACGGAAGGCCCGATCAACAGGAATAATGGTATGGTTGTATACTCGAATTCAAGTTTCAAGTTTGACACCACTTATATGTCGTTTACTACCTATCTTTCTGCTGCTCGTGTCTGCAAATTGCTTCCATGTGTAATAGCAAATCTTATCATTGAAATAAACAATAAAACATCCAACCATATTGACATATCAAGAGAAATAAAAGCAAAAATTGTCGATCGTGGTTATTATTTATCATCAGAAGAAAAGAATTTTCATTACTAAAGCTTAGTAGTTAAAAAAAAGCGTAACTAGAATATGAGTGGTAATAAGTGCTGAAATAATATGAAATTATTTCTTTTTTTCAACGTGTTTTCTCTTAAAAAATATATTTGAGCAAAGAATATCACTTGATATGATGATACATATTTCCATTCATGGTAGAAATTGACCTGGTGTTGGATCGTTTTTCAACACTCTAAACCAAATGTTGAAAAATACGTTTTGTTCACAACAAGTTCAAAGACACGGATACGAGTAATCCGAACTGTCATATCGATTGCAAAAGACCAATATTGTTCGCTTAGTTTGCGCTGTGTTGCAAACTGAGTTGGAAAAGCCGAACGATTTCTGCGCCTCATGATCACATTCCTTCGTCGAACTAACAATGCGTTATTCCAACTGTTGTATAATCACGGTGAATTAAAATAGATACCAGGAATTTGAAACTTAGAGATATTTTTGTGTCAATTCTCATAATCCATATATCATGTCAGATGGCATTACAAAAAAAAAAAGAAATCTAAGTAAAAAACATTCGGTTTTCTTTTTTCTTGGATATGTTTTTGAATACAAGACAACAGAAAAGAAAACGAACGAATGACAATCATAGAAATAACAAACAGTATATGGTCTTGTTGTTTTTTTTTGTTCACTTTAGTTTCTTAACTCTATTGATCTATTTCTTGGAAACAGTCGGTTATGCTTTCGGATTTTTGAGAACCAATATGACGCTATCACCACGTAAGAACATTTTCGATATGTAACGTTCCTTGTTAACAGGTTTTAATACACTTCCTTTGCCATCTCCAGCGGCAGCTGCAGCGGCTTTTGCTTTACTTGATTTGGGTGTTTCTTGCCATAATTCTTTGACATCTTCTAAGACCATATTACAGTGACGATCGAATGCTTTGACCCGTGCTAACAATTTTCGATTGTTTCGGCAGGCAATCAAGACTTGATTATTGTTTTTGACTGCTTCAGTTAATAAGGAGAGTGGTCCAGTGCGAAATTCCTCTTCTTCGCGCTGTTTCAATTCTTCGGGTGTCATTTCTTGTTTGGGTTTTGTTAGAACACTCGTTGACATTCTTGCTTTAGTAATTTCACGGTTGTTAAATGAAATTTAGGTAATAACAAATGTGAATCGACGATTTCTGTAACAAAGTAATGGAAATAGATTGGTAAAATTTCCATGAACCATTCACAAACAATCGATGTCGCCAGTTGTCTTGACCAATCACATTCAAACAAATATTAATCGCCCGAGTTAGACTATTTAGTTATTGTTTATTTTATACTCGATAAAATGCCAAACATGCGCGGAGATGCTATGCGTGGTTTAGCGGTCTTTATATCAGACATTCGAAACTGTAAGTTGAAATGAACGTTGAATGAATCGTTCTGTCACATGATAAACATTGCTTTTCATAGGTAAAAGTCGTGAAGCCGAACTAAGACGTATTAATAAAGAATTAACAAATATTCGACAAAGATTTCGAGGTTTGAGGAAGTTCTCAGCAGGAAATGAGGAGTAAAGTCAATTCTTGTCTTTCTAGCGGATAAAACTCTTGATGGATATCAAAAGAAGAAGTATGTGTGCAAATTATTATTCATTTTTCTACTTGGTCATGATATCGACTTTGGTTACATGGAAGCAGTTAACCTGTTAAGTTCGAACAAATATACGGAAAAACAAATTGTATGTTCACGAAACTATAACACATCTTAAATGATACTATTTGCTATTCGTAGGGCTATTTGTTCATTTCTGTCATTATGAATTCCAGTTCGGATATGAAACAATTGATCATCCAAAATATTCGTAATGACATACAAAGTCGCAATCCGATATTTATCAATTTAGCATTACAATGTGTGGCAAATATTGGAGATCGAGAAATGGCTACTGCTTTTACAAACGATATTCCTCGTCTACTGGTCTCAGGGTTTGTTGAAACTGATGAAATTCAGAAAAGAACGCATTGTTCTCGTTTAGAGATACAATTGATCCTGTGAAACAATCAGCTGCTCTCTGTTTGTTGAAACTTCATCGAACTAGTCCGGAATCGTTACAATTGAATACAGAATGGACTGCAAGAATTATTCATCTCCTCAATGATCAACACTTGGTAAACATACATAAATGACTCATCGATAGAGATATGTCGTTTGTTTCTTCAGGGCGTTGCAACAGCCGCTGTTAGTTTAATTGATGCATTGGTTAAACGCAGTCCGGATGAATACAAAGGCTGTGTTAATTTGGCTGTATCGCGTTTAAGTCGAGTAAGTTTCGTCTTTCGAATCTTATTCGTTCATACTGAAAATGAATTGTAATTAGATTGTGACATCATCGTATACGGATTTTCAAGATTACACATATTATTTCGTGCCAGCACCATGGTTATGTGTTAAACTATTGAGATTATTAGAAAACTATCCTCCACCGGGTAACTGAATATGTAGAAGTTAGGTAAATGTTGACATTTTATTTAATAGAGGATCCATCGATTCGCAGCCGGTTAAATGAATGTCTTGATACAATCCTTAACAAAGCCCAAGAGCCATTAAAATCGAAAAAAGTGCAACATTCAAATGCCCGCAATGCTGTTTTATTCGAAGCAATCAATTTGATTATCCATATGGACTGTGAATCAAGTTTACTTGTGCGTGCTTGCAATCAGCTTGGCCAATTTCTACAAAATAGAGAAACAAATCTTCGTTATCTGGCTTTGGAAAGTATGTGTCTATTAGCTGCTTCGGAGTTTTCACATGAAGCAGTGAAGAAACATCAGGAAACAGTTATTAATGCATTGAAAGTAAGATTCTTCCGAATAGTAAGACGAAAAGTTGAATGAAATATCGAATAGAGCGAACGAGATGTTAGTGTGCGTCAACGTGCTGTTGATCTTCTTTATGCAATGTGTGATCGATCGAATGCCGAAGATATCGTCCAAGAAATGTTAACTTATCTCGAAACAGCTGATTACACAATCCGAGAAGAAATGGTAAAGTCTGATCGATAGTTCACACCGGTACAGACACGTTTCGTTTTTTCAGGTCCTGAAAATCGCTATTTTAAGCGAGAAATATGCTGTTGATTATAAATGGTATTTGGATATCATGCTGAAACTAATTCGTATTGCTGGAGATTTCGTTTCCGAGGAGGTGAGCCTTTCGTGAAGATTTGCAAAATAATTCAAAAATCTTCTTTATTCTAGGTTTGGTATCGTGTTATTCAAGTAGTCGTCAATCGAGCTGACGTTCAAAGTTATGCAGCTAAAATCGCTTTCGAAGCTCTACAAGCACCCGCTTGCCATGAGAATATGATTAAAGTTGCAGGATATATCCTTGGTGAATATGGTAATTTAATCGCGCTTGATCCGCGATCAACGTAAGTCAATGAAATACAATACCGCTGCGATATTCGATGATCATTACTTGTAGGCCGATGGTTCAATTTGAATTACTTCATACAAAATACCATCTTTGCTCGCCAACGACACGCTCTTTAATCTTGTCGACTTACATGAAATTCATTAATTTATTTCCTGAAATCAAAATGCATATTCAAGAAGTGAGACAATATTGATTTACCGAACAGAATGACAAATATTTGTTTAAGATTCTTCGTCACGATTCAAATTATCGTAGTTCGGACGTTGAAATTCAACAGCGTGCTACTGAATATCTTCGATTGAGTGAAATCTGCAGTCCAACGGTATTAGCCACTGTTCTAGAAATTATGCCGCCTTATCCAGAAAAACAATCGCCTTTGCTCGTCCGTCTTAAACAAAAGAAACCTTTGATGGAAGCAGATACTAGTAGTGAACTTTCAACTGCCCCCATCGCACAATCTGGCGATGGTCCAAAACTCACTGATACGGCTGTAAGAATATTGATTAGCAAAAAAAAACAGTCAGTTCATCGAATTCATTTTCAGATGCACCTTCACCAACAGCAACAACAAAATGGGCTGCTTGTTTCTCTTGACACAACGGAATCCAATGGTCATTATGAAACATCGGCATCTTCTTCACTTCCATCATCATTGTCATCTTCATCAGCTGCTTTGCAAACAAACAAGAAATTTTTGTTCAAGAATAGTGATATCATCTTCGAAAATGATATCTTGCAGATAGGTATCAAAGGTGAACCAAAGAAGAGTGTCTTACATGTGGAATTTTACTATGGAAATAAAACGAATTTTAATTTAACCAATCTGTCGGCGAGCATAAGTCTTGCGGACGAATTAGATCCAGGTAAGAGATAATTTCTCATTCGAGTTTTGTCATCTTTGCTTCTTTTTCTATAGAACTTCGAATTCATATGGAGCCTGTTCAAACGACTCTTGATCCACGAGCACAAATCAAACAAGTGGGAACGATTGAATGCTTGAAAGATTATCGAGACTTGCCAAAAATGAGTCTTTCATTTTTGTAAGTAAAAGTACTTTCGAATCATGAAAACACCATCGTATTTATTTGGTTCTATTGACAGTTACAGCAATGTTCCACAGAAAATTGATTTTGTACTTCCAGTATATCTTAATAAATTTATCGAAAAAGCAGAAATGGATTCGAATAATTATTTTCTTCGTTGGCGAAATCTTGACAAGTACGTCGACTTATTCAATTACAAAAACATTGTCACAACGTAACTTTTATTTTCAGACCTGATCAAGAATGTCAAAAAATCTTCCCCGCGAAGTTTCCCATGAGTCACGACGTCTGTGCTCAAAAGGTAAATTCATCATACAAAACTTTCTAATTCCTAATTTATTCCATATAGCTCGAAGGTTTCGGTTGGAGTAATTTGCATAACATCGATGTGAATGCGGATAATTTCTGTGGCGCTGGTATTTTTCATACATCTGCACAACAAGTTGGCTGTCTCTATCGACTCGAACCTAATAAACAAGCCAAAGTCTGTTCATAATTAAAGACTCCTTCTCATCTATGTTTCGTTTTGATTTCTAGATGTATCGGCTAACTATTCGCGCGAGCAAAGCTGGTGTTGCTAGTCATTTAGCTGAATTACTCGAAGACCAATTCTAATAAAATTCTTTCGTGTTCGTTCTTTTTTCTTAACAGTGGTTTCACGCACATGCATTTATTTATTTCAAAATTAGAAAACGCACATTCCTTTAATTGAACTTTTTTTTTGTATAACATAGATTCCGGCGATTGAAGAAAAGAAACAAAACTTAACTATCATTTCGATCTGATCGCGCAAATTTTTCTTTATAATCAAAAAACAAATTCTTAATCTATTTTCAATTTGTCGTGCAATAGAAATCTTCCTCATAATCAACTATTCTTTTTACCGGTCACTGTATCTTCTTATAATATGTGTATGTGTGTGAGTGTGTATTTTCGTGCCGCGCAGCATCAGAGCGTACCACCGTTTTTTACATGTTGTCCTTGTGTGTATTTGTGATTGTTAGGAAAACAATCGATCATTTCCCTACCGTTTTGTCTAGAGTCTCAATGTCACCTGCTGTGATTTCGTGATTTCGCCACATGGTTGACCACCTTCGTTCTTTTCACGTCTTGTCTTTTCTTTTTTTTTTATGATATCCGCTTATCCATTCGATTTCTATCAATATTATTATCATTATTAACAAAGAAAAAGTATTTCATCTGCATGTGAATCTCACAAAGTGACCAAATGCCTGCGAAGTTGAGAATATTTAAACGAAGAATAGAGCTGTTGTTGTTGTTGTAAGGAACATCAAACGATGCACTAGAAATTGATGTATTAGCACTGATTTCGATCATTATTCATGCTTCTATTGAATCAAATGTGAGACCGAAATCAGATATCTTTTCCATCTCTTCAATTCATTCTCCACACTTTGAAATGTGCAATGTAAACAATGTGCATTCTCTGAAGTTATTCGTTATGAATGTGTCTTAAATAAACATCATGTCTATGCTAAGTGAAAAGTCTCTCGTACATTGTCAAACATGAAATTAGTTCGCATCGAATTGGTAAGTTGTTAATTTATTTCTAAATAGTAATTAAAAAGTACACATTCGATGCATCGTATAATTACATCGATGTTTTCAACGTTCATTAACTGTCATTCGTTGCAGTGTAGATTTTGATTAATGATCTGTAAAGGAGAACTTTTGTTACTTCAATTGAACAGTTACAAAAGCTTGGTTAATCCTTTCTCTTCTATTCATATTCGAAGGTTATTTGTCCATCAACTAAATTCTCGTTTATTCTTATTCGATCTATTGAAAATGAGCCATGAGTATTTTTCCCTTTCGTTTTCTCTCTCTCTCTCTTTTCTCCATTTTTCAATGAACATATACAAACGAACAACAGAAACAAAGTTGACCGCGTATACAATTGTAGGCTGTGCATATTCGTTCTATGTTAATCTTCGTTTCGGACGACGACCGAAATGATTACAAAACGTACACATGCAGACGAACGCACATGAAAGTACAACATGCTTGATAACAACTACAAAATGACCGATAGAGTACTGATTGTGAATTAGAACAAGGTAGATATCTATTTTGATGCTTCGTACATATGCAACATTCGGTTGAAAGATGAGAAATTCGAGTTTCTTGTTACATTCTCTTCGTTAGAGTAAAACGAGTCTTGTTTTCACCTTGTGAGATACCCTTGTGTTTATTTATACAATAGCAATTAGAAATTTGAGACGTTTTTTTTTAATAAGTTCAGACTATTAACATACCAATTCGAACGACTTCCGGGAAAAATAAACATTTCAATTCATTTTCTTCTCTCCTATTGTTTCTAAGGCGTCATCTCTCATTTGAATCGAATCCATTAAAATACTAATCAAATCATTGACATTTCTATTTCTTCGCATTTGTTCTAGCCATGAAAAACTCTCTCTGTTCTTTATTTGTCTTCATATCTCAACTAATAATCCTCACTCAAACGTACACATTCGATTCACCCATTGATAATTTACTTTATGTAACAAATACATCCACATTTTATACCATCTCGTCTTCGCATTTACATCAATTACATTGGTCAACATCGAATCAAACATTATTACTACTCCACCGTCGTGTTCAACTTCATTCTTCACTGGATAACACCGAACATGGTGTTAGTGTTTTCCTCTACGATCAATCAAAACATTTATTAATCATCTGCTCTCGGTCATCAATTGGTCGGTGTATATTCTACGACGCGAATGACATCAGTCACATCTATCTTCTCGATTCATCTATAGAAACGAACTATCTAGGATGTTCATCTGGTTGTTATACCTTCTTAGCATCGAATATGATTATCCGCTCAGCATTGGCTGGCAATCGTCGAGATAGAAATGGGAATATAATCAATTCGCAGATTGAATTCAAAAAGGAGTCGTCGTATTTCAATATCAAATACCAATTTCAATCGAGTGACGACACTTTGATCACATCGCTGACATTCCTACCGGAGAAACTGCCCGACATCGAATATATTTATGGATTTGATTATCAACAACATACGTATTATGTGTTAAAATCATCGCGTCTAGCACGATTATGTCAAGCGTCGATTGCTATGCGAATGAGTTATGAAGAAATTCCATTGATTAGCTGTCAGACAAGTTCTTCGACGATTACCGGAGCTTTTCATTCATTTGAAACATTTAATTATTTATATATTATTTATGATGATACGATTTGTATTTATACGATGAATGAAATTCAACGAGCTTTTCAAGCATCGAGGTTGGCATGTCAAAGTGGAATAGGCTATCGTCTTTCATATGTTGTTGATAGTGATGAAGGACAGCCGATGTGCGAAAAGGTAATGAATTGAACAATTTTTTCAAATGAAATTTGCATAATTTCGACTTGTCTATTCATTCTATAGACTGTCGAACAGAATTTGAATGAAGTTAATGAATGTACGTGGCAACCGTACCGAACAAACACGTATATGAATGGCACTGTAGGTGCAATCGGAGAGAAATTGTATCAAAGTGTGAAAATTACATTCATTTTTGCTCAAAATAATATTATTGTTATTGGTACGAATCAACGGCATGTATTGAAGGTATTTATCGAAAGACTGTATTGTGTACTTGACTGTTTATCGAAATCTTAGTTCATACACTTGAATCAAACGACACTTCATCTTTTACACGAAACTGTTTACCATCGTGAACCATTTAATAGTCAATATGTGGTTGATAGTAGACAAGAAGCACTGGTATTCGCTGTCGGAACTGAGGTATTTGATTGTTTTCTTCTTAGAAATGTTAATCTGAACGAAACTTTCGAATAGCTTCATCGTTACAACTACAATTCATGTTCTCTGTACGATTCATGTCGATCTTGTGTCGGCAGTCGACGGTACGATACACAACTGTGTGTTTGGTCTGAAGGAAAGTGTGTTTTATCCTCAGATTCACGCACTGGTGATCGAGGATGTCCACCTATAGTGAATCGAGTACGTCATTCGACCATTATTTTCTTCTTCGATTACAATTTTATCTATAGATTCAACCGATGAATGCCACTGTCAATATGAAACAGATCACATTGACAATCACTGGTTCATTCAAAGGAATACAAGCACATTCAGTAACGGTTCTCATCACATTTCCTCTACCGTACCAGCATGATTTTCCATGTCTAATAGAAAGCATAGAAAATAACAGGTTTGTCGTCTGAAAAGTACTTCTTCGATCGAGTTTGTCGCGTTTAGTCTAACTTGCAATTTCATCCTTCCGAGACAGCCGGCCAAAGGTGTTATATCGATTGCTATTCAGCCTGAAAGATCATTAGAAATCGGTGACACAGACCTGTCCGGTTCGATAACATTTCCAGAAGAATTCAACGTTTATGTAAGCGTAGAAATTGTAGTGAAATAGTTGGTAAATGTTGAATTGATTTAGATCCCGAAAGCGGTTCTAGTTCCTGATTATGGTCCTGCTGTAGGTGGAACAAAAATCCATATTGAGAATTTAGATTTCACTATCTATTCAACTGTAAAAATCTTTCTCGGTAAATCGCAATGTCCCATATCGAAATATGATTATCCAATCGATGAAATCGAATGTATAAATCAAGCTTGCGCCAATGATAGGGAGAGATTGGAATTGAGTATTCAAGTGAACAATCAAATGTGGCAATTAGAAAAAACATACTTTCAATGCCGTGCCAATCCAATCATATTCGACTGGGAGCCGAGAAGAGCGATTATGAGGTACTGTCATTCAAACTGTCAACTTTGATAGAATGAAAATCTATTCTAGTGGTGGAATCCGATTGCTTGTAACTGGTCAAAATCTTGATGTCGTACAAAAACCTCAAATGAAATTCATTTATCACGAATCGAAATTCGAAACAACAACGGTAAGGTGAAAATGGAAGAGTAGATGATACAAGATGTGTAGTTTATTTGGTAGATATGCGAAGTCATATCCACATCTCAAATAGTTTGTTTATCACCAACACTTGACAAAAATCTTGATTTGTCGCCAATGTTCAATCTTCGTGTGTTAATCATCATGGATAATATGAAAATTCAACCTGAAAATGATATTTTAACAATTGTAAACGATCCAATCTATTATCCGTTTGAAAATTCTATTCAGCAAATTAATTCGTCGAATATCGTTCGCTTTGAAGTAACGAATAGCTTATTATTGGTTTCAGTTTATTAACAGATCTCTGTCTAGGGTGCAAATCTGTCATCAACTCATTCGATTGACGATATTGTTATTCGAATTGATAGTATCAATAACGCCTGTGTACCGTTTAACTTCACTGATATTGAACTACTATGCTTATTATCGAGATCGATGCTTCAAGCTTCTGACAATTCAGAGCTACAAGTGGAAGTATGTTCGGAATATCGATGAATGAATAATAAAACTGTGCCTGCGTTTTCAGATTCAAATTGGATCAAACTTGACATTTTCTATCGGGAAATTGACGTTTCAGAATGAAAGCCAAATCTCTCCGTTGAGGAGTGTACGTATGTCTGCACAATTTAGTCCAATGACGATATTGATATTTGTCGTTCTGTCATCCGTAACAATTTTAACACTGATATTCACCGTAGTTATCTTAACCCGTCGCCGACTGTACCATGGTTCGGAAAATTTTGGTAAAGAAAGCAAACCGCCGCAATATTATCAATCAATTTGGTGTGAACTTGGTAAAAACCGGCAAATTAATCGAAAGGATCTCATTATTCAAGATAAAATTGGTCAAGGTTGCTTCGGTGATGTATATCGAGGTGAACTGAAACGGAGCGGGAAGAAAACACTCGAAGTTGCGATCAAAGTTTTGCGAGATCAAAGTGTCTCGTCAATGAACGAATTCTTGTACGAAGCAAATCGCATGAAAGACTTTTCTCATCCAAATGTTCTTTCATTGATTGGCGTTGCATGGGATCCCGCACGCAAGGCAATGGTACTTTTGCCATTCATGAAAAATGGTGATCTTCGCAGTTATATATCGAATGATAAGAACCGGCCGACTGTTCGACAGTTAATCACATGGGCGATACAAATCGCCGATGGAATGGAATATTTATCATCATTGAAATTCGTTCATCGAGATTTAGCAACGAGAAATTGTATGTTGGATGAAGAATTAGTATGTCGAATATCAGATTTCGGTCTTAGTCGGGATATTCTCGACCGAGATTATTACATTGTACCAACAGCAACGAAAGAAGGTGACAATAAATCAATTCAACTTGCCCCAAGACGTTTACCTATTCGATGGCTTAGTCCAGAATCGATTGAATCTTCAAAATATACGATTCAATCCGATGTCGTACGTTTCTCTACTTTGATTTTTCGTTCCCAAGATTGAATTTCGTTCTTTTTTTCAGTGGTCTTTCGGCATTCTTCTTTGGGAATTGATGAGTCGTGGCAAAACACCTTATCCCGGTATTGATAATGCAGACATATTTACTTACGTCAAGCATGGTTATCGACTTCCACAACCAACATACTGCCCGCCTTTACTATACAAATCTGCTATGGCTATTTGTTGGCATGCCGATCCCGCTCAACGTCCAACGTTCACTCAACTTGCACATGATATTCGTCATATATTACATCAACTCGAAGTTGAACAACAACGAAAACAATCCTCGTCGATGGATGAGGATGATACGACGATTATACAACGCTATCCAATTGATAAGAAATTTAAACGTTTATCCACCACGTCACTATCGTCGGCGGGTAGTATCGGTGGTCAATATATAACTACACCTCATCGACAATCGGAAAATAGTCAATTACTATTTGATCGGCAAGGTGACGATGAAGATGCATATGCGGTGGCAGTGAATGCCAGTGCTGATGTGTTTAGTACGAGTAGATTATTACCAGAATATACAGAAACGAGCATTTTAGAGGATGTTTGATTGTAGATTTTCATGTGATTTTGTGATAGTCAGCATTTTTGTCGTTTCTTTCTTCTATCAACGCATTTGTTTTGGATCAAATAAACTCTTTTTTTTGTGGCATACTTCTCCAGTATCATCTGTCAGAGTCAGATAGATTTTATTGATTAGAAAAGTCAATACAAGTAGAAGGAAAATGATTGTCTGTCATACGGGGTGATGTTTATCGAACAATTCTTCGTTGGGATTCCAATAGTTTCTCTCTTTCTTCGACCATAGCTTTGGACTATAGGTAAAACAAAGTAGATTTGAATTTTTTCTCGATAAAAGAAAACAGTCAACTCACCCAGCAGTAGAATGCGGCTAAACCAACTGAAATTTCGGTTACACGAATAAGATCATAGTTTCTCAATATATCTTTCGCATCATGAGCTTTCTCCACAGGTATACTCAATGGATTCAATTCATAGCATCGACGTCGTATGCTGTCTCGCCCAAATCGGCCTAGTAGGGTTTGAATTTGCGGCCAATCCTATACATGAATCAATCATCACCGATCTGAGTAATACTCAATCATAGAATTACTTGTATTTCCCGTTCCGAATGACCGAGAAGCAGGAATGTGGCACGCATCACGGTCAGTACTTCATCTGGTGGTTTAGTATAGCTATGCAATTCGGCAATGGTTGATTGATTCAATCGAAGTACCTTTATTCTAAATATAAGGGTAGAATTAATATCCAACTTAATGTGTTTCCTACTTAGTCATGCAGGTGGAAAAAGCAAAGAGAGATCAAACGCAACTACCTTCTCCAAGGAACAGGTGAAAATCTAAAGATGGAGGGAAGCAGCAGTGTGTCGTAAATTTACTAATAAAACTGATTGATTTACTTCATGTGTTCGATTTTCATCAAGCGATTCAATAATTCCAAGGCTCTTTCACATTCGTATTTTAGAGGTTGAATGTAATCGTGATCCTTTACTTGTTGAATCGCTTCTTCCAATGCAGGAATGGTTCGTTCTTCGATAGCAAATAAAAGCTCTGCTCACAGAAGAAAAAAGTCGTATGAAGTTTATCTGCGCATTCTTACGTTACCTCGACGAATTCGTTCGTAGTTATTTATGTAAGGTGGAGGTGATTCTCGAAGCTGCGGAGTGTTTTGGTCAGGTATTGGACTGGCCGAATGTTCAGACGGTTGAGGAGTTACAAGTGGTGAAGCAGGCTTTTCTGGTGAAGTGGAAGGCACGGGAGGAGATGCAGGAGGAGGGATAGGAGACTCGTGTGGCACTGGCGGTGTCGGTATTCTTGGTAATGATGGAAGTACAGGTGATGTTGGAATTGGTATGGCAACTTCATCAGCAGGTACCGTTGGGGCTGGGGCTGAGGCTGGTGGTGGTGGTGGTGGTGGTGGTGCGGAAGGTTCTGGTTGAGTAAATGTTTTCGTTTCTTGTACTGTGACTGTTCTGGCAGGAATGTTTTCCTGTCGATCTGGTGCAACGCGTTCTTTGAGTATATCTTCCACTGAAAAAAGAACTTCCTTAATTAAATGAAGAGATAATCTAGGAAACAAGTGTTACGTAAGAAATAAATGAGTGTCATTAGGGCTAGCAGAGAAAGAACGATGAGGAGAGCAGCTAGAATTTGACCTTGAGTATCTATAAGGAAAAGATCAGACAATGTTGAATAATAACATCGTAGTTAATAGTACTTGTCGATCGAATACTGCAGCAACCGACAACAGCAATTAAAAATGCCAATTCGACAAGTATGATTGTAATCACAGATATCAAATGTGATTTTCGGAGAACTTTTTCTAAACGATAGATCTGTTACGTTACTAGCTCTCGAACGATTGTTTGAAAATCACCTTTTCGCGTTACATAGATGAACGCAGCAGCTGATGTTAAAACAAGTAGAACAGATAATGAAGTTAAGATAATGATCACCAATGACAAACGTTGGCTAAACGTAACCGTCGTCAAGAACGGTATGCTCCATTTGTCGAACATCTTACAGAAAATCGCTGTATAGACTTCTTCTCTGGCTGCTTTGCGGTTAAATCAGTATCATTGATAGACTCAGTGAATAATTACAAGTTCTAAACTCGTACGTGCGTTGGCTTTCTGTTTTCTTTCTTCTTATTCCAGACTTGAAACGATGAAATATGAATAAAGAGATAGAATAGCATTGTAGACAAGTTGTAATTAAAATACGAAAGATCTATCGATAAGTGCAGCACACATGCAAAGAACAAGAAAGAACTGATCAAACGATTGCATCGTCCTCGAAAGTTTCTGTGTCTGTTCTCATAGTAGCACTGTATACATAGCAGAACATTTCGACTTGTTTCGCATAAAATCGAATGCAAAGAAACATGAAGATAGTTTATTGTAAGATTCCAATACGAGACAATGAATTTATTTTTGAAAATGTATATCACTCCGTTTATTCTTTGGAGCAAAAAAAAGCTTACAAAACAGAATAACTATAAACTGACATTTGGTTGTGCTCCTGTCCATTTCGCTAAGAATTTCAGACAATCTTGTAAACTTTCTCGACGAATCGATTTAGCAGAAAGAACAAATTTATTCCAATCTTCCTTGTTTGCCATGAGATTGAATCGATCGAAAACCACCCGATCATCCAGGACGGGATAACCAGTGATGAGACAAGGCGATGCGCGTTCGTTCGTCTCAGGATTGATCAATGAAAATTCAATACAATTACGCGAATCACGACGAAGTGCTGGTTTAATCTACAACAAATTCAATATGTTCAAACTGACACAGACGTTCACTAGAAATTTACCGCTTGTTTCATAGCAAGGGTTAAAACATGTTCTTTCACTTTTTCGTGCTGTTCAGGCGGTAATGTTGGCTCATCAGGTAACTCAATCTCATAAGGAATATCTGTTTCGACAAAATCCGATGTTGCTAACATGTCAGGATTGTGTTCTTCGATGGCATCGACAACATCCAAATAACGATTGAGAAACATCATGGACATTTCGTTCCAGTTCACTTTTCGACACATGATACCAGCTTCATAGAATGCACGATCGACCGGTAAAATGTCCGAATGACGAAGAAGTGAAATGGAGAGCTTAGCTGTAATATTGTCGAGCTGTTCATGTTCAGAACATGCAGCACGCATTGCATTCATATGAGAAATCCTGAAATGAGCATGAGAATAGAAAGGAAAATTTGAAAGAATTTCTTATTTACCAAAGAAGAATCTCAAACGTTGGCCGCTGTTCTTCGATTTCTTTTTGTATGCCACCTGCTTCTCCCGACATCGACGAATTCATGTTTTCAAAAACATCATGCAAAACATCGCGAATATCTGCCCATTTCGGATAATTGTCATGTTTTAACGAATCAATTCGTGACATGCGATAAAATAAAGCTTTATAAATCTTCAGATTTTGTGGAATAGCTATTGCTCCGTATTTCTTGTAAACGCTCGCGACTAATTCAGCTCGGTTGGCTTGAATCATCTGTGCAGCATATTTAGCTAAATAAGCATGCAAAACGAGTGGACTTTGTTTTTGTGCTTCGGCAAAACATTCTTCCCATTGATTACGTTCGACGAATAAATCTAATGCTGCTCCAACATCGAGATTTCTCATCTCTTTCGCGTTTCCACTATCTTTCAAATGTTTCATGTAGAGTTCGTCGACGTACTTCGCTAGTTGTGGATCGACTTCTAATGCTAATTTCTTCGCTTTCTCCCACTGTCTACCAGCGATAAATGCTTCGACAGCTTCTTTATATAGTTCCACGAGTAAATATTGTTCAGCAGCTTGATTAGGATTTCCTAGTTGAACGAGACGTGGACCAATGGTTCGTATGACATGCTGAGCTTTGTTTTCAGGCAGAAATTTTCTCGCTAAATCACTTGCCTTTAAATAAGATTTCATTAGCGTTTCTTTTGGAATATCTTGTTGTGGTAATAGACGCAAATATAGGTCTACAGCCCGTTGATATTCACCTTGCGATTCACAACGAGCAGCTTGTTCCAGAATACTGTTGTCATTCTTATACGCTGTGGTTGGACGTTTATCGTCAGATTTAGGCATACCTTTTTTACGGGCTATGTTTTCTTTTAATTCATCAAGTTTGTTGGGCAAATATTCTTGACAGACACGTAATGCATCTTCATCGGAACCTATGAGGCAAAAATAAGTATGAAAGCGAAATAGTTCGTACGTTCGTACCATTGTCGCAGTATAGTTGAATAGCCAGATCGGGTCTTTGTGCCTGTAAGAGGTAACTTTCCGCCTTTGGAAAATCGTTGTTATGAAATGCTTGTTTGGCTTGACCGATCAAGACATCGTTCAGTAAAGCTTTGTCATTCGCTTGAGCAATTCGTTGTGCTTAAATAGCAAAGAAAACACAAATTTTTCGTCCTTAGTCGATTTCAATTGTCATACCTCGATCCCAATCTTTGATTTGCACGTACATAAGAACTGCATCTCGTGGCTTCTTCGCTTTGAGAAACTCCGCTTCAGCTTCCGCATAACGACGTTCATCTTCCAAATGAAGAGCATATTTATAATGCACCTCAGGAAGCTTATCTTTGAGAAGAAGTCGAGCGATATCAAATGCGAATTCGTAAGCATGTTGTTCGCAAGCTAAATCAAGTGCTTGTTCAGCATGGCCAAGTTTATTGAGAAGTTTAACACCTGCGTCACCACCCAATTTCTTCGCCCAGAAGAATGCCACTTGTTGGCTTGGAACTGGGCCTCCATGTTGGCGAGCAATACCTATGAATACAAAAATTGAATACATAGGAGTTTTTCTTCAACTTATCATCTTATTACGATAGGCATCTTCCCAACTGTCGAGTAAGCGATACATATTTGCAGCCGATTTCCAATCACCCGCTTGAACATAGTGTATTTCTGCTTCTTTGTAACGTTTTTCTTGTTCAAGTTCTTTAGCGATAGTAATTTCGGTATCTTTCAACTTGTCCGGATAATATTGACGAACAAGACGAATTAAAGCATCGTAATTCTTCGTTCGTTTGTACATAAGAATTGCGGCGGCATTATCATTGATTGTAATGTACAATTTTTCAGCTTCCTTGTAACGTCCTTTAGCTTCCAGTTCTTTAGCTTGATTAGAATAGAGTTTCGTTACTTCATCCTTATTCATGTACTGTTTAGCGAGACCTAAAGAGGTGACAGGATGAAAATTAGCGAAGGAATTTGAAACAAAACTTACGGAATGCTTGTTCCCATTTAGCCGCACGATTATACATTTCAACACATTCGCCTGGACATTGTGCTTTCAAGTAACATATTTCTGCTTTGTCATATTCTTGAATATGAGCGAAATGTTGAGCTAAACAACAAAACGATCACTACAATCGGTTCATCATGCACTCAATCGAAGTTTAACTTACCAAGTTGTTTGTAGTGCTTAGCAATTTCTGGATCATTCTCGTCTCTTTGTTGTTCGAGAATTTCCAATGCACGTGCCCATTGACGACCTTGTATCGCTGCATTGATAGCTTTCATATTTTCTCCTGCTTCAATATAATGATTCACAGCTTCACTATATTGCATTTGTTCCGCCAAATCATCACCCCTAAGAAAATCATTTACAGCTTTTCAATTTCGTCTCTCTAAAATGCTAATTTCTTCACTTACCATTTACTTTCCAGTGTGACAACATTTTGTGGTGCTGTTCGTCGTGCTAACTTCACAGCTTTACGGAAACATTTGCCAGCTTCATAACAGTTCAACGCTTTGGAAAATTCTTGAACGTGCTCGTACAGATCTCCAGCTAATTCGTACATGTTTGCTCTAACTAAACTGATAGCGACACGTGTGATAAGGTCACTGTCGCGCATCAGTTGAGAACTTTGCATAAGAATATGTGCGGATCGAGATGGTAGATTGGCTTGCATGTACAACGCAATAGCTTCTTCCTCTTCGTGTTGTTTCAGTTTCCATTCAGCTGCACGCGCGATCTGTTTAGTATCTATTAGCCATTTGTAATACGTTGAACGTAGTTCATCGGCTTGTGGATGTCGCTTACGATCAGCAACAGATATGGCCTCATCCCAATGATGCATCGTTCGATACATATCGATCGCTTTGTCGACATCGCCATTTTCTAAGTAAATTGATTCAGCTGTCTTCAATTGTCGTTCGAAGATCGCTAGTTTAGCTCGAACTTCATAGTGGTCATAAGAATTGCTCTTTTCTCGTGCTAGTTGATTGATAGAATGAAGAAATCGGGCTTTAGCCATTTGTCTCGTCGCTGTGTAAGCTTGTTCAGCGACAGTATATTCTTGTTTTTCGTATGCCAAACGCGCTAGAGTTTCCCATAGTGCATTCGATGTCTCATCAGACGAATCCGTTGCGTCCAAATATGCAACAGCACGACGAAAATCTTCATCGTTGATCGCTGTATTAAATTCGATTTTGTTTGAATCGAGTTCGATCGAAGATTGTACACCATTGTCATTCAATCTAACATACGTTCGATTGGTCGATGGATCCTTGCTAATTTCTGTGACATCACCTTTAATCGGCTTCATGTCACAGGATTCAGGATGTTCTATATTGTACCATACGGAAAGATTATCCTGCGACTGGCCGACAACGACATCACTGTCCGGTATCCTAAAAAAACAAAACGAGATTGGAATTGTTTTTTTATTATCAAAATTTACCATTGTGCGTAAATGCAAAATGAAAGTATACATGTCTTGGTTCTTGTCTGTAGGTTATATCTACAAAAGAATAGATTGATTATAGTCTTCCACTGTTTGTGTTACAATTCGAAATGTAGTACATACAGATATAGCTTGAGGTTTTTGTCTCGAAATAGTAAGTATCGACTGGTTTCATTCAATGCTAGCCAATTTATATTTGCATCATGATTGACTTGATCAATCACAGCTGCTCCACTCGTTGACATCAGATCAACAATTGCAATTGTTCGACTATCAAGTAAATACGCCATTTTCTTATTTCCTCGAAGATTTCGTTCTTCGACGCGTACACTGATCAAATTCGGACTAAGAAATTCTGTTCGAACAGTGCACAAGATATTATCAGCATGTCTGCCACTAGGTGCATATTCAATTAATGTTAATTCTCCATTAGCGAATATCATGCAAACATTTTCGTTTTCAAATGAGAATTTTTCATCGCCCGACGATTGCCAATGCACTTCACATTTCCGTTTTTCATCTTCTAAATCGACCAGGATCAATGAATGAGTTGTGTAACCAACAGCATATCGATCGCGGCCCATGATTTTCACATCACTAATTTCAAAACCGTTTCGAGATACTAAATCTGTTCTTTTGCCAGTAGATTTATTTTCGATGAGAACTTGAGATAAAGACACGAAATTAATCGCATATTTTCCCTTCATGCTGGATTTCTTCAACGAACAGTTGAATAAAAATGTACCTCCAGTTAAATTCGATACGGCAAATCGAGCTCCATCTAGAAGACAAAAGTCGATGCAAATTAAGTTAACGATTGACGTTTACCTGATCGCCACGACATCGCTGTTACTGTATACATATTTTTGATTTCTTTCATTGGTGCTTCTTCAAACATTCCCTTTCTCGGTTGATAAGAGTAAAGACGTACATGATCATATGAACCAAAAACACACTCTTGTCCTAAAGTATCAAAAAATCTTTCATTTTCGAATATCAAAAGTTACAAATTGCATCTACCTGTTGGATTGCAAATACCAGAGCTAAATTCTCGTTCGAGTGGTTCTCGACTATAATCAAATTGTTGTAAAATCTTGCCGTCTTTACTATACACAACTACTCTTCGATCACATCCGCCTACTAAGATGCCATGTGCACTCCAAACCAATGCGCATGGTGGACACGAATGTCGTACAACTAAACCTGACTTATCGCCTGTTCCTTCGTCTTCAATGATAAATCGACAAATACTTCCATCAGCATGTCCTGATAGAATTGCTTTACGCGAAACATTGGCTGTTAACGCAACTGTGTATTGCTCAGCAGTAAATAACGTATGTGATTTATTCTTTTTAACATTTCCTGAACGTAGTTTACCGTCGGCTAGACCAAAGATAATTTGTCCATCAGGTAACCATATCAACGAAGTGACATGCGCCGACTGAACAAATTTAGCCACGATAGACTTCTTCTCGCCCCAGTCCATACCCAGTTTATATACAAAAACGATATTGTCCGATTGTGCGACGGCTAGTTGAGTGTTGTCAGGTGAGAAGTCCATTCCTGTCACGACGTAAGATTGCCGACCGTATTTCGAATCGATTGGTTTTGTTGCAAAACGATCACGTAATTCACCTGTGTCATCGTATAATTGAATGACACGATCAATGCACATCGCTAATTTCTGTCCATTTGGTGAAAAACAAATGGCAGAGATCTGCGCCTCGCCAGCGGCTGCATCAGATATTTGTTTAAAAAACTTCACTTGCATTCTGAATTCATCAAAATCTGAAAAGAGAAGAATTCCTATTCGAATAATTATACGAAAATCGATAGCACTCAATTCACTTTTGCGTACTGATTACATAAAACTTCAAAATCTTTATAGAATCAATTCATCCTTTTCATGTTTTCCTCCGTTGTCAAGCAATGAACTCCAATAGAAACGTTTACATCTCATACTATTCGTTCTCAACCAACCATTGAGCGAATGACATGAATCATGCATAACGTAGCAAGCCGAATAATACTTATGCAGACAGGTCATTTTCTCAGACGACCTTACGAAAGTCATCTATAATTTCTGATTAATCAAAAATTTATACGAATAAAATAAAAGATGTACCTTTCACCGGTAAAAAAAACGTTGATCATTACAAAAGAACCTTTATTTTGTAGGCTGAAGGGCGATTTGATCCTCTGAAGAATGGTTCCTACGCATAAAAATTCTTCAGTTCAACCTGTGAATATGAGATTCCTAATAAAAAATTCATTTTTTCGCCAGCTATTGCAATGCCTGAGAATAACACCTTTGGCTTACAAATGCTCGTTCTTCTTTTCATAATAAAAATCAAACTTCGGAATAAAATAATGTTCTACATTAATTCACGATCATCCATGCGTAGGACGAGAAGATGCTAATATGATATTTTAATTTTTCATGATTACAAATTATGTTTGATATTAAATCATATTTTGACACAACCCGAATGCGCAGAAAAAAACTTTTTGCCCGTAAGATATGTTTACTTATAAATCGACGACAGTGATTCAATTCTTTCATATTAAAAGATTAATTTTCATCGACAATACATAGATGATTCAATTCTGGAGAATGACATTTTTTATCGTACTATAAAATGCACTGCACTTATTAGCAAAAATCTCTTTTCAGTGCCACAATTAATCATTCCTATTTCATTAGTATGTCGACAGCGATAAATCCCATGGAAGTCTTCTTGATTCATCGGGAATCAAGTCATTTGACCTATGATTAGCCGATCATATTTGTTTCAATCATCTTTTCCTCTTTTAATCGCGTCATAATTTCTTCCGCTGTCATACAATACACTCTTTAAATACATCGATTCCATTCGTTCTGCGTTATCCATTGATATAACGTTGAATGAATCATGAACAATGGGGTCGTCTGGTTGGTTACTTAATTTTTCCTTGTTCTTTCTTCTAAAAGATATTATTCGACGCGATAAAGTACATAATCGTTTGTTTTTTGTCTTTTTTTTCCGATATGCTCGGCTTAGTCAAGAAAAAACGAATTCAAGTTGCTTCTATTTTCAGATGCAGCGCGTGTGTTTTTGTAAAACGGTGTCGTTATTCAATCATGTTTTACAGCCAAGTCAAGCTCTCGCACTCTTTCATCAATCGTTATTATTCTCCTTAAAAAATCTCGCTTTAATTCGATGGATCAGCTCGACAATTGATATTCCGACCGGCTTACAGTTGTTAATGATTGATATTAATGGTAATGTTACCATTGATGATGGTTTAATTTACAAACAACTAGCCAATACAAAACGTACGTATACACGACTATTTGCTTTGTGTTTACTGAACTTCTATTCGTTTTTAGATGAAGTAGAACAACAATTAGACACAACATCAGTAAGAAAATTGAGAAAACAATGCGTTTGTATTGATGATGAATGATTTAGATTTTGAAATGGATTAGTCGTATTGTGTTACGATTAGCAAGTGATTGTTCTATATCATCGAAATCAGATCGTTCCATAGAATTCGAATCATTTAATGATTTCCTTAAACAATTTCACAGTTTGTTACTGCTACTGAGAATATGCTCAACATTTCGTTTCTTCGTATTTTTCAGCTATTTCAAGCAATGATCGATCCACACTGTCCGATCACGATGAAGGAATCAGCAATGATGACCTAGACGATGAAGATATCAGTCGAAGAGCGATTTACCGCGCTTTGATGGTAAGATACTACCTTTGCAAAAAAGAAAACTTATAGCCTGAATACAGAGCAAATAATTAAGGATGTGTTGTTTCTCTACGGAGACTAATAGTCGTACACGATGATAGTATCATATTAGTTCTACTTGGCCGATGTGAATGCAAGGGATTTGCTTTGTTTCGCTGAACATGTTGAGATTAAATATTTCTATTGATGCAAATAAGTGACTGATGAGATCATTCTCTATGTCTACATAGCTGAATCAGCTCGAGTTTCATTCTCGAGAGGGTCATCGAGTACGGTTTTAATTCATATTGGTATTTGATGGACTGGTTCGATTTCGGATAAGGATATAAACTCTTACGTAGTGTGTCTTCGTTTCGAAGTTGATCTTTTTTGTATAAAATTTGTCTATTTAGAAATGTATTGAATACATTACAAGCAATTCCTTAACCAATTCATCCAATAGTAATGAAAACAAGTCTAATATTAGTGAAATGCAAGATTTTGAAAGCAATGCGATTGCTCTCTACAATCAAGAAATAATTCAAATTCTTTGCAGTGATACTTTAGAATTAGAAATTGAATTAGCACGTGATAGTGTAAGATTTCTTTGCTTAATTAAACTTATTAATATTCTTAACAAATGATTATTTGGTTTAGCGGCAACCATCGTTCGAGTTATCATCAACACCGCCACTTCCGCACGATAACAGATTTTATTCGACTTGGGTTTGTTACATAGACCTTTTCTCGATATCTATTCATTCATTGGTGTTCGTTTAGTCATCGCTATGGCGTGATGTGACTGTTGAATATTTACAATTCAATGATCAAAACCGTCTGCGTAAAGTTTCATTGGATAATTATGGTAATTTAAACGGTTCAACGAATGAAATTCGTCGATGGTCGATGAGAGACAATGATCGCATTCTCGACGAAATTTCTCGACGACAACAAAATCTTCGCAAAACAAGTCCGTTGATACGTGTCCGAGAAACCAATCTCGAATGTTTACACGATCGATTGATGTCAGAAATTAAGCAACAAAGAATTCTAAAGCCAATTGGCAATGACAAAAGTCGTTTATTGAATTCCACAGCATCTAGTCTGGATAGTTCGCGTAAAAGAATACGCCCGGTCAAAGTTAGTTTCACAATGACGAGATTTGAAGGAAAATCATTGATTGATATTCTCTTAGGCAACCAATGAAAGTGATTTAAGTTCTGATGATGAACAACGTGATGAACACGGTCGAAAACGTGTCGCAGTGATTGATTGCCTTTTAGAATCTTCTCCATCATCACCCGAAGACGATGTGGACAGTAAGACTTGAAATTTTGCTCTATACATTTGGGTAATTTCCGTTCATTTTGTTTTTCTAGGCGAAGCAACAATCAAATCTAAATGTGTAAGTGAAAACGGAGATGACTATATCGATTTATCTGTGGATGCTCTAAATTTGTCAAATAATTACACACAATTTTCCTCCAAACAAGTCGAAGCTCTTGAAATAGACTACATATCTACGGAAGAGATCCTCCGGGTTGGTTTTTCTGTTCTCAATGCGTTATTCTTCTTGCTTTCATTGTTGTTTTGTATGCGCCCGTCTCGAGTAGTCACCTTTCTCGCTTGTTGAGTGTCATGCTCATTCACAACACTAATTTCATCAACACATTGGGACATGCGTGCATGCATTCACAACAATGTAGGAGAGAAACGATAATAAGTATATGGAAGACTTTTCTAGCCGAATTGCTACTGAGAAGAAAGAAAAATGAAGTCGCCCACGCACCATTGTGATCTAACATGCAAGAAAAAAAAATCCGAGAAAGAGAGAATGAATGAACATAAGGAACAGAAAAAGATGTTGCTGTAAGAGATCACTCTTTTACTACGCGCGGAGAATAAGCGAGATTTTCCTTTTTCTTCTTTTTGACTTCTTTGCCCTCCGACTTACGATTAGACCGCTTAAGTCAAATTGATTTCTTCTGCTCTGAACCACAATGCAGCTGCAAGAACGGATTTTTCAGGTAATTACATATGATTGAATCTATGCTTTCAACGTTCATAATTAATCATTGATTTTTATAAATAATAAAGAAGCGTTTTTTTCTTTCTTTGATTGTTTTAGCTTATGAAAGACAGTTCAAATACATTATCGCTTACATTTGATGAATTCAGTCACATACGGAATGTGATCACGCGAGCCGAACTCGAAACATTGCTATTTAACGAAAAGCTATATGCTGAAGTTGCTCAGGGAAAGGTAAAGGACATTTAAACAGAAACAAATCTTTCCAATATGTTTTTCTTCTATTAAGTTATGCTTTACATGTCGAAAAGTGCATTTTAACTTACTGACATTTACATTTGGCATTCAATGTAATGTTTGCAAACAAAAAGTCTGTCGAAGTTGTGTTACTCAGGTATGTCTGGAGAAAATTTCCTTCTACTTGTAAAAGAAATTTCATCTAGATTGCCTTACCGAAGGAAAGACTCAATGATATACCAATTCAATCATTCACTCCATTGACATTGTCGAAAGGATTGCACAATCCTGAACGATCGTATTCTCTCGATAATCAGTAAGATATTAGTTAAATCATTTCATTATTGAAATCTCATTTGCGAGAAGAGGATTACTTTTGACTTGACTTTGGACTTTGAATGATTTAGTTGAAGGTTTTCCCGTCTTCAATAGTGAGATCAACATAAGCTGAACTCAAATAATTGCATGTCGTATTTAGATCACCATTGACACCGGTTATGAATGATGTTATAAATGACTTTACACAGAATGACGTTGACTCTCGTCGAAGTTCAACCCCGGCTAATGCAAAGAAACTTTCCGAATTATCTAAACGCAACTCGGAACCGATCGATATCTGCACTGATTGTTTCTTTCTTCTACAACAACTTCGTAAGAAGTCTCGACAACGTCATATTGATCCTCCAATACTTCCGCCGACATCATCATCATCGTCATCAGTCAATCGTTCATATCATTCATCATCACGTTCAACATCGAACTACAATCTTTCATCATCGTCATCAGCATCATCGGTTGTTGCACTTTTAGCTCAACAACAACATCATCAAAATTCTTTGATGATGAAATCGAATTCGAAACAAGAATTAGTCGGCAGCAACAATGACCCATTACAAACTTTGACCACAATTGGCGCAACCGGTGGTTCACAACGCGTGACTCTCTCACGACGTCATCTCTTCCTGAAACTTCAACCAACCTACGATGTGAAATAGAATCCTTTGAAAACCTACTTCATACATTCAAGTTGATTTTCCGCATTTCCATCCGGTTTCTCATTTGTATGTGATACGAGCGAATAGATCAAAACTGTAATCTTTTTTTTCCTCTCTTAGAATGAATATCTCATATTTCTCAACTCTAGTCTCTACATTCAATGTCTAATAAAATGATTTTCCTGTCATGTGTTCGTTCTTTTGTAATTAGACGAAACGAGAACTAATGCTGACTATCTTATCTTATTTTTTTTCTCTTTTGAGTATGTAAATAAAAAACATGTGTGTGAATGCTAACTTTAATAATAAAAAAAATAAAGAAATTCTAAGTATTTAATATTCATCTATATATAAATTTTATCTTATTTTTTGCCAATTTGTCCATAGATTATACTATCTTCACAATTATTACTTGAACTGCAACAAATATATTCATATCATTTTCGAAGGTATGTAATTAACCTAATATTCAACAAAATGAATGAATTGTCGTGAGTAAAAAATCATTAATTTCTTCCTACTCAGTGCATTTTTTATAACGGAAATTAAAAATATTTATTTTCTATTCTTAACATCGTTGACATTCATCATTTACGACTAAAAATGACATTTGCTTCTTTCGGCTTGCCGCAAGAAGAAAACATTGATTAAGGGGTTAATCAAATTAGATTAGTTGATAGTCGAGATAAGGTCTCGGCCAATGAAATGACAAATAGAAATTTCCTATTCGATATCGAATTATTCTGTATTTGTTATTATCGAGATGGGGATAAGATCAGGCTTGTTTATCATAACTTTTTCTTGAGTATCGTGCAAATCTGTCGTGTTATCTGCTTATCGTCAAAATATAATCAGGCTATATGTTGTCTCGCCAGCCGAATGAATCTTTTTATTTAATCCAGCTGTTTCGAAAGGTGATGTCTTTCTGGCCAGCCTTCGTTTTTAGTTTTATCATTGCGTGTCACTTGACATTGTCTGATGATAGATTGTTGAGAATTCGATTTAAACTCGAGTATATTATTAGCTCAGCGAACACAAAGGAAAGGGACTCGTCATTGAGCTGTTTATTATAAGTTTTATCTGAATTGTTTAAATCGTCGAGCATTGACAGTGTCAAAAGGAGTTGCGAATGTATGAAAAAAGAAAGAAAAATAAATATCTGCCAATTTATGACATTCTCCTTCGCAATTCTTTAAGAAAAAGGAAAAAAATCATTGGATTTTTTCTTCGGATTTTTCTTCCTTTCAGTGTGATTTATTGTTTTTCAACTTTTCTGTCTCGCTCGTCTCATTACATCCACGGACATGAAAGTTCCAGCTGTTGATTCAACGTCCTTCTAACGCTTCTTTTCTCGACTAGGTTTTTTTTCCCCTTCATTCTTTAAGAAAAACAAATATGACAAAAATGGCAAGTTATGCAAGTTTTTAACTGATTACATGTTAGTATTCCGAATCTACCTCGTAAATTTTCATAGCAAAACTAGCAATGGAAAAGAACAACATTTCTTCCATGTAGCAAGACGCCCATACATATTATATCTTATCTATATGTTTGGTAATGCAAGGCGAGTTTTGATGGCAACAGCTGTGATGAGAGGAAAAAGAGAAATAAGTTTCATCTATTGGTCGTATCGACTGACGATCGTTATTTGTGCCACGTTTTTTCTCTTTATTTCTATCAGGTTGACTATATCAACTTTGATACATGATTGATCATTATTAGCGTTTAATGTCCTATGAATTATGCATATTATCAACACTGAAATATGCCAGATGAGACAACATTCTTTTATATTAAGACATACAGTAGCTGTGCTTGGTACGCCGAAAAATGTGTTGTTACACATAATAGAATGTAGTGTATTCGGGTTTAGGCTGTCGACACATGTCTACGTAGAAAGGAAGAGACTTGTAGTTCTTATTCTCATTTTCTTTTCTCTGTCCCGGTTTCTTTTCATTCTCTGTTTTTGCTCGTTTCTTCTTCTTCTTCTTCTTCTTGTAGATTTTTTTGTTACTCTTTCTTCTTACTCTAGTATTGGTGTTCGTGTCGGCGTGCAGTGTAATCGACGACAATAGCAAGAATAAAAAACGCGATTTCTAACCTTCCTCAGAATGTTCTTGTGATCTGTTTCCTATTTCGTTCGAGTATTAGCATTTCTGCAGTAAGTAAAACTGATATATATATTATTCATCTAACATATGTGCATCTAATTTCAATAAAGAAATGTCTAAAAGAGAAAATAGAAAGTTTTCCTTTTTATATATTCTCTAATCGAATTAATCGATGTTAAAGGACAGAGAGAAAAAAAGAGGCATATGATGTTGTCAGAAAAAGAAAGACTCGCTATTGAAATGTTGTTTTTCTCTTTCTTCGATATGCTATTCAATAAAGCATTGATGATGTTATGAACAGCAGACTATTCTATCAGTACTTTATCAAACTGTTCTGCCTGTCGACACATTGTCAGTGAAGGAAAGAAAGTTTGAAATGACCTATGGATTACTAATAGCTAATGCCAGATTTAAGTGGAATTTATTACATAGTTTCTATAATTGTACGTGACACACTAAATTTCCCTTTATTTCAAACATACTACTGTATGAACGGAAGTCGTCGACTGTTCGTTGATTGTCTCGAGCAATATGTCTGTTCATCTTTCTTTCTTCTTTCATTCTGTCTTCATCAAATTCACTATATTCTCGTTTTTCTTGTATATTGCTAATCTTGCGTGCAACAGCGCCGACGATGTTGATGGTCGTCACTGACTGGTTGGGCTGATGGTGATGAGTATTCATCGTGTGACGACGAACAGACCACGATCTCTTTCTCTCTTCTCTTTCGGTCGGTATATTTCTTCTCCTTATCCTTCTTCTGCATCTTCTTTTCTTCGGTCTGTTCACGTTGTGCGTGTATGATGTGCGCTTGACTTAGCTTGAGGAGAAGAAGAAGAGAGAGAGAGAGAGAGAGAACGATGTGCCTTTGTCTATTATAGATTAAAAGGGGGAAACTTACAACGACCTCCGCACGCTCATATTTATATACATAGTCGTGTGTACAAGTAATATTTTTAATCAATTGAGAAGAATATGTCAGCGATTGTCGTTCATCAGGTAAATATTCGATTTGATTAAAAGAAAAACAACAATCTGCGTTTGACATCTGTCAAAGAAAAAACGAGTCGAGAATTTTGATTTTGTTTACTTTATGCTCGTCGTTTCAATCGAAGAGAATTCATTGTCAGAAAGAGAAAGCTTTTTTTTTCGCCTAAGCTATTGATATCAATAGATACTGATTGTTTATTGAACGTGGTGATATCTTTACTCCGCCTACTGTTCAGCGTAGCATGAATACACAGATAATTAAATGCTTTATTTGCTAGACTTCACTCTCGCAGTGAGACATCGAATCGCTAACTGTTTATTAGAAAAAAAAAGAATCCATCTCCTTCTTTTCCTTGTTGTCAGCTAGTAGGAAATTTCCATGGCCAGCAGATGACTTTTATATGGAACGGAAAGAAGCTGTTTGTGATGAGCAATATGTTCGTAGATAACTGTCAGTGGCCTTGCATATAAACGAATCGATCATTAATGAAATGATTGCTGCATGCGAGTGTTTTTCTTTGTCTTCTCACCGATGTTGCTTATCAGTTTTATATATTCTCACTTGTAAAATCCGGACTAATCGGATGAATCATTTCTGTGCGTATGCGTGTGTGTGTGTATATATATATAGATTTTATAAGATTGTTTTTTCCATATGTGACCTTTGTGTTTGTACATGGACGAGAAAGAAGAAATGATGACGTGTTATTGCGAGAAAAAAGAAACAGAACGAAGAAATCTTCCGATTCATTCTCGAAAAAAAAAAGAAGAAAAAGACATTCGTTTTTTTCTCTGATCTTATCGTCTTCGAAACACATTCACTTTGTTATCTAAAACGAAGTTGTCTTCTCCAAAACAATGGTCATACAGGAAAATATAGTAAGAGCGCATGTGTACACAGTGAGAGACATATCATCTTAATTGGAAATCTAATCGAATTCTTTGCCTAATGAGAACTATAAAAATACATTGTTATTGTTTCATTTTAGCCATCACGAACGCCTCCTTTACACCATTTACTTAGTGATCCTCATTCATCAGATCACGTGCAACAGCAACATTCAACAATAACAGCAAATATGGCATTAACAACTGAACGTGAAGCTTATTTGCGCTTAGCAGCCCATTCAATGGAAAATTCCAGACAATTAGTACCCAATTTCAATATTCGTTCACCTAAATCTTATGGAGGTTATGTTGTAAGTAATCCAGTTTCAATTATTTTTTTTCTAGTTTTTCACAAATTGAATGTTTTGTAATTGAGCGAGCGAGTGAGTCTAGTTGGGCTACTTTAATTCCATCGATCGGTGATGAACATTTCTATGTCTTTCGTTCGCTTGTTGTAGTCTTTGTTCGGATGCCGACGTTCTCGAAATGTTATTGTTCGATTAGAAGATGATTAGAGAGAAGGCGCCTCTATCATTATCCTATTGATGATGATGGCGTCGTCAAGAATTTATTCCTTCCCCTCTTCTATTCTTGGATAGATACTCATCTGTATTCGATTCAGATAGTTCGAAGTCGACCAAAATTTGTTTTCTCTCTATTGTTAATGGGTCAATCCATTTGTAACCTTGAAAGACAATAATTGAGTCGAGTAATCATCCCCAGTAAATGTCTCATTACGGGAGTAAAGAGAAAAAGGAAGATCTCCTACTGTGTGTGTATATATTTGTGCATCTTTATCTCATAAAAAAAAGATGTAGCAGGTTTAGTTGCACATACAAATAGGCATAGTAGTTACAATGATATGTTTGTTAGATAGAAGAAGGAGAAAAAAAACGAGTCAGATCAGATTTCAGTTAAACTCAAATGATAAGTGAACTGTTCGTTTACTCGACGCATTCATCAACGATAATACGATGTGTATGTACATGTGTGTATTAAAATCCTCTTATTCGACAGTGGCAACTTCAACGAAAACGATTAACCTGATATCTGTCTTATGATGTTGCTGTACATGTACATACATAAACTGTCATCAATAGTTTCTTTTTCTTGTTATGTGTAACGTCAGAGAAAGAAATCGATGTTCGTTCTCTCCCTCTCTTTCTGCCTCCTGCTGCCATCGTTTTTATATACCCATAGGAAATTGTATATATTAAATATTTGACGCCAATTAAGAACGATGAGATGGAAGAATAGAAGAGAAACTTTGAAGTTGTTCAGTAAGAATTGATTAGACTCTTTTGTTTATGACTGACTATGCATTTATTCCCAATCAGACAGATACGGAAAGAAAAGAATGTGTAGCAAGAGTAACAACAAAAATGATTTGCTTAGTGGTACTAAAGAGAAGAAGCAGAAGTAGGAAAAGAAAAATGACGCTTGTGACTATAAACGATTATGATTAATTCGGAGGCCACCTCCGGCTTTCTCTTTTTCTTCTCCCGTCGTTCAGCGATTTTCAATAGGGCAAACTCGATTCATATGTAAATACGACAGAAGAGCGAGTTGAGGTTTGTATAAGTATTTATTTCGTAGTTTGAAAAGAAGACGGATAAAGAATCATAAGCGGGTGTTCGAGTACATGTACAAAAGAGAGGAAAATAAGGAGAGAGAGAGAGAAAATCTCGCTGACAGTGAGCATTTGATTAGTTTTTTTTTCATTCTATGATGAGATTTTAACTCGGTACAATTTAGATATGGTTAGAATATTAGATCGAGCTCTATGTCATGTTTTCTTTGAGTCAAAGATAGATGTGTATATACATATGCACATATATATACATATCTGTATGTGTATGTGTATATGTATATCACAGTCGAGAAACTGTCTGAGTGATTGATCGAATGATTTCCATGTCTGACGAGCGAATAAAAGAAAAAGAAGTTTATTCTTTCTTTTGCTTCAACTATGATAGTAAAAGATAATGTAGTAGTAGAGAGGATGTGTCATGAATCTCTCCCCTTCTTTCGCAAACGCATACACGCGTGTGTATATGTGTATGTAATAGAATCCATCTTGTATATGTACATTCTTCTTCTTTCCAGTTGTCGATTGTCGCCCATTGGCAAAGCAAATATTTAGGCCTCGCCTCGTTTCTACAGTGTTCGCTTCGCTATTATTCATTTTTTCTGTCTCTGTCTCTTTTTCTCTCTCTCTCTCTCGTTGCCTTCTCTCCCTCTCTCGTTCCCTTCCCTTTATGCGTTCGCGTCGTGCCATTCGCGCAAAAGAGCTTATTATATTGATGAGTTTTTACTATGATTACATTTGGCTGCTACACATTCTCTCCTTCTCTCCCCTTCAATATTCTTTATAACTCTTGCTATAAAAAAAAACGGAACCAGGACGGCGAACGAACGAACAAACGAATAGAGAGCGTTACCGTGCTCGCTCTTGTCGTCCTACTCTATAATCAGTCAAACCTATACACCGTTAATGTGCATTCGCCTGATATATATGGTCTACAGAGACATATTTCTTTTTTCTCTCACTCTCGTACTTCATCTTTCATTTCATTTGTTCATCATAACCATCGATGCGATCTATTAATTTTGCTGTAGACTATAGATATCTAAATATAAATATACAGTTGTCGGTACTATTATTATTATTATTATTATCATTTCACTCGCACATCTAACATGGAAGGCGATGTTGTCTTGCTTGGATTAATGGACTGGAATGCCGGTAGTTCGACGGCTACACAGTTTATACCATTACCAACGACAACTGAAGTGTGCTATGAATTGTTGACAGGAGGGGTTCGTATATACTGAGTAAATAACAAGAGTTATTAAGAAGAATAAAACATCGTGAAGAGTTGTTGTAAATACATGATCTATTTTTTCTCTTTCTATTTCTTTCAAGGCGCCAATAAATCAAACTCATGCTACCGGATATGAACAACAAAGAACACCTTATCCCAATGGTTTGTCTTCATCATCATCCTCCTATAGCCAAGCTTTTAGTGATACGAATTTGTACATAAAGAATCTACCACCAGAGTATTCCGATAAAGATCTTGCTGCACTCGTCGAAGGGTAATTATTCAATCATTACAGAAATGACTCGTTTATTATACATATGCTAATAAATTCCATTTATTTCTCTCAGATGTGGTCGTATCAAATCAATGAAAGCAATAATTGATAAACAAACAAATAAATGTAAAGGCTTTGGTTTTATCGATTTTGAATCGCACGAAGATGCCCAAAATGCAATAGCCGAATTACAAAAGAAGGGCTACACAGCTCAACTAGCTAAGGTTTGCTATATCTAGAAAAAGACGAGTTTCATTGATGATCAAATCGATTTTTGCGTCTAGTCATCACAGCAACAGGAGCAAGATGAAACGAACCTATATTTTGCAAATCTGGATATTAATATGACAGAGCAAGATTTACGACAGGCTCTTAGTGATTATGGAACGGTTGTTAGTGTACGCATTCTTCGTGATCAAGAAAAACATTCACGCGGTGTTGGTTTCGCACGAATGAACGATAGAAAACAATGTCAAGACATTATTGATCAATTCCATAATAAAACTTTTCCAAGTATGTATCCGACTCTGTCAAAGTACAACACATAATTCATCTATTCATTTTCATAGATTTTACTGATAAGCCCGTACAAGTTAAATTTGCTGATGCTAGTAAAAATAAAAAGGTATATAAAACAAGTTTTGATGTATGTATTCTATATATGAGTAACACTTGTTAATAAATATCTGATTTTGTTTTCTTTTAGGACATGAAGAGTGGCCCTCCATTATATACACCTATAGACCAAACAGGATCTTATCCACCTCAAGCTGTTCTCTATCCACCCTGGCCACAACTTCCACCATCACAAGTTCCAACACAGCAGGCACCGCCACATCCAATCTACGGTCAACCAGCACCGTTACGACAGGCATTGGCCGGTTACAATCATCCGATTCCGCCTTATATGCAATCATCTCACGAACCTGGTGCCGCATTCGTACTACCATTACCTGTACAACAATTACAACAGTTACAAATTGCCAATGGTCATCCCGGAGCATATTGCGTTGTTAATTCTCCTCATCATGCCCTTTTTATGTCAGCAGCTCAACAGCAATCACAAGCACAACAACCACCGCCACCACATGATCAATATATTTCTAGCAAGCACGAATAGAAAGACTGAAAAAGAAGATCTATTGAACATTGTTTTCTTTCGATATGACTTTTGGATGGAACAGCGGAATCTTTTTGTTTGTTTTGCCTTTTTTCCCTTTTCGCGATCTTCTGGCTTGAATGAGAGAAGTTACTGTGGACTTTCTGTTCGTTGTTCAACCACTGCGTTCTCTCACTTCGTCTCGAGTGCCATTTTTTGATGTGAGTGTGTGTGTGTGTGCGTGTGCATGATCGTCGCTCTCTCTCTCTCTCTCTCTCTCTCTCTCTCTTTTCTTCTCTTCTTCTTTTTTTTGCTGTTGTTGTCACTTTTTTTCTCTTTGTTTGTTGGCCGTGCTAGGCAGACAGTTGCCTTTTCTCGTTTCTCTCTCTCTCTCTCTGTGTCTCTTTGGATATTCATGTCTTAGAAAAAACAAACGGCTCTATTTTTTCTGTTCGTTGGCTTCTTTTGTTTTCCTTTTTTTTGCACATTGATAACAGACTGCGATGAAATGATTTTTGAGTAAGACATGTACACAAAGAGACGAAATAAAACAAACAATTTGTATGAGAAAGATACAGAAGCGTTTTTTAAAGATCATCCATCGTCTTTTCTTTCAACTGAAAAAAAAATGCACTGAAATAAAGAAAATGTCATGTCTTATGAACGATGATTGTCTGAAGGTAAACATCAAAATTATATTTTAGACGAGTGGAATGTTTTGAAATTTCATAAAATTATATATTCAAGAATACTTTTCCTTTGCTCAAAGAAACGCCCATTCCATTATGTCAATCAGAGCGCACGCTTTTAATCAAAGAGGAAAAAGAAATGCTATATTCATTTTTGGTTGAAGGAGAACTTCACTAATATGTCAGTGTCCTCGAATTATTTCGTCTTATTTTTATTAATACTGACTTGATTGAGTTTGAAATAATCATGATGACAGGGATGAACTTCGACTCAATCGTTTAGTTGAATTTCTTTTGCCAGAAGCGAGAGATCTTATGATTAAAATTTGTTCTTCAGCAGATGTTTATTAAGTCGGATCTCTCTCTCAGCGGGATAAGCTTTGCCGAAAGTTGTATAAATAATCATTAATTCTCACTTTAGACCAGCTGTGGTAATCGATACTAATTTGGAACGTGTAAACTGCTGCGCAATGACAAGAGTGTTCTATATATGTCTAGAGAAACTCGATGGATGTAATCTAATATCCTAATTTGAATGGAATTTATTGTTTCATTTTTAGTGAAGTTCACTACTATCAAACATGTCGAGAAAAAACGTGAGATATTCATTAGTGGATAACGAATGATCTGACAAAAAAAACGTCGGTGATTTCATTTGCGATTGTGTTCTTCGTGATTTAATTCTTGTAGTTTACTTTCTGTCATTGTTAACCGTGTTTCTAGTATTGACACAGTTTTTGTTAGAATATCCAGTTGTTGAACGATATGATCAAGAGTAGTGGTTATTTGAGGCGTTAATGCCGGTTGATTGCTTTTATCGATATCATAGGTCGAACGAGTATGACGATTTCCTCCTGTGGATGGTCTGTCGGAATTGATTAGATCAGCGGAAGCACTATTCGACTGAACAAAACAAAATTTTCGTAGAAATGTCAACGATAAGCAATAGTTTTTCGTACTCGACTGATACCGCTTTCATAAGTTGAACCAACATTTGTTATTTCCAAAGGATCTGCGTCGTGGAACATACGCAACAGAGATTTTTCTCTGAGGATATCAATCTAAATGAACGAACTGCTAGATTATTGATGAGATGGGAGACAGAGATGTACTTTTCGCGCTTGTTTATCATCATTCATTGACAAATGAGGTTTTTCTTGTAATGAACTGATTGTTGGTTTATTTTGTTGAGAGCTTCGTGATGAAAATTGTGTCTCTGCACCATAGTCTGCACTAGTTGTATATCTATTACTGTTCAATTCATGAGTGGAAGAAGATACATCGAAGTTTGTTTTCCAGACTAATACCTAAAAGAAGAGATTCTAGAAAAAGTTCCTATCACAGTAACATACTTGCTGATCTTGACCACCAGAAGCGAAATAATCACCTTGTTTCGAAAAGGCAACAGTCATCGCTGGTCCCTAATTAGAATAGCCAATATTTACCATGAAGATATGTCAAAGTGAATTTGTGACTAACCTGATGACCATGTAATGTATAAATAAGGCGTCCTTCGAGTAGATCGAAAATTTTCAAAGTAGCATCACTGGATGCTGTTAGGAGATAATTTCCATTCGGATGAAAAGCGATACTATTCACCGATGCCACATGATCTAATTTTCATCGTGCGTAGTCAGATCAATGTTCAATTCAAATCGAACGGCTTCTTACTTGCATAGTGTTGAATCAGTTTTCTTGTTCGTATGTCCCAAATCTTCACACTCGCGTCTGTGCAACCTCCGGCGATGCACGTACCACTTGGATGGAAGGCAACTTCATTGAGAAATCCATGTGGTTCGTAGAATGTGTGCATGCATTCATTGGTGTTTCTATCCCAGAGTTTGACTGTTTTATCATCACTACAGCTAACAATTAATCGACCGTCGGGCGAAAATTTAGCGCAACGAACCCAGTTCGAATGTTGGTTTAATGAAAATTGAAACTTTTGTCGATGAACAGTCCATATTTTGATAGTCTTGTCTTCCGATGAAGTCAATAAACTTTGACCGTCGGTAGCAAAATCAACACATCGAACAGCGCCGGTGTGAGCTTTGAACACAGTTGATTCACCTTTAACACTGGGAATCCACAGCCGAACTTTTTTATCTTTTGATCCTGATGCAACTAAATGACCCGATGGAGAGAAACATACTGAATACACAGCATCCTATAACAAAGAAGCAATAGTTTTACAGTTTAACATTCACAACACTTCTTCTGCGTACATTGTGACCAACAAATCGATAAGCTCGAGCTTGGGACTTGAATGGCCAAAGGAACAGACATGAGTCTAAACTTCCGGATACTGAAATAGAGAGAAAACGAAATGTTATTTCATTCATTGGTACGAGAATCTGTGCGAAACTACCAAGTTGTTTTGTGTTCGGTGCAAAATGCAATGATGTTATCGTGTTACGATGGCTTTTAAATTGTTTTTCTAACTTTGGATCTTCCTGAAATATCAAAAACGAATTATATAATCATATTTGAATTGCAATTCTAACCATAGTTTGCTTTGAGAGTTCACTTTCAACGAATGGTCAGTGTATAAGAGTGGACACAAGCAGACATATATTCGTAAGTAGTATTCCAAGACAACCGTTGAGGTCGTTACCTAATATATACATATAGAATTTTGTTTATCGATGAGAGAAATTCCGTAATAACTAGAATGAGAGGTTAAGAAATTAAGTATAGAGGAATGTAAAATAAGAAAAGGAATTTTCTCGCAGATGTCGTTAGCTGATGTGTTTAAATTTCAGTTCATTTCTATTCGTTGTCGGTAGGCAGACCCGTTCATCATTGCATAGCATCTGTCTGAAAATTTCTTTAGCTTCTGTAGACAATTCTGGAATATCGGTCGAGAGGGCGTATTATTAATTGTCTACGGTACCACATATTATTTATCGATCGACATTTGTAGACAGCCGATATAAGTGCGACGCAATCGATAGAAAGGAGAAACAAAAGATAAAAACAACTTGATTTGAATACATTCATTTGATTATAAAAATGGCCGACCTTAACGTTACTCGTCTTGGCATAGCTATCTACCCAGGATTTGCACTCTTAGATGTAGCTGGTCCAATGCAATTCTTCAATCAACTTAGTATCATACAACCATTTGAATTAAGTGTCATTGCTAAAACAATGGATCCGGTGAGCACCAGACCTCCTAAGGATTTGGTGCTAAACGCAAAGTATCAATGCATTGGAGAAGCATGGCAGCCTACACATACATACGACAATGCTCCTGATTTAGACATATTATTAGTTCCGGGTGGATACGGTTTACGTGACGAAACAATATTTAATGATCTGGGCGCATTCATAAAAAAACAATACCCTAAACTCAGATATTTACTATCAGTATGCACAGGCTCGACGGCGATCGCTGCAACCGGTATTCTTGATGGACGGAAAGCAACGTCAAACAAGTTTTCTTGGTCATGGGCAACAAAATTTGAAACGGTTAATTGGGTACCCAAAGCACGTTGGGTAGTTGATGGTAATATCTGGTCAAGTTCAGGTGTTGCCGCTGGAATGGATATGACTTATGCTTTTATTTCGACTATTTTTTCTCCGAAAATTGCAACTGAGATAGCCAATGTCATGGAATACGAACCACATACGGATTCTGAATGGGATCCTTTTTCTGACATTTGGAAAGTATCGTCTCAATAGCATCGCTTGATTTTATTTCAAAAATCAATGTTTTCCGATACGTAAAGTTTTTACGAAAAACAAACAAACGCTAGAAGAATCTAATTAGGTTGTCAAAAACAGATTTCTGTCTGCAAGTAACAGAGAATTTCATAAAATATAAAAGCAGTATTCTCAGTCAATTGCTTCTTGTGATGTGAAGTCCATTTTATCATCATCAAACTCGATGTAATTTGGAAGGGAGTTTTGCCGCTCTTGAATTGCATCGTCTACCATTTGGATATATTCTTCTCTTTTGGCACCATCCAATCTACGAGCTCTGTAGAAAAACTGTCGAGCCCAATGAAGATATCTAATCGCATCTATCGCACTGCATGTTTCTTCACCATGTTTTTGCAAATAATATATGCCGATATCTGATAGCACATTTGCGAACACTCCTAATTCGTCATCGTATACTTCCAGATGTTGCGAGTATTCGTCAGTCCATGGATGTGCATTTCTGTCTCCACAAAACACATAAATACAACCAGTTAACTGTCGATACAATTCACGAACAACCGGGGCACCTATTGAACCAGACACGATTAGAAATACTTTTTTCCCTACTGTTAAGCTTTGTCTAACGAAATCAATGCATTGTTGTCGATCGGTAAACATTCGTAATACATCTTTAATCAGAGTATTTACTGGTCCATTGCTTAGATCTGTGAAGGTTTGTTGAATTAAGTAGTTGATATTATCGAACTGTTCATTTGCTGGTGTACAACTTAAGTTGGCGCTGCTGGCTAATTCATTCTTACTCGTTTCATTGTTGTTCGGTTGACCCATATTGGCATCTAGCCAGGCAATAACAAAACCAGGCTGAAAATCAGAGATTTTCCATTCGGCCATCGAAATTTCTGGATCTAGGAATAGAATATTACGTCAGATAGTTGTGAAACTAACTATATGTTATGTGATCTAAATTATCGCTAAGAACATCACATGTCGAAGAAAAACAAGGAAAGGAAGGGAGAAAAACAAGTATTTATTTGAAGAAAAATCGTCTTTACGATCAAGCGTAAAACGCATGTGTGGGCGTACTCGATAAAAAAAAACGTTGAATAGAGGCTGCTTTTGTTAAAACTTAAATGCACGTATAAGGATGCATTTGTTATTTCTCGTATTACAATCGACAGCGTCGAGGAAGTTTTTATTCCTTGGCTATCGAAATAATCGAATTTGAAACGTCATCGCGGATCGAAATTTTACAAAAAAAAACAATATTTTATCGCATATGAAAATACCCGTTGCAGACATGACAGAATGCACTCAGAGTAAAACATGTCTGTTTAGCTACATGCTTCACTTAAACGTAGATCTTCTACTTCTTCATTGTCGTTCGTTGTATTATCGGAAATATCGTCAGTTTGTGCATAAGCATCGGATTTATTTGGATTTATGATCTTTTCTATTGCCGCAATCCGTCGTTCGACGTGTTCCAGATCTTTTCTACAAGGTTCATTCATTTGCAAGTAGCGATTCAACACTTTCTTCGATTGTTTATATCGAGCAAGAGCTTGCTTGAGAGAATATTCACTTTGTTCAATAAAATTCATAGCAACATCGCGTATTAGACGAGTCAATAAATCCTTCTCATGATTAAATGTCTGCAAATGTTCTACATAGTCCATTAACCAATCCATGTGATGCGCAGTGTTTCCACAGAAAATATACATCGAAGAATAAGGCTTTTTTGTAATCGGATCTTTGAATAGATGCGTATGATTTTCAATGAGCCTAGGTATAATATGTTTGCCCAAAGTTCCAGAGGTAATAAAATAAATACGTCTGTCTTTGTTTTCCTCGAATGCGTCGTAACATGTCAGAGGGTTATCAAATGCTAGTAGAAGCATTGGAATATCAGCGAGTTCGATGTGCGTGGGATTTTGAGCACCGATAAGGTAGGTATAATCTTTATTGGTTAAATTTGTTACAGTCTGATGGCGAGAATCGATGTTGCTCGTGAATGCTTTTTTCATTACTTCATATTGATCTGGTTGACCGATATGATCATCAAGCCAAATGATCATGTAATCTGCGGCGGGATAATCATGATCATCAGGAATTTCCAATCTTAATCCAGACATCTTTAAACAAATGTGAAGTCAAATAGAAATTAGTGAAATGTTTTTGTAAAAAACATTCTCGGCGTATTTTTATACAGAGATAAACAAGCGTGTACTTGGCTTTTTCCAACATATCGTGAACGAACGAAAGATGTCATTGGCATGTCAAAATAATGATAACAAAATGAAGTCTATTTTCATAGCAGATTTTTCGGCTGCGATAGTTGAAAATCATTTTTTTCATTTTGATAAATATGCAAAAAAATAGATCTTTCAGAAGTGGATGATGTAATGTATAGTCGCATGAAAAGAAAAGTGTAACGAAAATCATGTCCTGATTAGAAAAAGAACAGGTTTAATAGTTTGATCTTAAACCTCCTTTTCTTTGACGATTTCCTCTATTTCATTGAGAAGACGTTTAACTTCGTTAACTTGTTCCTTTAATCCAATCTTATCCAGTTCGTAGTAACGCTGATATAGTATAAATGCCCAATTGAGATGACTTTTGATAACCGAGTAATCTCGTGGATTTTTAGCTAGCAGCCGTATACTTTTGATACGAAAGTAATTAGCAATATCATGCACCAAACGTACTAACAGATCTTTATCAAAAGTGAATGTAGTTGGAATGTAATCAATGTAATCCATCATCCAATCTATATGACGAGTGGCATCATGACAAAAAACGTAGACACATGCACAGAGTTCGTTTGTTTCTTGATCGGTGAAAACATTACGACAGTGTAATTCAATCAATGGCAGAAGAGATCGTCCCATACTGGCAGATGTTATTAAAAAGATTTTTCGATGTCGATTTTCTTTGAGATATTCGATACATTTTTCGATGTTTGTGAAAGCTGCTAAGGAAAATTGAATACCTTCAAAATTTACAGTACGACATATTTCCAAAAATTCGTGATCAAATAGTGGCACAGGTTTTGCATGCTCTGGGTCAGTTGTGGAGGAAAATGCCGCTTTCAAAATTTTATAATTGTCTGGATCTCCAATGCTTAGATCGACCCACACAACGGACGTGTCAGGTACCTCACTGGAAGCGTATGCATCGTTAGACATAATGATTTGAAACAAATGAAAAACAGTGGCAGTTCGCTTGTAAAAACTATGAAGAAAGAACAAGTATTTATGACATGATTGAAGTACACTTTATGATGTTTGGTTTATGCTAAGAGTAAACATACGTTCTGTCAGTAAAATATGATTCATCTTAATGAAAGCGTCGGTTTTTTTCGTATGTGGAAGAAATGATCGAATAACAGCAATCCAACGCGTTCATTCATCTCTCCATATTGGCTCTGCTATTTCTTGTGTGTTTCCACATCAGAGAGTCGCAAATCGATCTGTTAAGATGTCACATGCCCGTACAATTGAACTACCTATTTCCACAACGTTATATAATCAACTGAATAAGAGAAACTACGCCAGGCAGCATTATACAAATGGATGTTAAAAGTTTTAATGATTTGACGAAGTCCGGTAACACGTATTATATCGTGTGCATGATTATCGGCGTCGGCAAATTTCAAATTGATATCGAACATATATGATACAACGAAAAACATTTACTTTAAATTTCAAACAATGATAAAATCTATTATAACAAGCTGAAAATGTCTTCCCTGTGACAAAACGTGTATTTGATTGGTTAGTATTCTCAGTTTGAATGGATTGAAGAGTGCACAAGTGCAAGTATTCAGAATCTTGAATATTTTTATTACTCGTCTAAAGAAAAAGACATGCGTAAACTATAGTTTCTTTTTCACTCTTCGCAAAAGTTCTTTGCACTTTAGCAACTCTGGATGATTCGAAGGCAATGTGCGTTGGTTAATTTGTACGGCACGTTCAAAAAACGAATGGGCTTCGCTATATTTATCCATCTTTTCGTACAATAGACCTATATTAAAATAAGCCATCGCTAAGTCAGGATGGTCAGCAGGAAGTGAATGTTGGCTGATGTCAAGGTCTTTCTCGAAGTAAGCAAGTGCTGTCGCATTATTACCCATGGCCGCGTATACAACTCCCAAGCCACTATAGCATGTCCCTAAACTAGGATGATTCGAAGGGAGGGATCGCTGCCAAATTTCTAGGGCCTTTTCATGAAATGAGAGTGCTGTGGTATAGTCGCGTAAACCGCAATAGACGATACCCATGTTGTTATAAGTAGAAGCGAAATTAGGATGATCAGGGGGTAAGGATTGTTTCCAAATTGCATTCGACTTTTCATAATAAACGAGCGCGTTAGAAGCATCACCCATTTTCCGAAAAACTTCGCCAATGTTGTTGTACGCATAGCCCCAGTTTTCATGGTTCGGATGGAGAGTCTTTCGATAAATGGCAAGTGACTTTCTGTACAGATCAAGCGCTTCTTCGTAACGGCCTTTGTCATCTGCTATAGACGCAAGTTGCGCATAGTATACTCCTGAATTTTCTGCATTAGTACTTTGATTAGTCAGTGTTTCGTAAATCTCTTTGGATGTGTCGAAATGACCGAATAATCTCAATACCATTGCTAATCTTTCCCAACCTTGAGCATCTCCGCAAGTTTCTTGTCGCATGTGATTCATGACTGCATATAATTCATTATCATGATCACTGGTGAGTGTTAAATCTATTTCATAAACTAGAGTTCGTTCATCTATTGGCTTTATCTCATTGATCCGGAAGACGCTGTGCATGGAAAACAGTACTTCGTCTCCATCTGTATGACAACTAATGTCACGGATAGATGCATACGGTGTTGTTGATTGAGTTGGATCAATTTTAATTACATATAAAACTCCGACTAAATCAGGATCTTTCGCCATATCTTCAGCAAAACGCAGTGAAACGTCACGAATCTTACTGGCGAGTAAAAAACTGTTACAAGACATTAAACCGTTTTGTTTTTTCATCAAAGATTCGAAATCTAATTTCGACAGACCTTGCCCGCGATAAACTGTACATGTTTCCGCAGAAGATTGATTAACATGTTGCTCCTTGTGCAACTGTTCAACTTGCCGATGTAAATCATTCATAAAGAAACCCATCCGTACAATAATATCACTATTCAGCAATCGCAAAGCACGGTTGAGCATGGAGAACAGGAAACAGTCGGATGTATACCACCAGATGGGTGTCTGTTCATGATATTTGCGCTGTAGTTCTCGAATAGTTTTCGATTCTTTTGCATTATTCGAAAAGATTTTGCGACAGTAATCGAGATATTCGACAATATGTTTGTCTTCAAACTCAATGGTCAACAGTATCTCTTTCAGAATGTGTGTGTGCATAAAGGATGAATCGAGTTGATCCATATTGTTTCCAGTGCCAATAAAGTTCATACAAACGAAATTTTGTTCACACTGTTGCACAGCTTGTTTCAGTTTCTCACAAAGAGGTGTGATTTCAGAGAAAACTGCCTTGATTTTCGCCCAATCTTTTGTCCACACTTTTTGACTCTTTTTGTTTTCGCAAAAGATAAAAATCGAATTCACTTGCGACAAATGATGTACGTCAGGAACAACGCTTCTTCCAAATTCAGCTGAGAGAATTAAGAAAGCTTTTCGGTCTTTAACATTCTCGATAAATTGAACGCATTCGTCTCTATCCGTATACGTGCAAATATCATTGACGATGCAGTGTAACTGAGTAAGTGTATTTCGGCAATCTTTATTCTTTGTGTCGATTGTACTGTCTAACCAGATGAGAAGAACATTCTGTACATTTTGAATATCAACACATTGCTGATTGCTTGCCATTGAATTCTGTCAGTTTTACTTGTATCAAGTTCTCTTTACAGTTGCACTTGAAAACTAAAAGTTGGAAGCATTAGTCATGTTCTCTCAGACAAGTAAGGAAAGAAACGGCGTTTTTACGCGTAGAAAGAAAAATTATGTTTTGAATAAAACTAAATTGAAAAGCTTTAACTTTCACCAACTTACTATTTTTCCTTGGAAAAGTAACTTTAAGTATAAAACGTCATTTCTGTCGTTACTTGCCCACTGAGATATCCTTAGTTTACTCTAAGCTCGAGTTAACATATCGAAGTTACAACAATATCTTATTTATACATAAATATGCATGTGAAACTAAAACAAAACATGTGCGCTGTTCTAAAATTCGCTTCAGACAGAAAAAAATAAGCAATATTTACTCAAGATTGTCTGCTCGTATCATGTAGAAATATTGAATAGAATCAGTTTGTGCGTGCAAGTGGTAGATGAGAAAAGGCGCTTTCACTAAAGCATTTTGTTTCACATGACTCAGGTCAAATAATGATAACGGAAAAAAGCAGACTGATGACATATGCAAAATACGGTTATACGATAGAAACCACTTTTCAAAACATAGTGTTTTAAAGATAGAAAATAATGACTGAAGCAAACGATGATCAACAATGTCAATACTCGCCAAAGATAATTGATCAATCGTATTGGAACGATCGCTGGCTTTCCGGTAAAATCGGGTTCAATCGGTTAACTATAAATAAGTAAATCTCCATCGATCTCTTTTCATTCATTTAACTCACGTCGTTCTGTCATAAAGACATTTCGATAAGCATATTCTTTCGAAGATATCGAACATAGATCAACAGCAATGTGTCTTATTTCCGTTGTGTGGAAAAACAGTTGATATGAAAGCAGTACTCAGTGCTGGTCATCGAGTCATTGGAATTGAATATGTGCAATTAGGTGTGGAAGCATTTTTTGAAGAGACAAACATCGCACATGAAATTCTTACTGATGAGGAAAATAAATGTCAAATTTATCAAGTAAAGCACATGGAAGATTTCCACAGTTGATTTTATTCGTTCGTTTAGGGTATTGATCGTCCTGTAACAATCTATTGTGCGGATTTTTTGACATTTAATCAGTAACTATATCGTCGGATAGATTATTTTCAATGTCTGAAATGTACTTGTAGGCCACTACCACCTATCGATTGGATTTTTGATCGTGGTGGATTCGTTGCAGTCAATGTTTCCGAACGCGAACAGTTCGTACACATTGAAACTCTTTTTCGAAACTTACTCATTCATATTATAGATATCGAGATCGATTATTAGAAGTAATGACACCGAAACATACACGATTGTATCTTCTTGCAAGTTGTTATGATGAGTCAGATTTTCATGGTTTGTATCTTCATTCAATGGATAGATACTTACTTTCTTCGTCTCTAGGTCCGCCTCACTGTGTCAGTCCTGAAGATATAGATCGGCTGTTTGGTGAATCATGTTCTACTAAACTTGTCGAAGCGATTGATACAACAATAGAATTTAATCAACATAATAATCAAAAGCTACGACGAATGGAAGAACATCTACATTTAATCATACGCAAATAAGCACACAAAAGAAGATTTTGCAGATTAAAATCAAATTTCAAAATAAACCGTCAGAAATGAAGCTAAATGTAATTCATATTAAAAACTAAACCTATGACAGAAATCCTCGTGTTAGCCTCTAGAAATAGATCGAATCTAGAAACAAGTACTCGATACATTCTAACTTCGAGTATGATTATTTTCTGCAAATCGGATGGTATGCCTTGTTCCTGTGTCAGGTGGTGGTTGTTTACGGAACAATTGTGAACAGTCTCGGCGAAAGCTCTTTGACACTAGCGCACAAACTAAACGAGAACGAGAAAAGATTAAGTAGAATCATCCTCGAGCTGACTTACCATAAAACTGTGTACAACAATAAGTAAACGAGAGAATAGGGTGAATAATAAAAGAGATCAGTGATTCAACAGCGATTCGCAGTTGACTTTTATTAGCCGTGAAGAAACTTGTAAAATATCCGTACATCGTATTTACGGGAAATGTGGATTGAGTTAAACAGTAGATAACTACTTCACCAGCTAGCATTTTCATCAGGTCATGATCACGTTTATGTATGCGAATACTCTGAACTGTACCGCTTGTGGGTAAAACACGCGAATGTATCAAATGCAAATTATGGCAGGTCAGTAAACTAAAGATGATCAATAAGAGCAAAGGAATAACACTGATGGCGAGAAAGGAAAATATTGTATAGGCTAGTGTATAAGTTGGCAAAAGAATACATCGCCCGGTTCCATTGTCGTAGTAGAGAAATAACGGAGCCGGTAAGATTATAGATAGCAGTACGATAACTCCAGTCACATATCTAGCTGTACGAATTTGGCAAAGCGATCGGATCCTCACATTTTGGGAGCACACAGCCCATCGATCGATACATGCTGCAACCACTACAGACGGAACATATACATAGAAAAACAACTTGAAAAATAAGTAAATCATAACTTACTGCAACATCGGCTAAGCATGAATAATGCGTGACCACCGAACCAGCGTAATTTACAGACGGCATTCGATAAATGAGTGGGTTCTACATTGTTCATACCGTAGAACGTGGATATCAACGCTGTGTCAATAACAAACAAGTTACCGAATGATGCAAAAAGTAAGTAGAGCGAACACGAGTTCGGGTGGCGCTTTAATGATTTTATGAACATAATCAAAAGGAGTACATTGCCGATATTTCCTGACACTAATAAGATTGGTATACCAATATTACCCAATTGTTGACGAATGATGTAAAATATTTCTGTTGACATATTTTTATAATTATGAATAGTAGTAAAATGAAAAGAGTATCTTGAACGCTTGCTAATTAAATAGTAAAAAAAAGGCGGACACCCTTGCGCTTTCCTAATCTGTTTCGAAGCATATTTGACAACATAATCTCGCTAAGCTACACAGCAAAAGTAAGCTGTGCTTATTTTCGATCTGATCTGGGTTTACTTTGTTCAAATCCGATTACTGAAAATATCTAACAAGGCCACACTTGTCAAATCCTCAGCTTCTAAAGTTCTATCTTTTATTAAAAATATTGAAAGAACAAATTTATGACAACATCAAAAGAATAATTCTCACATAATAAATTAGGTTTTGTTGATCAGTACTCGGACAATAATACACCGTTTCTTTCATCAATAAAAACTTTTCATTGTGGACTACCACTATCTCTGAAAAGCGTATGCTAGAATCTTCAAGTCTATTCGACAGATGTCTCTAGAGATCAAACTTGCCATCACCGCATAGCTGGAAGAGAATATTGATAGACTAGTACATCTACCCAATGACTAGACGAATAGAATATTATCTGAAAAAAATTTTTGTTCTCATTCCAATCTTGACGGAATATTACCATGATTAACAACGATGACTTACGAGTTTTGCCGAATTTTCACAGAGATTTCGTCCATGATACAGCATTCAACTTTTACGGAACACGAATGGCCACATGTTCTAGTGACGGATACGTTCGAGTATGGATTTTTTGTTCTTGAATCTCCATTTCTGTCTAATGACACATTTGATTAGATCTATGATTTACATGATGATGATACATGGCGACAATCCGGTTGTTTCTCAGTAAATGACTTTGAGCGCATACGTGTTCTACTAATCATCTTCTGTTTTCATTGTAGTTTTCGACACCCACGGGTCCTATCACACGGTATATTTCTCTGATTTACCTTTAACTAGATTCGATTTACAAAATTTAGAGTGACATGGGCACATCCTGAATTTGGTGGTATTCTAGCTACTGTTTCCTACGATCGTTTTGTCAATGTTTGGCATGAAGTAGGTTTTTTATTTAAGGATTTCTTGATCAAGAACGCTTTCTAGTATAGACTCCAACAGGACCTAACGATCCGTCAGAATACGCAACGAAATGGGTGAGCAAAGGTATAAATATATTCGATTAGAGATGCTTCACACAAAATTCTATCTAACAATAGACCAATTTTATGAGTCGTTTCTATTTGGTTCGTCGGAAAATCGACCAACGGGTTCAGACTCTAGTACACATGCATCTACTTATAATACAGTAGCAATTCAATTTGCGCCTAAACATCTTGGACTTATCTTGGTAATTTGTATACAAGAAAAAGCGAACGATTTTTGAATTTCTCTCTACAGATAACTGCGTTTTTGGACGGTCGGATACGTGTTTACGATTTTCAAGGTCCCAGTGTCGTAAATAAAGAAGAAATTCAGACATCAATGTCCAATTTAAGTTGTGTATCTTGGAGCACAGCAAGGTAAACAGTTCTAGCTGATATTCATTGATACTTACTTCTAGTTCGTTTAAAAAGACATCATCTGACACCTTTGATTGCGATTGGAAGCGATGATTGTAATACGGGTGCTGGCGCCAAACTTCAACTATGGGAATACGCTTCAGATCGGTAAAACTGATGTTCAAATAGCAAAAGTTTCCATTTGTTTATTCATTTTTTGCTTCCAGAAAAGCGAGTAAAGTTGATTTAACCAGTGTAAACGCGCTGTTGCAAAATGCAATCAAAGATATTCAATTTGCACCCAATTTCGGTCAATCGTATCATCTACTTGCAGTTGCATCGAATAACATCGAGCTGTTCACAATTCGACCTTCAAAGTAGGTTCTTTTCAACAGAATTTCCTTTTATTCTTTGTTCTTTTTTTCTATATTTGTTAACAGAGAACAATTAAATAATAGCAGTGAGAACAAAGCACAGATATACGATGTTGCACGAATCAACACATTAGATGATCATGGTTCCACGGTAACAGATGACTTTTATTTCTTCTTTGGAAATTCACCTTTTCGATTTAGGTATGGAAAGTTTGTTGGAACGTGTTCGGCTCAGTTCTATACAGCTGCGGAGATGATGGAAGAATTCGAATGTGGAAAGGTTCGTTTTTGTTTGCAAAACATACAACATCAGAAAATGAACGCGTTCGTTTTAGGAACTATTAACGGTCCATGGAAGTGTGAAAGTAATGTCAATCTTCAAGCAGATGCACTCGAAAAAGCCAAGGCAGATGCAAGTCAATCAACAGAATCAGTAAACAATTGACGCAACTTAATTTTCGCATTCATAGTTCTTTCAAATGTTCACTTTAGGTATCAACATGAGAAACAATCGAAAGCGGTTCTTCTCAGATTATTATTATTATTTTTGTACATGTAATTCGTTGTGTTCGCTTCAATAAAAGAAAACGAAAGTCTACATCAGTGTAGCAATCAAAACATCATATAGCAACAGTATTGTGTCAAACATTCTTTACCTACGCTCGAATATTTGCACATTGATATATTATTTCGAAAATTCGAAACGTAACAATGACATTTGCAAGATAATAACTCTGTCTTAGACATACATCCACTCATAAACGCTTCCACGGATTGAATCTTTCATCTCGGACGTAAACGTTCGTTACTCGTCTCTTCCTCTTTTCTCGTTCAATTTCGTACGACCATTCGATAACTGAGGACTAATGAAAATTGTCGAACGAAGACGCATGTATCATTGCAGTTGTGTATCGGCGTATAGGTAAAGAACAGTATACATAACTGCAATATTTACCTAAATATTCTTAGTCATCCATAACGTTTCATGATCACGTTTGGGTTGAGTGTAGATATTCGTGTATATTGAAAATCTAAACAAGTCGCATGCTGAAACGTCGTTATTTATTTCGTATTACTCTTTGTCTTCCAATAGTTTGGTTTATTATTGCTCTCATCATTTTACATAATAGTATTTCACTTAGAAATCCAATAGTTCAGGACGATGAAAGCGATCTGGATGATTCTGTGTTCATTGGTGACGATGATGATGATGGCTTAAAATCGAAGCTTAGTTTACAATATATTTTCGATTTTTACAGAAGACTGTTAAAGCTAATACCTGATGATGATGATGAAACGCTATTACCAGGTTTTAAAGATGAAACCCCCGATTTGAATAGGCCTGGTGAGATGGGTGTAGCAGTCGAAATCGACAAAACTAAATTAACACGAAAAGAATTACAAAAATATCACAATGGCTTCAGAACACATAAATTTAATCAATATGTTAGTGATTTGATCTCCAAATATCGAACTTTGCCAGATGTACGTGATCCAGGCTGTCGGCAAATCCAATACGAACCATTAACTATCACAGCTAGTGTTGTTATGTGTTTTCACAATGAAGCCTGGTCAGTTTTAATTCGATCGATACATTCGATTCTTAATCGTAGTCCTGCGCATTTACTCAAAGAAATTATTCTCGTCGATGACTTCTCTCAAATGAGTAAGCATAATCTTTCATGTGAAGCTTCGTCGAATGCCAAGATAATTCTTTGCATTAGAACATTTACAACAACCTTTGGATCATTATATAAAAAAACTTAAAACTGTATCAATTGTTCGATTGACCAAACGCGAAGGTATAGTACGTTCACGTTTGGCAGGTGCTGCAAGGGTTCAAGGTGATGTTATTGTATTTCTTGATTCACATATTGAAGTAACAGAAGGTTGGCTTGAGCCATTACTTCATCCTATATCACAAAATCATACGCTAGTGATTACGCCGCTGATTGAGGCGATTGATGAGATTACATTCAAGTATGTACGAGGTAGACCAAATAAGATCGGGGTCGGTGGTTTCGATTGGAATCTTCAATTTTCTTGGCATGAAGTACCTGAACGAGAAAAACAACGAAGAAAAAATGATTTGGAATTAATCAGATCGCCAACCATGGCTGGAGGATTGTTTGCGATTAGTAAAAATTACTTTGATTACCTAGGCAAATGTAAATTAAACGCAGATTTTGAAGAGTAGCATTCTTTCATATTTGTGTCTTCTTCATAGATGATGTCGATATGGATATTTGGGGTGGCGAAAATCTAGAAATATCCTTTCGAATATGGATGTGTGGAGGTAAGTTCAGTTTCCAATTTCTCTCGGTGTCGAATCGATTTGATTAGGTACGCTACTGACTGCTCCTTGTTCACATGTTGGACATGTTTTCCGTAAGTCTACTCCATACACATGGATACCCGGAGTAAATGTTTTGAAAAAAAATTCCGTTCGTCTCGCTGAAGTTTGGCTCGACGATTACAAAGTATGAAACTGAGATATGTTTATCAAATTAAATCGCCATGATCATTTTTAATATAGAAATATTACTATGAAAGAATCAGTTACAATTTGGTAAAAACACTTTCTAATGTTGATATTACGATTAACAGAATTTAACTCGTAGGAAGACTATGGGAATGTGACTTCACGTAAATTGCTACGAGAAAAATTACAATGCAAATCATTTGGATGGTATTTAAAAGAAATTTATCCAGAATTATATATTCCAAATGATACTTTAGCATCAGGTGATGTATGTGTTGAACTTACTATTCAATTTCATGTGCAGATTCACTTCGACCGATGATGATCTAGGTTCGGAATTTGGGCACGAGCTATTGTTTGGATGGTAGTGCCGATCATCGAAGCCTGAACCAATCAGCAATTGCTTTTCTATGTCATAACCAAGGTGGCAATCAGGTCTGTGCGAAAGTGATTAGTTTCTTCAGTACAGTTCTGCTCATGTAGTTCTTCATGTTGACTCCGACTGGTGAGATTCGTCGCGACGATGGATGTTTACAATATTCAGGTGGAGAAACAGATATGGACAAAGAGGACAAAGTTCTTATAATGAGATGCGATGAAAAAAATCGAAATCAGAATTGGGTGTATACCGAGGTGCGTTCATTTACTTTTCATTTACAACGATCTCTATTATTGCTTTAGGATTTGCAATTGCATCATCCAGTATCGGATCTCTGTATGGCAACATATACGGATGTGAATCATATTAAAATGCAGAAATGTAATCCAAGCGATATGTCTCAACGATGGTATTGGAAACGAACAGTCAAATCTGTACCAAACAGAAATATTGATAACGTTTTACTTGCCTAGACAGAAAAGCACTGTAAATTCTTATATCGAACGACCTCTATGAATAAAAATGATTCAATCGATATCTAGCCAGTCGAATTATTCTTATCTTTTTCGTACAATTTTTCTCAATCGAACTCAAAAACTTCAATATTTTAGGTTTATATCGCTTTTTGCCAACAGAATACGTCACTATGACAGGTCATGTTGGTTTATCCACAGTTTCTGATCTGTAAGAATATTCTTAAACGTCAATTTCAAGTTTATCATATTTAATCTAGAGTAAAACAAACGTCTCTTCGCAATGATCACCAGTGTACAGCAGCTAAAGACGGATTAAACTTTGCTGAGACTGCGATTAAAACCACCAGATTGACATTCACATCTCAACAGAATAAACTCGACCATTCTCTGCGTACTGGAGCACTGACAAAAGCTGATTATGACAAACAAATCAACCAATTGAAACATCAACTCGAACTTGATTGTGCACCATGGCAAGCTTATGTAAAAAAACTAAGCCAGCTAATTGATCAGTACGGATCTCGGACTGAATCACTACGAAACAACAAACGAGAACTTGAACAATCATCGTCATCATCGTCCATGAAGAAGTGTATGAAAAGAAAGTTCGATTATTGAATCTTTCATATTCATTTCCTCTAGTGCCAATATCATCTGACGTCAAACGTAGTCGAATTATGTTTCCTTCTTCAAGTAGCTCCGATTCAGACGACCCAGAACCACACACTCCGGCTCCTCCTCCAGCAACAACCCAGAAGAAATCCATTCCAAACAAAACTACATATGATTCAGGTACCAATACAGACCCGTTAGAATTCTCACTACGTACACCGTTTTCTTCAACACCAAGTAACATTCCATTCACTGCTCAAACGAATCAGATCACTGAACGAGTCCCTTTACAAGTAAACATCGTGCTTCATTCGACGGTTCACCTTCACTACTATGATTTTCTTCTTGCTAGTATGTAAATGAAATCGCCGCCAAATCAATCGTTCAACTACATGATGAAGGACAACTAGTTCGATGGAATGATGTCATCTGGCGTATCATTAGTTTCTTTCGTGTACAAGATCTCGGTAATCTAGGCATTCGACGTGCTGATCAAATTGCTTGTGTTGATAATCTAATTCGTACTCAAAACAAAATCAATATGTACATTGATGCTTACACGTATTGGTCAACGATGGGTACCATCAGTGAATTAGAGAGTGATTTAGCTCGTCTGTTTTCTAAGAAGGATTACTGTGAATTATTAATGGGTCCGATTGAGAAACAGCCAAAAATCGAGGAACTATTTTGTCTACGGGCTGTTTGTTATGATTCGGTGAAGAAAGACTTGAAGAGTTCAGATATATTGAAATATCTCGATCAATATATGACGAAAGAAGGCGCGTGGAAAACAGAGAATGAGTTGAATTTATCCAATTTTTTGAAATTTACGGCTGAACAAGTGAATGTGAAGAATATTTATCAGCTGGGAATTCGAATAAAGAGTGTCTATCTCGCTCGAAATGTAAGTAATGTTGATTTGGTTTTTCCTTGTCGAATTCTGTTTGCTAGTGTATCAAAGCGATGCAAGCAAATCAACGAAAAATAATGGAAATCGCTCGAACTGAACTCAATCAAACCTTAGCTAAACTTGCACAAGAAGAAGTTCAGAAAATTCTTCATACCATTCAAGGTAAACTGATTGACGATGAGAACCAACAACGGCAGACTTATGCATCGATGGATCCGATTGATATAATCAATGATATGGTGGAGATCTGCCGAGATTTATGTCAAAGTAAACGAAATTCGTTTTCGATATCGTTCATCTGTTTCGAATACTCTTTGTCTTTAGACTTTGTTGCATTTCGAAAAGTTTCCGATGCATTACAAATCATTACCAAAGATTCCATGTTAAGGAATATATTTCAAATCGCTATCTGCCGTGGAAATCTCACATTGCCCGATTCCAATATTCGATCGCTGAGAAGAACTGATCACGCTGTAGCCAAGAAAATCTATTTCAGTTCATCTGACAGTGAGCCAGAAGCTACTACGCCATCTTCGAAAGCTGAATTACCCAAATCGGCGAAAAATCAACCAAGTGAACATGAAATTATTCGCGAACTGAAAGAACAGATGAGCTCATTGAAATCCCTTTCATTCACTTTATTATCCCGTATTGAACAGCGCTTATGTGAACGATTTCAAGTGACGATATTTCAAGACTTAGGCTACGGTTCGTTTATGAATTTCGTCCAACAAAATGAACAGTTACTTTTTCCTGCGGAATTTCAATTCAATTTCTCGTCAATACAATCGAATGGAATCAAACCAGCAGTTCTAGTCCCTTTGGAAGAAATCGAACAATTCATTCTTCATACAAATGATCGATTAATCAACGAACAATGTTTACAACAGATGATTTGTTATCATTTTCACATCGAAACATTCGAACAACTTGGATATGGATCATTTCACTCAGTACTCAGTACCATCAAACAACAACAATCAATCAAAAGAACGTTTGTTCATTATGAATGCACGATGTTAGATGAACTGCCTCTCATAAAACAAAAATCTAATTTAAATATACAAGGTATGCTAAATAATTTCATGTTCAAGACTTATGTGTAGATTTAGATCTTGAAAAACAAGCTTTACAAGATATTAAGCGATGTCCGTTGCTTGCGAATATCCACAGTGATACTCAATGGAACTTCCATTTTCGTCCGAGTCTAGGCAAATTGAAATCGTTTCTTACTCGACATTCACTTCCCTACCTTGAAATCGATCATGTGACGTTTCTCAAACTATATCCGAACTCGACTCTTGATTCATTCAAAGAATCTTTGTATAATTACGATACAGTTCTCACTTCTGGCCATTTGGTTTCAATCCTCGTGCAATATGGTTCCCTGCAAAATGCTCCATTATCCCTCCTTGCGAATATCATGCATACATTCTTCTCCAGCACATCACTCGACGATCAGCTGTACCATTTTCTCGCTCATGTCTTCCTCCGAATTCCATATCTTCTTCTCTCATCCGTCATCCAACGAATCTTTCTCGAGCCTTTGGTTAAACTCGAAGGCAGTCAGATAAAAATGCGTGACACTTTTTGGAAAATACTCGACAAACAGCATTCGGATATGGTCAGCCGATTCACTCAACTAGGACAATACTTAGGGTACACTGAGTGGTCAGTCGACAAGCTATCAACGAAATCAGTGCTTTCAATTTCAAAGAAAGAACAACGAGCAATTCTACCAACTCCGATCACTAGCAAGCTGCCAATTGATGTGAAGATGGAGAGGATGTGTTCGACAAATGATCCGTACGAAGTGGTTGAAAGAATCCGTCGGGAGAAGTTCGGTATTGGTTTAAACCTTTGCCTTGAAAGTCAACATTTAACTGAGCAACTGAAATTACTCGTCGGTCGATCATTGGAACGTCTTTCCAAGGAATTGTACAATACTGACATGCACTTTGTCCTTGAATTAATTCAAAATGCAGACGATAATCGATATATTACGAAGCCAAGTCTTATCTTTGTCATTGATTCAACTTCAATCAATATCTATAACAACGAAACTGGTTTTCAAGAACATAATATTCAAGCTTTGTGTGATATTGGCAAGTCAACGAAGGGTAAACATCAACAGGGTTATATTGGACAGAAAGGTATTGGATTTAAATCAGTCTTCACAATTTGGTAAGTTGATATTTTTCTCGTCGGAAATAAAACGTCATGTTTGCGCTTCAATAGTGATCGTCCGGAAATCTATTCGAATGGTTATCAAATATGTTTCGATGCTCATAATGGACCTATTGGATATATCTTACCTAACTGGATAAATGATGAAAATCGAGACAATGATTACCTGAATTGGTCGACTCGAATATGTTTACCATTGAAGTCTGAAACTGAAATGCAGAAACATAAATCTCGTTCATTAACTGAAAGTTTTCATGATATTCATCCGTCATTGTTACTCTTCTTAAATCGTCTTCGTTCAATCACAATCGACAATCGTCTGACACATTCGAAGCATATTTACGAGCGAATTGATCTTCCAGGAACAAAAATTATCGAGATACATTGTGAACAGACCATCGAAAAATGGTTTGTCATTAAGAAACAACTACCAATTCCAAATGAAATCCAAACAAATCTTGAGACTCTGATCGAATCAACCGAAATTGCATTAGCTTTTCCTCTACACGAAATTCGATCCAACGAACAGTTCAAACTAACCAAACAGGATGTTTACGCCTATTTACCACTACGAACAGTAAGTCAACCATTCCACAATTACCATATCTATCTAAAATCTTCTAGTTCGGTTTCACATTCATTATTCAAGCAGACTTCGAAGTAAAACCATACTTCTTCACAATTCTATTTTGAACTTTTTTGAAATTAGGTTCCATCCTCACGCCAGGATATCCTAAGTGATAGCATCTGGAATCAATATCTTCTCAACGAAATTCCGTCTCTATTTTTATCATCACTCGATATCTTTCAGGCAGAACGATCGTCTTTACCAATCGATCCTCTTCATTTTTTTCTCTGTTTTCTTCCTGATGAAGTATCAATCTATAACAACAATATATTCAGACCAGTTTGCCGAACGATCCTTCATTCCTTACGTTCTCGTCGGTTTCTTCCGGTTATCAGTGAACCTAATCTTCACATGCCACACGAATGTGTACTCGTTCATGATTCAACTATTAAAGATCTGCTCACACCTGAACTTCTCTACCATCATTTGAATTTGTACTATCTAAAAGACGAATTTTCTCAACATGAAAAACAATTATGCGAATTAGGTGTTCAACGATTAACTCACCAGGAATTAATCGATGTGCTGAAGCAAATGTTGGCTAAAGAAATAACTTATGAAAATAAATCGATTCTCTCGAAATGGTTCTTATGCTTATATCGATGCTTGAATGAACTTTCTCTTCACGATGAACAGAATGTTCTAAAACATATTCAAACGCTGAAGATTTTTCCAATCAAAAATCGACAAGAATTCATCGCATTAAATCAGTTAACTCAACCGATTTTCTTTCCATTAACAAACCTTCATTTATCGTCATCGATAGAAAATGATTTGTTGATTATTGATGATGGATTATGGATGAATTACGATGAAAATTCTATCGAAAGAATGCAAATTCAAACTCTACTGGAAAGACTTGGTATTCAACGCTTAAGCCATCGAATCATCTGCGAACAACACATCTTTCCCATATTTGAGAATGAACAGATATGGAAAGAGAAGTCACAAGACATTCTCGTTAGCTACACCATTTACATTTTCGATCTTTGGTCAAAACAGGTGAGACATAATCTGATCATTTTTCGTATCTGTATGATTGTGTCCTTTGTATAGAAGTATTTTCTCGACATGTCTCGATTGAAATCGATTATTCCGCTATTGACGAACCATCATTTTAAGCAACCGAATCAAACTTCAATACATTTTCCAGTAGCGTATGGAAATCCTTATGATTTACCGAAAGATTTTCATGCGTACAATTGGACGTTACTCAGTGATGATTATATTCAACATATTTCATCATCGACTGATCGGAAGAACCTACGTAAATTCTTTGCAGACTTGGGTGTTTCGGATTTTCTCTTACCGATGAATGCATGGACTTATGAACAGTTCGATTCGTTAATCCGCACGCAGTCTATTTCATTGAATAAACGGCTTTTCCTTGCATTACAAGAAACTTGGACAACGACGACAGGAAATGAGGAGTTTGCTCAACATTTGAAGGATTCGATATGGCTACCAACCACTCAGCATGATTATTCATACAATGAAGCAACTGATGAAACGGAAATAAAGAAGGTGGTGAATTTATCGAAACCGAAAGATGCTTACATAAAAAGCAAACAGATCTATCAACTTTTCGGACAACATGTTCCGTATGTCAATGTCGAGATCGATCCGAATTCAACGTTTTCGACGGAGATTGGTCTTATTCACCATGTAACATCCTCGGATGTGATTTCAATGTTAATACAATGGTGCCAAAGCTCGATTTTCTTCACTTCGCTATCGCATATGCAATATGTTTACAAATACATATATGAAAACGCGAAGATAAACGAAATACGGGAGTTAATTCAGCAGAATTCGATTTTCTTTGTTCCAATCGATCCTGGTCGAGGAAAATTCGTTGGTCTCTCGGACGTTTGTTGGTACGATTCAACGAATCTATTCACGAAGTACACTGCATCACAATCAAATCATCGCTGCATACTCGAGCCTTATTATACTGAACAAAAATCGATCTTCGTTGATACTTTCGGTGTACCGTTACACCCAACTATCGATGAATACATCAATCTGCTAGGTATATTAAATATATCTGTTTTAAAGTGAAATCTCTATACGATATTTCATTGTAGTTCATATTGCGACAAATACAACAACAGAAGAAACTATACAGGATGCATTTCTCGTCTTTAAAATGCTTGGAAAATGGTTTAAACAGTCAGATACTCCAATCGACAAGCCGTATTTACAATGTAAGACTTTTTTCTATGTTCATCAATGCAATCTTATTCATTTAGTTAAACGAATATTTCCAACGACTGATCATCGTTGGGTTTCGATTAATGATAATCCTCTCATTTCTGACAATGACGATATCGCTCAACAATTTTCTCAAGTTACCAACATTCCTTTCATTTACGCACCTTCAGATCACGGTTTGTCGATCAAATATGTCAGATTTTTCACAAATACATTGTTTTAGTGCTGACGTTTTTCAACATGTGCGATATAAAATCTCTCTCATCGGCGATAATCATTGAATGTACAATTGAGAATCAATCGAGTGGAGTTTTCGTTCAAAATCTACTTGCCCCGATGATTCGTTATATACAACTATACATGAAATCTCGTCCTGAATTTGCCGAAGCATATCAATGGACAAAATCTATCCAACTCTCATCGGTTCTTGAAAACCTTCGGTTTGGTATAATTGATAATCTTCAATTAACCTATCGAATGAAATCCGATCCATCAGTTTGTATCGTTCAACAGCAGAAATCGTATTTTGATAAGAGCGAACTGATCTTCTATGTTCATCGGCAATGGACTGAACATTCGAAATCTTATCGCGATATATTTCATTCTTTTGCACAAATATTTCTACCCAGTCATAATCGAGAGTTAATCCGTGCGTTGGGCAATTTTATGTGTTTGCTCTACAACGAAGATGAGGATAATTTAGAAATGTTTGCAAAATATCAACATTTTGATTTATACTCTGATGATATTGAGGATATGCCCTGGCAAATCTCATCGACGCCATCGACACAAATAAAATCCATCGAACCACCGAAAATCGGTAAATCACTTTTTAAAATACCACCGAAAACACCTTGCAGTTGTATTTAGATGAAAATAAAGTTCGAACATTGCTAGAAAATGTAGCACAAAGCCAAGAACAATATCATGCGTTCAAACGAAAGAAGCGAGAAGAAGCGCAGAAGATGACTACTGATGCAAAACACGAATCTCATCAGCCCGATATCATCTCTCGATTTGATCGTATACAGTCTGGTAACCTTCCTTCAATAACCGACACACCGTTTGAAAATGTTGAGCAACATTCCAAGAAGTTCGATATCAAGGACTTAACTCATCAAGTTCTTCACAATCGCAATTCAGCCATAGGTTCCGACCAAGCATCCTTAGAAGAAATTGGTCGTTGGGGTAAGCTAATCTTTCTTTAGATTGACATTCATCGAATGAATGCGTTTAGGTGAGCAATGGGTCAACGAATATCTTCGTAGTAAATATCAGGATAAAATTCAATCGAATGAGATAGATATCATTTGGTTAAATCAAAATTTCGAACAAGGCAAACCTTATGATTTCATACTGAGAAGTCTCAAATTCGATTGGGTGATTTATATCGAAGTGAAAAGTACTTTAAGTAGTAACCGTCAATTGATCCCGATAACATTCAACGAATTGCAACACTGTTGTTCGTTGACGAATCGAAATCACGAATTTCAAATCTATCGCGTTTATAATACAGGTCAATTGAAGACAGTTAAATTACGTATTGTGGAAAATCTTGAAGAGAAATTACGCAAACATGCATTGGAATTGTTTTTGTTAATTTGATATACTGTTGTTTTTTTTTTGTTAAAATTAATTTGTTATTGTAGATTTGTTCTTTTTCGAATAATGATTATAGCTACACGACGATTAGTCACAACACTATCGCTCAATTGTACTCAATCAGTTTTGATTAGATCTGCATCGTATCGTATTGTAAGTGAACGAAGAGATTTTCCTATTCGATTTATTAGACCTTTGACTTGAAGAATCCGATCGAAACGCCGAATCAAATAACTGTCCCACATTCCATGGTGAAAAACATTGAACGACAGCGAGCAAAGAAAATCTACAAAAAAGAACAGGAGGAAGATCCACCAGGGGTATGTCTTGTGATTATTTCGATTGTTTTTATCTTCAAGATATTCATAGGATCGATCCCAATCACCAGTGGTGGCTTGTAAACGTTCGGAATTCAATCACTATCCAGGTCGAGGATACAAACATATGACCGAGAAACATGTTGCTTCGAACGCGTGGCATCATCGCTTATCGAAAGGAGATTTCTTTACCATTGATCATCATTTTAAAAATCCATCATGGTCTCAAGCAACAGTGTCAACATTTGAACAACTCGAGTGTAAGCCTGAGCTGGTTGAACTTCTGCAGAAAGCGAATATTCACAATCCAACTGCTACGCAGTCACGTGTCATCCCAGAATTGAGAACTGGTCGACATATGATTGTAGCAGCGGAAACCGGTAAGAAGATGATGCTAAGAATCTCTGAAACCTCGTTTTCGGTTTTTTATTTGTAGGTGGTGGAAAGACATTGGCATATCTCGTACCTCTCATTGAATCGTTACTTCGATGCAAAGCATCAAATCGTGGAGTACCAATAGAAAATGCACCATTCGCAATTATTCTTGCACCAACTCGAGAACTTGTTGTTCAAATAGAAGTACGACGCACCTGAAACTTATTTAAATAGTCACACGAATGTTTTCTTTTGTAGAATATGTTACAAGTGTTTAATGACTTGAATATTCGAACAAAAAGTTTAGTCGGTATTAACACTGACAAAGTAGAATTACTTTTGAAGTAGTTGAAAGACGTATATTTTTCTTTTCTAAGGACCCATTAAACTTCACCCTCGGCGTAGTTGATTTTATCATCGCTACGCCCGGTGTTTTGCTACGACTTCTCAGACAAGGTACCTGTTTACTTTATTCGAACCTTTTTTACATTCACATTTGATATAGATGAACATTTCGGTATTGAAAGACGTTTAATCGGTACTAATCTTCGGCATGTTGTTGTTGATGAAGCTGATACTCTTCTCGATATTACATTCAGTCCTGCTGTCGTCGAGATTATTCGACGTTTAGAAGTAAGTCATTCGAAAAAGAAATATTTCTTTCGTAATGCTTTCGAAATAGGTTGATGTGCAACCAATCAATGATGTTGAACACAATGCACCACCTGCCGTTCAACTCATTTTTGTCTCTGCAACAATCCCTACTGCCACCGAAGAAAGTCTTAAAGATTTAATTAGCGTATGTACAAATGTAACGAATATTTTTTCGCTTGAAAGATTCTATTATCAATAGGCTGATCAAATCGATAAAATGTCCACTCCATCTGTACATCGAATCATGCCACATGTTCCACAAAAATTCTACCGAGTGGGAAATCAACAGAAACTTGGTTAGTCATGATGAGTTTGCCACTATTTTCATCTATTTGTCAGTTTTGTTTTTCAGAACTGCTGTTAAGGCTGGTCAAGAATGATATTGAAAAGAAACATCCCTGTTTGATATTCTGTAATAAAACCAAAACAGTTCGATTTCTTCAACAGTTCTTCCGTGATCAGCGTATTGAAATTCTTACGATGCACAGTGAAATGACTGCCACAGTGAGTTATTTAACTCCTTCCACTCGAGACAATCTGATTTACTATTCCTAGAAACGTGCGAACAATCTGGAAAAGTTTTCTACTGGCGAGAATAATGTCATGTGTGCAACGGATATCATTTCACGAGGAGTGGATACGTACTGGGTAAGAATGATTTATTCATGTTTGCTTCTCAATTGGTTTGTTTTCCAGGTAGAACATGTGATACAATTTGATTTTCCATCGTTTATGTCGGACTACATCCATCGAGCAGGTCGTGTTGGGCGGATTGGTGCGAAAAAACCTGGCAAAGTGTCCAGCTTCGTCACTCAACCACAAGAGATCTCTCTGGCACAAAAAATCGAAGTAAAGTGAAAAAAGACACCTAATGAAAGTCATTGGCTGTTTTTATTTTCTAAAAAAGGTCACTGCCCGTTTGAATAAAAAACTTAGCGGAGTAAATAATGATATCAGAAAACAATTAGAGCTCCGAGCACAACAACGTGAACAAAGACAAGAAAGGATCGACAGTCGACAAGTACGTGAAGAGCTTTGCAATGAAGTCATTCGATCAGCTATGGTTTAAATGCTTTACACATATGTGGTAGATGTATGAATACAATAAATACACGAAAAATATGAGATTTGCATTTGGAGTTATCATGAATATTAGTCATCATTTGAGATTCCTGCTTCGTCGCTCACTGACGGTCGTTTTCGCGGCGAATTATCAAATATCGTACTTTCGAAGCCATCACTTTGACTGTTGTACATGTCACCTAGGGCGAGACTTTGTGCCAGAGTATCAATCGCATGTGTTGTTGTTGCCTGACGTAACTGACCAGGGGTGGTCGGACGTTGGAGAACAGGTTCGACTGTTGATTTCGATTTCGAATCGTTTGCTGACGTGTGACGAAGAATTTTATTGAAAGACGACTTCTGAGAGATGTAGTGCTCTTTGATTAAGGTCTCTCCACTTAATTCTCTATCAGTAGCACGTAACTTATCAGCAAGATCTAGATCAGCTTCCATGATATCTTGGTCTTCCTGCAAAACGAAAAGAATAAATTTCGTTGGAACAATTTAACATGAAGAACAAAGTAGTTTACATCATCATTATCTTGTTCGTTGTCTGATGTTTGTCTTCCGTCCTGATCGCCACCTTTTAATAGAAGGTTGAGGAGGAACTCCAATTGACCTTTTGTTTCCGAATTCGTTCTTTCAACGCGAATGAGAGAACGAAGACGGCTGTCGAGATTCTATAAAAGAAGCGAATCTCTAATATCATTCAATTGAAATCTATTTTACCAATTCCATCGCTTTTTTACGAATGGATTTCAAAGTCAAGATTGAGTACAATGAAGAATTGACATAAGGTCGAGTCTAAATCGGTGTATAGAACTGTCTTAATCAACGTATTGTACCGAGAAAACGTAGATACCTCTTGATTTGGATGCGTTAATAACGCTGAAAGAACACTGATTGCCTGTTCGGCTATTTCCACACATTTCTTACGACCATTTGTACGTAAACATAGATTCATCAACAAAGCCACTCCATATTCTAAAAGTGCAATTACATCATCCACGATTCCACATACAAAAGATGTTCACCTAGAGTATAATCCGACAGACGATCAGTGTGATTTAACAATGGGAATAACCATTTGATGGTATTATGATTGATCATAATTGTTTGCACAGATCGTCTATTCAACACAATCATAGTCTGTTTATCTAATTTCAATTTTGTTTTACCTGAGACTGAGCTTTTGCAATGCTGCTAGTAAATGTTGTTTAATCAGCGTATCGGATGCTTCCGAGACGGCTGCTTTCTGCATACAAATGATCAGTGCTTCATTAGGAGATAAATAATTTCGCCCTTTTCTCAACGAAGCCAGTGTGTTGATCAATCGTGCCCATTCTTCTTTCACGTAATAAGCATCGCTGCCAATTGGTGACGATAATTGTTGAATAATTCTGGCGCGTTGTTCCGTATCGGAACGACAGCCAAGAAGGTCACAACCAATGAACGAATCGAGAACTTTTTCACGTTGAAAATCCGATTTCGCTTTTGTCAATTTCCAACGAAGGGCTTGAAGCAGAAGAGCTTTTTCGCGTGCGCTTGTAGAAATGTTCACCAAGTCTCGTTTTATTTTACCGAAATCGAGCTTTTCGGTGTACGCATCATCCATTCTAAATAAATGCACATTTAAAGAATTCGCTTTGTACTATAAATTCAGGCAAATACCCTGGCCGGGGAGAAGTAGTTGAACTCCTTTGCGATTCTTGTGCTCTTGCCAACAGAAGACGTGCACAAACATTGTCGATATAATCATTTGCAATTGTCTTGCCTAAAACGGCTTGTTGTAATGATTCAACCAGTTCCATTGTAATGTCTAGAAGAAGTACTATGGGAGAAAAAGTATAGTTGAATGTAACTTACTGATTAAATTATAGTAATCGGTAGTCAAATGTTTGAGCTGTCGATTGGATTCTCGTGTTCGATATTTTAATTCTTCATTTTCTCTATTCAGTTGTACTAACACATGTGACGCACGTTCACCATTTTGTAATAATTCGACAAGACTTGGTAATGATCGACCTACAAAGACCCATTCGAGAAAATCCCAGACTTTCTTACGCAGTTCTGTTGGCCATTCATCCTATTCGAATAGTAAACAATGATTTGCTTATGACGATGGAAGAATTAAAAACAAACCGAGAACAAGTCTTGAAACGCTGCGTGTTTTTCTGGTTCTGGTACATATGGTAAAGCAAATAATGGTAAGAGATCACTCGTCTGAGAGATCGATCGATCTCGAATAGATTCAATATATGATCGAAAGACTTGCATGTTTTCTTGAGCTTTTTGTTCATCCTAAAGCCAAACATCACTGCAATCATGATCAGTAATCAAACAAAGACTAACGAACTTTATCTGATGTAGTTGAGCGTAGATAATAAACAGCGAAATGTGTGTAGATTAAAAATTCCAAGGATTTAGATGATGCATCATTAGTGAAAACTTCGAGTGGAATATGTTCTGACCAAAGTTGAAAGAACTCTTCACGATCACCATTGTCTAGATGTTTTAACATAGCTTCCTAATGAAAAGAGGGGAAAACATAATAGTTTAGTTTACATTGTAACAATACCTTGATGTTTTCATATTTCTCCCTCTCCTTTTCTTTTTCATTTAAAGCTTCACTTTTGGTTTTGTCGACTGGCTCTTTTCGATCTTGACGTTCACGAACAAATGCATTTGATGTATTCGAATAACCTTTGGATTCGAGATATTCTTTGATGTAATCATTGATACGGAAATCAATCGGATCAGCCATTCACTTGCTTTTATTCAATAGGCAATCTAATTGATTGATTTGTTTAATCCGATGGAAGTACTTCGTGCTGTTGTTATGGCAGTACCTCAATTGATTGTTCACCACTAACGACATCTATTTCATAAAGTTTTACGCATCAATGAGATATGGAAAACGATGGATTTGATAAGTAAGACGATTTTCAATGAACGAATATATAATTTAGTACGAAAAAACATTCAATTGAACAAGTTCGCACTATTTCAATGGGACAAAGACCTTTGTTCTCAGAAAGACTTGATCGATCGTTCGTTTTTTATCAAGTGTCATTTATTGATTATGCTTCGTCCACCAACAGCAGTTCGTTCAACGTAAGTTTCCCTTACGTTACAAAAGTACGATCAACAACTATTTCGCCTAATCTTTTAGTGGCCTCCGACCACCTGCGCCAAGTGGTCTTCGACCACCGATGCCTTCGTCCCATCATCAACAGCAACAAGCTCGACGTGTTGCACCGTACTTGAGTTTTCTCTCATTCTGCTAGCAAATATCAAATTTGATCTTTCTCATTTTAGTCAACCATCACCGGCACCATATCAACCGGCGAAGTAAGAGATCGAATGTAGTTTTCAAGTTCATATCTTTTGATTTCAGGACAGCACACCGCCAAACAAGTCGTCCATCGGTCAACTCTGCTTCACGTGATCCGCCAGTGCAATCGCGCCCGTAAGAAGTCGATTGAATTCTTTGTAAATTTCTTATCCAAGCTTTCAGTTCAATTTTTCCACGTAACCAAGCTCATACGCCGATGCCATCTGCTGCTCGTCGTACATCAACGGTCGTCAACCGTCAATCGACTGTTCAGTAAGACGAATTCTCATATTTGTCTTGATTAAAATTCTTCACTATTTAGTAAACAGCATGAACAATATGGTGATGAAAATGCTGTTCCTACGAGTTATTCGATAAAACAAGCATGCGAGTAAGACTCGATTTGATTGCAACATATGGTCTAGAATGACATTTTTCAGACGACTTGGTTATGATTATCGTCATTTAATGGATGAAAAACGACGTATTGGTTATACTGGACCTGGACTTCGTAAATATGAAATCTTTGACTATGCTAGTGTTTATCCTACTTGTGTGTTTAGTTGTTCCTGAACGAACAGAAGTTGATGAAATGCTTTTAAAAAATATCGACGTCCCATTTGGTATTTGGCTATACAAATATGTTCGACTTTATGTATGTTCGTTGACGTAGTTCTGTTATTCTATTTAATTGGTATTTGTTTTTCTAATTTAAAAGCCCGGAGAACCTTTAGCTGAGAACTTGAATGAACGCCAATTTGTTCCCGAAAGATTAGACCAAAACGAAATGATTAACGTTGTTCGTCCAACAAACCGTACGCAACGACAAACGACACGTATTCTCGACGTAAGCTTCATTGAACAAAACGTATCAACTCACCACCATCTCTTCTTTTTCAGTTATTTGGCGATAAAAGCAATACAATGCCAGTACCCTCAATAGAAACTACATATGACATAGTCACTAAATCTCAAATGCCACCACCGCCGCCGCCTCCTCCTCCTCCATCCAACGAATTTCGCTTCGCACGGTCGACAACTGTCTTAGCCATCAATGATGAAGTAAATCGTTCGCCGCGTCGTTTACCCCATCATAATAACAATCAATTACAATTGCCAACAGCTATTCTTAAACGTTCACAAACACAAATAATCAATGCGAAATTAGATAGTGACTCGTTTGATCGTGATGCACAGATCCGCGTTCGAGAACTGAAATGTTCGGCAATTGGACAAGAATTTATCGAACAACTAGAACGTTTGCGTTCCATTGATGATCCCGATTTATTCACAATTAAAATTTCTATGTTCGATGCAGCGATACAACGAATTGAGAAAATTATTAGTATGCTCCACATTTGATTGTATTTATTTCTGTTCGATATTTTTCTTTGTGTGTGTGTATAAACATAGATGACAATAATATTAATTGACTAAAATGTTTTCAAAACGATCATATACTACATATTTCACACTTTCCTCATGGATCTCTTTGTCAGAGATGTGTGATACTCAATTGAGGACACTAGAAAGCAAGAACCAATGAAATCAACAAGAACTAATTCGCGCCATCTTGATCGATATTTTATGGATCGGTCATTTCGAAGAAAAAATACCCGCAAATTTGTAAACGTGTTTAAAGAAGGGATAAAATCGATGTGAGAAACTTGATTTGTTAGAAAATGTTGAAGTAATGTTTGTCTGTTGTAGATGAATTGCGATTCTACTCGATATGGAATAGTAAAACGTGAACCTGATCATGGAAATATCGATCGTTTGAAGCATGATCTTGTTGAACAGAAAGAAGAATACGAACGACAAATAAATCAATTGAAAAAAGCTCATGACGAACAAATCTGTAAATTTTGTACCGAACTAGAAAAATCTTCCACGTTATTACACGAATATAAACTAGAACTTGATGCCATGCGTTCCGAACTGAATTCCAAAGAGAAACAATCGAAACCTCAAACAAACGGTGTGTCTTCCAATGACAATTCCCAAGCGAAGTCTCTTGAATTGGCTACTGAAAATATCAAATTAAAGAAAGATTTAGCTGCATTAACAAGCAAATATCAAACATTGAATAACGAAATTCAAGATGCTCGACAATACATACTAAAAATGATCGAAGGCCTAGAATAATACTGTTGTATTTGTGTATATTATAGAATTTGTGAATGTTGATTTTGAACAGTTATTCTCTATGAAGTAAAACACGAAACTTGAAGTTCAATACGAAATACCAGTTCTTTGCATGTGATATCTCCAGCAAATCACATAGAAATAGACATGTTACAACATCTCCTTTGTTCGTGCGAGTCGGTCTGTTTCGTATTTTAGATAGTGACTACCAATGTCCAATTATCACCGACGCGTTGACTGTCTGCATCGAGAAATCTGTATTGGTGTTGTTAGTTACCAAACAGAGCCGCATAATCTATTGTTCGTAGCCAACCAATTAATTCTATCGAACCGTTCTGTTGCGAAATCTCTTTTAGAACCTACTTTGAACAATTCGGGCCTATTAATCACTATAGTTTCAGTTCACCGAGTGGCGGTGGTTATGTTTTTATAACGTACGAAAACGTTGAAAGTGTGAATCGATGTATGGTCAATCGTCCGCACCGAGTCGATGGTCGATATTTGTAAGAAATCGTTTTAGCACTTTTTAAAAAGCTTCTTTTCTCATGTAGACATGTCAAACGTGCGATACCTTACACGGCTGAATATCCCCAAGAGCATATCGAATTATCGCGTGACATCATGATTATCAGCGATTTTTTAGACATTGACGACAATTTTCTCAAGGAATTACGTGAATATTTCTCTTCTTATGGAACCATCTATGCTTGCAAGTATTGTCACGAGGCAAACTTCGATTATTTTCTCGTCGAATTCGCTGATTATGGTAAATCGAATTTCTCAAAAGCACACGTCGCCTATCACTGGTTTTTCCAGATCAAGTCGATCGGGTCATTCTCGACAAGCCACATTATTTTAACCAACAAGAACTGCAGTTGATGAAATACATTGCCACGAATAAAACACTAATGAATATCAAATACTCTTCGAAAGAAACATCGACCGTTGCCAAAGATGCCATCGATGTTGACGATGATCAGAAGTTTTTGAAATTCGAATTGAACTTCAAGGAGAGTTTAGCAGAGAAACAGAATGATTACATCAGTGAAATCGATTTACGAAACGAAATTCACCGCCTGCAGAATGTGTTGAAACGAATGAATGATGATTTTATCAACGAACGGAAGAAATTAGAAGATAATTGTTGTGAACAGTTGAAGAAACTAAATGACGATGCTGATAAGTTAAACCGATTACAGCAAGATCTCGAACAAGGTAATTCTATTTCATGGGAAAACGAGATCACCTTCGCGTTTTTAGAATATCGAAAGCTATTGTGCGAACACGAAGCACTCAAACACGAGAATGAATTGTTACATGAACAATATCTCACAGCCGAATTGGAAAATTTTGAACTCACTTCTTATTACGAGCAAATTCTTGCTGAAGAAAAGGCAAAAACGGCACAATATGAAACCGAATACACCCGAAAACTTGAATGTCTATATGCAGATGGAGCCTCTCCGCTTCCACCAGCCATTCCCGATGATGATGATTGAAAACTCACGAAATATTCTATTGTTTTTCTTACTGTCATATTCTTTTTCTCGTTATTCTCCCCAAGTAATCAATCATGACAAAAAATTAATCATTTCTTTTACTACGAACATCTTGACAGCACTTTATTGACTATCAATGTCACGTTCGTGAAACATTTAGATCGATGCTTCGAGGTCAGATCTTTCACAAATCTGAAGAAACAAATAATGTTCGAAGACGTTTGATCACCAATTAAGCATTGATCTTCCCGTTCGCCAAATCGAACTTGAGATAATATTAGAATAACATCAACTAAACTTTCTGATCGATAATATCATCCAGCTGTTTTCATCCACTATTGCTACTTAAACATGATGATCATCTAACTGATATTCGACTCGTGTATATTGCGATTAAAGAATAAGTTCTATATAGAATGATCAGTCATCACTTCGGCCCAAATACTAGTTATTACATAGAACTTAAAATACATCTCATTGTTCTCGAGAGAAACGTGACAAAACATTTCTCTCATCGTAACTGACTAGAACAGCTGCATGCTGTTAATATGTTTCAGATATATGACAGTATCTGCTATGAGTGGATTTCCTGTTATTTCTGACGTATTACTAGTGTCGTTGTCATGTCTTGTTGTGGATGGGTATGTATGATACAGAAAAAGTCATTATTAAAATGCTTGATATGTTAAATTTAATTATAATATCGTAATACCATCTGTATAGCGACGAAGAAGGAAAAGCGTCAAAAAATGGCGATGAATGTAGTGTTTCTTGGAGAGAAACCTTGTCGTCTTATTTTAATACTAATTTCCGTCAGCAACAGTTTTTTTAAGATAATCCTAGCGAAAACGACACAAGAACGTGTTGACTTATTGATCGAATTTCAATTCAATTCTCGGAGCAGGTCGCACAATTCTCAAAATAATCTCTTGAGTGGCAGCGAATGACATATATTCATATACATGGAAAACAAGGCGAGAAAGGAAAAAAAAACTAGAAGAACTAAACGACGATTAATAATACTAGCTCTACAGTCGATCGATCCGCTAATTATACTTGCAATCATTGTTGTCTTTCTATAAGAGCACTTTTTTCTGTTTTATTCTTATGGTTTGACTGTATATGGTTGTTTTTCGGCTATCTATTTACTGTAGATTCTTTCGTTCTCCTGAACAGCACTGATTGTGGTAGGAGACAAATCTGATTTACATATCCTATCTAATGAGATTTAGTAAATAGAGAAGAAATCGCTTTAATTTGGTCAGAAAACTTCCTTAGTAAATGTTTGACAGATGTCAACAATCTACTCCATCGAAAGCACTTTTGAACATATCTGAAGTCTTTTCCTTTTGCTCTCTGTAACTGCTTCGGCACATGATGTTTGTCATCGTATGATTTCTGTTCGACGTCGTTTATTTCAGCTAACTCGACTTTTGTTTGTAGATTTTAATTGAATGCTACAGTACGAATGAATGTCAGGAGTTCATATATGATCAACAGATCTGCTTCTTTCACGTGTATTCTCTAGTCAATGGATTCTTCGAGTCATTGTTCGATAATGATTGATAGACAATAATCCTGCCGAGCAATAAATCGAGGAGAACTAGTGAATAAATACCTATAGTTTCTATGATGTTAATCAGTTGCTGAAATGGTTTCTAGCATCTGTCGTAATATTCTTTTTTCTCTCGCTCTCTCGCGCGCTCCTTCCTTTGCTCTCGTTGGGAAATCAGTAAGTATAAAAAGAATATATATCTGAGCGTGCGTGACACCAACAAAGGGATTGGCATTTTTGTTTTGTTTGTTATGCGAATGCATTAGAAGTCCACATACTTTAATCACATTGGAAAAAATCTTCACTCAAACAACTACGCATGGGAATAGACCATGCAGATATGACTTCTGTTTTTTCTTTTCGAACGGAACCAGTTAGATTGATCGTCGAAAGACACCGCACATGCGTTCCCATATATATATGTTGATTTCCTGCAGTTTAGACTATCGTCATATTCTATGCGTCGAGTGTCCCATGATGGGAAGCGTCAGACGAGGTAATCTAAGACAATGCTGCATCAATTATCAACGTAGATAGAATTTATAACCTGCACATGTCTATGTATACTGATCTTCTATTTAGCACAGATGGTTGTCTCGCTTAGGAAGCGAAGTAGTCTCGAGAAGAAAGAATGTTAATACGGATAAAATGACAGATCTCGTAGGTTTTTTCGATTAATTAACCGATTAATCGATCTTTAGGCTTTCTCACAATCAAATCGTTGGCTTTTCTCGACGAGATTTATGTGTTGATTCTTCTGATTATACGCATCAGAACTCCCACTGATCGACGCTTGTTCGGATACACCGCGAAGGTCAATTGGAAAACATGCTAATAGTAAAATGTCTTTCATTGCTCGCAGCATATATCAGTTTATTGTGACTATTCTTAGTAGATATTTATTGTTGTAGGAATCTGAGGAAAATAGCGAGAGATTTTTGTTTTTTCTTTCTTTGTTTTAGACCAAAGTCTTTCTAAATCTTGAATTTCACACTTTTCTAACATGTCTCCTGGTGGACCATCGGCTGGTGCCGTACATTGTTTATCATTTCGCGAATATTTTTCTTTTTCACATATGAAATCAATCTGTCGTGGTTTCATCTATGAATATGAAACACCCAAGATCGTTACTATTCATTCCATATCAAGTAAGAAAATGAATTCTTAGTAGCAAGAATGTACCAGGAGAGAAGACTAGACAATCAAAATTATCATACCGATCTCCAGTGAATAATCAAAATAAATCTTATGATAAATTTTAGTTGCACTCACATGTCGGCTGATTCAACTTTTGATTCTTTGCTATGGCGTCGCATATTTGATGGTTTATAAAAAAGGTTATCAAGAAATGGATACATCGATTATCTCATCGATTACATTGAAAGTGAAGGTACACAGAAATGGTTTTTTGTTCACATTTTTCCTTCGTGTTAATGCTTTGTCTGATTCTCTAGGGTATTGGTTATAACAGAACGGGACCAAATGAAACGTTAGTTGTCGATGGTGCAGGTAATTGCTGTTTTTGATCGAATGAAAACAAAAATCAATCAATACACGTTTTTTCTATCTTTCTAGATTATATTATTCCTCCACAAGAGAATAATGCTTTGTTTTTAATGACTAATTTCATTCGTACTGATCAAAAACATTCGCAATGTCCAGGTATATTTGATTTTTTGAAGCAGACCGATTTGATTATCTTGAGTTTTTAGAAACAATTGATATGAAACTAGCAGCGTGTTTTGATAACACTCAATGTCAGAAGAAAGATTTTTTAAAGGTAAGCAAAAGATAAAAGTAGGACATCGATCATTTCTTTCGCCATGTGTTTCATCTGATCAAAGAGTTGAGTAGTATCACTTGGAGTTGTGAAGTACTCTTCCAAAAGAAGATGCGATCCATCATATCATTCGAACTGATTTCTTGAGTGCACGACAAATAATATTTCCCCAATCGCTCGTGACGTTTGTTTTGTGAAGTCAATGTCCTTGGATAGAATTCTAATCTTTTTGTTTATTTATTCTAGGCAAATGGGAGATGGACTGGTAAGTCACGACTCATATGACTGATTGTTGACGTTTGTAATCATATCTAGGTCAATGTATAGGAGGGAATCGATCTATGCTAAATACATCTAAGTCAATAATTGGTCGATGTGAAATCGAAGGCTGGTGTCCAGTAGAAAACGATACTAATGTTCCAGAACCGATACGTGATGCATTGAATTTTACAATATTTATTAAAAACTTCATTGAATTTCCACGTTTTAAAGTTATCAGAAAGAATATCGAACAAAGTCCAACTTACCTGAAAAGCTGTAGTTTTCATTCGGTGAAAGATCCCATATGTCCGATATTTCGTGTGGGAACTATATTGGATGATGTGGAAGATAATAAAACAGAAATCATTCAAATGTTAAAGTTTGGTGGAGTTATACGAGTTAAAATTGATTGGAAATGTAATCTTGACAAGCCATTGCATGAATGTCAACCGAAATATTCGTTTGGACGTCTAGATGTGCCTTTTAAAGAAGATTCTTTCTCGAAAGGTTTCAATTTTCGGTAGGTAAATTATTGTTTGGTAGTTGATTCATTTTGGGATGTTTATCGTTTAGATTTGCTTCACATTGGAAACATCAAAATCAATCGTTTCGTACCTTAACGAAAGCGTTTGGCCTCCGTTTTATTATATCTGTAAGTGCTTTGTATACAAATGTAAATTAACTCCTTAGAGGGAAGGAAAATTATAATCTCTGCACTAGTCACATTCTTGTCAAACATAGAAAGTTATTCTGACATTGAGGGAAGAAATGTGCAACTTGTTAATGCTCTTGTTTCGTTTCTCATAGGTCAGCGGTCAAGCGGGCCGTTTTGACATCATTACATTAAGTTTGAACATCGGTTCTTTGATTGGTATTCTCGGCTTAGCAACAGTTTTATGTGATATTGTTGCATTGTACGTTCATGGCCAATCAGAAGTCTATCGTCAACAGAAATTTCAAGATGTCGATCTGAATCTATTACGTTTAGAAACTTTGAATAGTTTAGCCGAAGGAATGGTGACTGAAGTAGCGAAACGTAAAAGCGCAAGATCTTCATCGGCTGAACAGTCAATAAGCAGCAAAACCATAGGAAATCATGAGACTAAACCAACAGATGATTCACCTATAAAAGGCACACTTCAACGCCTAAAAGACCATCGTCATCGTCGTTTGTATGAGAACATCGTATCATCATCACCTCAATCTATGAACCATGTATCGACATCATCAAATCATTATCAGCAACGAGCAACAAATTCCACGGAAATGTCAACGGAAGATTCGACTTCATTAACATCAGTTAAGCAGAGACGATCGATGCCAAGTCGACCATCCCAAATGACGTCTTTAACCCATGATTCACGTGATAAAGTAGATATGATTTATGCTGATGAAGATTCGCCGATACCGAATGACAAATCGCATCAGAGTATTCATAAGAAATCCAATTCAATCGGAAATGACCAGCCGAATCGACCGTCGCCCAAAATTGAAACATTCTTATAAAATACATGACATGCTTAACATGAAAACGATCACATTCTTGTTGTATTTTTCTGTATGAGCAGCTTTTTGTGATTGCATAAGGTTCAAAATAATGAGCAAGGATCTAATATTTATATTTATGCGATAATAAACTGGCGAAGAAAATCAATCCAAGTCGTACTCTATCAAAAGATTTAAAACAAGGACGATTAGGAATCTTCAACTGGGTAGGTGACGCCCAGTTGAGCGCTCAACATTTGAATAGTTTTTTCGTATTCTCGACTGAGACCCATGGCCTGCTGTACGGCAAATTTTAGTTGGTTGACTTCTTCGAAAAAACCGTCATCCAAAACGCTCATCTTTCGACGCATATGTTCGTATCGTTCTTCTAATTTACTCATACGCTTTTGGGCGGCGAGTGCTCGTTGTTCAGCCTGTTCTTTGGCTTTTTGAGAACGAATCAAGCGTCGTTCATAATCGTGGATGAGAGCGCTCGGTGGCGAAACTTGCAACTGTCTCTGATGACGATTGACAATCGCATCTTGTTCGTACTTTTTCAGTAGTTCATTTTGAGCATTCACAAGACGATGTAAATGAGCTTCTTCATCTGCCGAAGATCTGACGGGATGTGGAAGAAGGTTCAGTTGTTGGTGAGCAGGGGTCGTTGTTTGACACGAAATCGAACAGGAATAATGATGATCTGATTTCTTTTCACTGCGGATCTTTTCCAGATGGGTGATATGATTTTCCAATTCGAGAATTTCTGCTTTTAACTGTTCATGTTCGTAATTGAGAAATACACACATATGAATTGGTGGCATATCCATTTTATGTCGATGATCATATCTATACAAAGAAAGAGCAACACTTATTTTAACGGTTCAATTAGCCACGTGTTTTTCCTTCTTTTTTTTTCGTATGTGATAACCGTTGATCAAATTTGAATTGAAATATATGTGATGTAATCACCGAAAAGTGTTTTGCGGCTTAACCCATATAAATACTTTGATGGACTAGTTCTGACTGTATGAGTGTGATGGATAGAAAGTGTGAGACACGAGGTCACTGTTTCGCAGACTAAGCGCTGATATCCGGACCGCTTGGCCTGTGAGGCTGTGCTCTCGAAGTCGAACTAGACCGATCATCCATCTACTCGAATTCTCTTTTGAAAATAAATAAAACAAGAACTATGTTTGATGATTTATTAAGACACCCGCATTATTTGATATGGTTACAAGAAAAGAGAAAAGGAACTAGACTAGGTCTACATCAATAGCTTCGGTCATTGAACTGGAACATAAGAAGACATCGTAACTATCTGAACTTCAAATAGAACATAGTTTCATATATGTATATATAACATCACTGTTATACAAAAAGAAAAAGAAAGAAAACTAAACATTCATTTCTATCAAAAATAAAGTTTTCGAATTAATTCGACGGAGGATTTGTCGCATATTTGGTTTTGAAGATTTTCTCTAGTCGTGTGACATTTGTTGTTTCTGTTGGTTGAGCTAGATTACCATCGACAGGCGAGACACCACGTAATAATTCATTGGAAGATTTAGTACGTAAACGATCAATAATCGTTTTCATCACAGTACTTGATGGCGATGATGGACTGGCAGTTGTTCTCTACGATGGAGGAGACAAGTTTACAAGTATTCCAGTAAGACTTTTCTTACGGCTGTGTTGGGATTGGACAGCGCTTGAGAAACGTGTTTGATGGACGCTTCTAGTTCGTGATTTGTTGGAAAAAAATTGGGTATAGGACGGTCGAGAAAGGCTAAGTGCGGACTGCGACCTGATGACTAGAAAAAAAAAGACGATGAAAATTTCTGTATAAAATTTCGATGATGATCAGATATAATTACTCGATTGGTTGCAGATCGATCGGAAGGTAGGGACAAAGGTGGAATAGTGAGTGTGTTCGTATCTCGTTGTCGCTGTTGCTCTAACCAATTTTTGTCGATGACTGATGTGTCTGAAGTAAATGATTGTTGTGGTTTAGGCGACGCTGGGGGAGTTGCAGATGATGACGAAGATGAAGATGATGATGAAAATGATCGACGTTCAACAAATACCTCTGGCGATGATGGTTTCAATTGATGCTCAGACGATGCTAGAGATGAAATCTGTTGGTATTGATCGTCAACACTTGCATGTGTTGAGAATATAGTACGACGTGGAGTAAGTTTAGGAGATAGAGTGTCGTTTAGTCGTTCAGCATTCATTTGTTGACAATCAAAATTAAATGCTGAAAGATTGTTCAGCGGACGGATATGGACAACGTCAATATCATCGGTTTGTTCTTCATGTGGAACAGCTTCTTCGATTTGTATGGATCGTGGTGGCGATGGTGGTCTAGGTGAAGTAATGGCAGCAGTAGTCATACGATGTTGAGTAGGAGGAAGACCAATTGGTAGGAAAGTTTGATTATGATCATCGTTGTCTTCTTCGTCAGACCAAAGGATGGAACAGTTGGGGTGTTGTTGATCGAGTGCATGACTAAATAAATCGATTTGGTATTGAAAATGACTCGCTTTTTATATTCAACTCACTGCGTATGTTCATTGGTCTGGTACGAAATAGGTGGCAATGGCGGCGATTGTTCCCGAGCATGAAATTCAGTCGTGGTATTAAAGTTTGGTAATACCGGCGGTGGCGATGGGCTTGAGTGCTGCTCGGCTATGATTGATAATGATCTTGGAGGCGGTGTTGGTGGTTTATTAAAGAAATCTTTGGACGATTCGAGCAGATGATTCGCTTTAGTCATCAATTCTTGCGCGAGACGAACTTGATCATTATGATGTGAAAGAACATCGGTTATATTGAGACCGTCGCTTATTAACGGTCGTCCACTGAGTGATTCAGGGAAATGCTCTAATAAATCTGTTTGAATCTTTGTCGTTGTTGTTGAACGATTCGAATCTGGATTCTGCTGATGAGTATTCACATGAACTTGCATTGATGTTGACGGTGGTGGAACACTACTACAACGACTTGTTGTCACTGTAGATGGTGACTCATGTCTTGTTGATGATATTTCCGTTCCAGAATTGAGACGAGCTTTCAATCGATCAGTTATGGCACCAAGTTCACCCAATTGTCGGCTAAAAGAAAGCAAAATATAGTCTTTGGGAATTATGATTTCGATCGTTTCTTACTGAAGATTATTCAACAGAAACGATTTCTTATTGCTTTCATCCTCAACCATCGATGTATTTAAACTTGTTTGACCTGCCGAACTCTACAAAGACAAAAGAAATTAAAAAGTATATGCTCTGCCGACAATATTATCCAGTAATTACAGATCTAGCCGAAAGATCGTTGAAAACGATCGGTGGTACAGTGCCACTATTCGTTGACGTTGACCGATATGAATCAGGTGTTGATTTATTTTGATTTGAATTATATTTAAGTCGTTTCAGTACAAATAGATCTTCTTGTGGAACAATACTGGTTTTCAACTGTCCTTGCACATTTCCGATCGTGTCGACAATGTTATACCAACCAGATATTTGTTGTAAACCAGATAGTAACGGACTTAAGTCAATCGAGACAAAACCAAGAACCTTGTCGCCAGATTTTTCTACAGAATATTGAAAAGTAGAAGAGAAGAGAAATGAAATGAAAGTGCATTGTACCTGGAATGGTTTCAATATCAGCATTGACTTTATGCCACACTTTGAGTATGAAGGTCTTTTTGTCGTTAAATAAATGTTCGACGGCTAATTTCACTGCTTGTTGGTAGTTCCAGATTGGTCTATTTGTTGATGTTAGAATTTGTGTACGGCATAAGTGTTGGGAGTTCGCTGTTGAATAGGTTACATATGGATTTGGTAGAGTATGAGCATTTCTTAAAGTGTAGTACAGTCAACATTTTCCGGAAAAATGGTGCGGACAGACTTACTCGGGTTTGGAGTAAATGTTCGGTAAATGTGCTGCTTGTTCAATATTGACGATGACAGAGAATACGTTATTTGTTACTGTTCGAAGCGCATGATCATCGCCAATCAAATTTAGTTGACGATTTTCTAAGTAAGAATCAAGTTCAGCATCATTTGGCCTATCACCACTATCTCGACTCTGAAAAAAGCACAAAAAAATCATGTCAATTAAGTTCATTCGACGTCGAAAGGTCCTGTCTTAGTACATACCCGTAATTCGTTAAAATCTTTAGATTTATCGATCGTCACATGTACTTGTGCGAAAGCACCGCCCAAATCTTTCGATCCAAGCTTAAACATCGGTAGAACCGCATTTAATCGATGCGATTTTCTTTTTCGATCACATAAGCTATTCAAATCCACATAGATCGATCCGATATGTCTATCGGTTGATGCTACTGCCGACGTGCTTGAATAATCATAGGAATCATTTTCACTTGTCCAAATTTGCATTTCTAACTTTTCTTCCCGTAAATACCATAAGAATGGTGCACTGCAAAGAAACAAGTGCTCTTTGGTGAATTTAAGTTCGCAGATGACATTCTGTTTGTCCATAATCGGTTTCTTCCGTTTTGTTATGATTGGCACTACAAATATAAAACATATTGGCTCTATAATACGCAGAACAGTGGTAAATCCAGTGTGTTTACTTTTGTCATAGAGTCGATATTGCACGAAGACACTTGTTCGCTCATCAACGCGATCTTTCCCTGGACGAGTGGCGAGTTGGATAGGAAATTGAATACGATCAATGGAAAGTATGACTAAACATCCGAGATCTTTTTGATCTAAACATAACAATACATAGATGACAAATATATTCGATCGAGTTTTTCCTGTCAGTCTACCATTGAGTAAATTTTCTTCGTCCGTATATTTTTCATCCAGCCACCCAAGTGTTTTAGCAGATTCAATAACTCGACGACGATCATCTTGTTGACCGAAACGAATGAAAAGTTCTAATCCGCCAACACTATGTTCCGATGGATCAGAAGAAACATCTGATGTCGCGACACGATTCGCACTGCCCAATGAGTACCAACCCTTGATACCTGCAACAAATTCGAGCGTTTCATTGTGACCGTCCATGCAAATCTTACCTGTATGTCGAGATAATAAATCTTTCAATGGAATAGTACAATAGCATAAATGAATATCTAATGAGCGTTTATCGTTAGGTTGATTTGAATCATCTGTTGAACTGATTTGATGGTACAAATCGACCTTTAATTGACCGTGCTCGAGCATTTCAGCAAGAGAGATGGTATGATTACGGGTATCATTCCAGACCAATGGCACAGGAAAATCGATCGAATGATTAAATTCAGGTACAAAGCTACGCGCGATCGTTCGTGTTGTTCGAGATTCCTATCGTCGGACAAAAGAAACAAATAAATGCAAAAGAAGCCAGTGACAACGTTACCGTATCAGATAAAAATGATAATGATAATTTTGCGTAGGTATTCACACCGACTTGTGCAGGATAATTCAACCGAGCATCATGACGAGCTTGAGATTGAGCAGCATGCTAAAGAGCATATCAGATATAGGAAGCGACAAATAAGAAATAAAGAGTCTCACTTTCAATCCGCAAGCGCGTACGATGCCGACGGAGATGCACGCTTGAGCACTGTCGCTGGAGAGACGATCATTGAACGCTTGTTGTTCGTTTTTCTAAAAAAAAATAAAATCCATGTAATTCATTCTACAGACAACGCAATCATCTTACTTTAACGATACTTCGTCTATATGTGACTGATGTTAATAAATCTCCACCATATGCCGGTGCTGATGACTGATGATACTGGCCATGTTTTGGATCTTCTCGTACGATTTCAAGTGGAATACGAAATGATTGTACTGACTTATTTTCTGCGCCCGAGTTTAGCATTGTCGTCATACTACATAATTTCGCTGCTGGCAATTTTCCCTAGAACATATTTGATGGTCCAAAACGGAAAACAAGAAAACCCTCAATCTAACTTTTGCTAAGAGTTGATCGCGAATATTCGGATAGTAAAAACGTGACCATACTTCAAATGTAATACAAGTTTCCAGAGTCGAGGGTGAATGGCACGCTAAAAGGTACATAGAGAAATAGTTTCGGTCCATACAAATCAACTTACCTGCATAGAAATGTTTATGTAAAGCATCAGTAGGTGAGAGTACATAACGGAATTTATTACTATCATGAAATGTTGGGTCAGACGTACATAGAGTCGCAGCTGTGCGTATCGGGCGAAGTTGAAATGGTTTTACTGAATTATTATTTGTTAGCTGATCTTGGTCTTGTTGAACAGGAAATAAATATTGAATAAAACAATCGCTTTCGCCCCAAACCATCGACTCGAACGCGCGTAATCCAGTGATACCTTCCAGCATGATTTCAAACTGATGTTCAATCAACGATGGTGCTGATGGATCTGGATGCAGTTCCGCCGTCGGTTTTCTCGCTGTGGAAGCAGGTGATGCTAAGCTGCCATTGGCATGTGCAACTTGTATGTTGATTATTTGGTCCGATGTGCCCATCGCTAATAAAACTTGAATTTCACCATTTGACTTCTGTGTGCTCGTAAAAGGATCGATAATAGGTAGCCAAGAATCCGTACTAATAACGGGATACTGTGCTCGTAATAGTACTCGACTGATTTGTTTGTCTTTGAAAGAAATGTGAAATTGCTCTAATGGCACTTTAACAATGCCAATGATCATGTCTGTTGCGCCTGAGATCTTCTTATCCCATAGTTCGATAACAACGAAATTATGATGCATTTTGTCCAAGGTAGCTTTTGTTAATAGCAATGGAATTTTCTATAAAACAGAGAGAGACAGAGAAAGGAAAGATTTGTTTGTCAACATTTATTTTAAATTCAATAGATGAATACTTGTTCAAAATTGAATCGCGGTGATGAACTTCCCCAACAAACAACTGAAGTGATAGGTTCTTCGTTCCAAAATGCTCGACAAACAAAATAGGGATTTCGTGGTAAATGGTCTAAAATAAAAGCCACTCAAAATCAATTCGAAAGATTGGTATCTCTTACTATTATTCGGTATTTGTAAAATATGTCGTGCTTCAGTAATCGAAAGATAGATCTGTACGACAAAGCCATCATCCAATTCTGACAGTGGTTCATTGGTCATGAAGCCTTCACTGGAAAAGGCTTTCGGCAGTTGCAGATTTGTATTCGGATTGACAACAATCTGTTTGCTTTTCTTTTTGCCTTTTTTCGTCTTTCCACTCGCTTGTTTCTTTGGTCTCATCTGTTCGATTAAACGAAGACGGTCCAATTCAATTTTGAAATTCGTGACATCAGAATCCAATTCAAGCAACACATGCAAGTTTCCGATACAAAATTTTCGAGCGACTTTACTCGGAAGTCTTTGCTGGTTGATTTGAGTGCGATCGATGACACTGATATTTTGTTCTAAATGAAGACTTTCTGCTTTTAACACTTTGCGCAGAGGTAGAACGGCAAAGCCAATCTGTTCGGGACTACTTGAGCCTGACGTTCGACTGAAAATTTTGAAGATCAACAATGAACGCCACCAATTTTTAAGAATGGTTTCATTGAATAAGCATGGATAAGTTGATAAATGGGAGAATATGATGTCGTTATTGCTTTCGAATCGTTTCGAAGCGATTTTCATGACTTGAGTAGCTTCATTCTTTTGACCATCGCGACTGTTAGCAATAACAGGGAACTGATATTCGATGAAATACGTTCTGTAAGTGAAGAAGAGTTGGAAAATTTCATGTTGTTGCAGAGAAGTTTTCTTACGTTGCTCGTTTGCTTTTATTCGTTCGACCAAACGACGAATGTGACGGCGATTGTCGATCAGCATTCAGCTCATTCAAACGCAACTGATCTATACGAACACGAGCCGTTCGAACATGGTTCAAGATTTGAATACGTTCTGTACTAAGATTCTCGTCATCAGCGTGACTTTCTAAACATACCGATTGAGTAGGAAAAAAATTCAATTTGCATCTGTTTCCTTACCATTTCCACTATCATCAAGATCGGAACTTGGCATATCAAATGACACGCGTGATGCTGTATCACTATCCGTGCTTCGCGCCGAACGAGAACGATGGGATAATCGTCCGGCTCGTGTAACGCTCGGACTTCGTGAACGACCCGACGGTGGTTTTCCACGTGGCGGTTGTTTACTTGTTATAAGATTACTTGCTCCGTCGCCGCTGCCAGCACCGTAAAGTAGATCCTCTAGCAAACTTTGTTCGTTTTCTAATCCGTCAAAGTCAGTTAAAATTGAATCATTGGAGTTATTCAGATCGCCAGGTAATTTCAAAGATGTACCAATACCTAATATATCGCAAACGTTCTCGGGATCGTTACAATGAGATTCGAGTTGCTCGTGGGTAGTAAGAATTTCGGAGTTGTTATTATTGAGATTTTTCTCCGATGAAGACCTAATCATGTCCTCACGAAGACGATTCGCACGTTCAATCAATGCTTCTACTACTTGGCCAGTTGGTTGATCACGATGAGATTGACCATCTAAATTAAAATCAAAAGAATCTTCAGGATTTCACTCTGTAAACTACTAACCTAGTTGATTATCAGATGTGTATGGCTTGAATGGAACCGTCGTGTCAAAACGCGGCGTCTTCCCTACGCCATCGTTGGACCGAGAAGTGCCTAGATTTTCTGCATTATAAGCTCGATCAAGTTTATAAGTTCGAGAATTATTTTCAAGTCGATCGTTCTACCAAACAATAGGTCATTCTTTTCAAAGACATCAAAGCAACCTACTTGATGATAATCATTTGCACCAAGGGAACTACGACGTGAAGGTGGATTACTGACATCAGATGTGACACTCATTGTTGTTAAGTTTTCATTACTATCATAAGCTGAAAACGAATATACTTTTTCTTATGCAAATACGTGACACGATATCAAAACGGCTTACTTCCAGGTAGGTATATACGAAGTAGGACGAATACTTCGCCTAGTTTATCACCTTTACTTGTAAAAATCGAATGGAAACCTTTAATTGGATTATTCACGGATAATGTCGATAAATTTTGAACTTTAGCAGTGCCAATAAGACGATTGCTTTCTGAATCGAATACTTTCAATACGAGATCAGAAGCATCTAGATAAACAGCGAAAGAAAAACAAGTACACTTTTTCTTAAAGAAAACTAGTGATCAACTAACCTATTAAATATTTAGCAAACTGTTTCAGTTCGCTTCGAATATAGTATTTAGCTGTTGTGCTTAATTGTTGAGATAGTGACGATGCAGCACCAATGATCTGTGGTCTATTGAAAGAAAAGGTATGACATATCACAATTGAGTTATGTTCAAAGCTACCTGAATAACGCTGATGTATCATCTTCTCCCCACCAGGAAACTTTGATGCACACGGCTCGACACGATGGTTGATGTTTTGTGTTCCAACGTACTTTTGGAATATGACAAATTAAATTTGCATAGACAGGACCTTCGACAAATGGTGGTAAACTCGTTCTAACATAAACATCTTCTTGATTACGACCTTTTGATTGTGATCGTGTTTGTCGTTCTGAAAACCGAAATTAACATGAACGATCGACGAAACAATCTCCACTTACTTTTTGGTGTTGTTGGACGTTTTCCACTGGTTGTAGTAGACATTTGTTCAACTCGACAAGAAATTTACATACCGTTCTTATTCTGCATGCAAGATGTTCATCATCTAAAAGCACACGAACAAACAATCGAGTGAGAATTTTCTTGCTTGAAGTCAAAATTAGATTCGAACCAATCTAATCTTTGTTCAACATTATCCGCCATATGAATTCATGAACTAGTAGTTACCTAGCAGTGACTAGATCCTCTACATAATGGACATTTGCTCATCATAGCGACATCTGTTGATCATAAATGCGAAGTCTTCGATATGATGTGCTTTGCAAATTGATGAAAGATCTATGCTCCGAAATAAACACAATTAGGAATTGATGAATAACTGGAAATCTTCAATATTTACTCTGTTTCATTTCGATCGACAGACAGTCAATTGCGTTCGCTGCTCTCGTTACTTGTAGTTCTTCCTTTTCACTCTGATTATCAGCATGCTTCCATGTAACAATAAAGTGCACTCGAAACCAAAACAAGCGAATACTTTATGATGAACTAACTATTGTCTATCATCGATCGTTCACTATAGTTGAAATTGGCACATCACACCGTAGTCGTTTGGACTGAATCAAAACATTCTGTGAAGAAATCAACGTCTTTTTACGTCCAATCCATTAACAACAATAATAATAACCTTATCAACAAATTTCCCCTCAAACATCTGGAAAGTCAATAACGAAATTAACAAATCTTCAGGCTGAATGTTTCGACAGATCGTAACAAAGGTAGATTGCATGAATTGCTCGTCTCATTTCTACAACTAAATAACTCTCGATTGATCGCCAATTTGCATATTTAAGTGATCTATACATTGTACTATTTTCTATTCTTTTTCAACTGTATATGTTTAATATCTCTTATTGTATTGTGTTCGTGCCACTATGAACTATAATCATATAATAATACTGAACGCGTATAATTATTCGTTATTCAAATGGAACAAAGCACTATTGCAATGCTCTCTTGAAAATTTCAAGTATACGAGTGAGTGAAGTGCAGCCGAAGGACGAGTATAAAGCAAATGAGTAGAGAACGAACGAAATACAGTGAAGTATATACTCGTAATCGTAAGGTTTCACTTTTTTGTCTATTATCACCAGATTTTGTCTTCGACTAGTAAGACAATCACGAAGACAACAGTCTCTTTTCCATTCTGTTAATGATCTTCTCATTCTCAAGCCATGAGCGACATCTGTACAGATGCGATCACATATATACGATTATTCGATAGTATTTATCTCTTGTCACAAGATAAGAACATTCCTATTTGATCGTAGAATCGATCGAATTGGGATGTCTGTTTTATTGGTGACCCGTACATATCGTGTAATGGCGTTATTATCTTGTTATATTACCTTCGCTTGTATTTCGCAAGACAACAACACTTTTTCGTGGTTGAATATGACTCATCCCTTTTTCTTTTTTTTCCTCATATACATATACATATATAAAGGTATGGCTTTATATTTTATGTTGTTTTTCAGATACCACATCGCTTTATAGTTGTGGTAATATATCGCTGTTTTGACTTGTAAGTATTAGTTATAAATAATATTAGTTTTTGCACGCTTGTTTGATTTTTAATGCGTATCCGTACTCAGTTAGCTTGTAATGTCTGCATCTACTGATAGCCGTAATCAATCTGCTTGTGCGTTAGAACTTGCTACCAGTCATGCTCGTCGTTGTTTGTTAAATAAACACAACGAGGTTCGCTTGTTATTGTTTTTTTCTGCCACAAAAAATAGCGACATTTTGACACTTTACTTTGTAGAGTATGATGCATAAAGTCAAAGACGTCGTGACGAAGTTTCTCAATCCATCGTTTTTATTTTCGCCGAATAACGAGACAGATAGCGCGGTAAGTGATGTTCATATGCTTCTTTTCGAGGGAAAAATATATCAACATTTTAGAAACGAAAACGATCCGATTCGCCAAAAAATGAAGTTGCCAATGAACAAGAAATCGATCGGACTCCTCGACATGATCATACGAATGGTAGGATCCAATTTCTTTTGTTGATTACCAATGCAAATACGCAATTTCTATTCAGAACGTCGGATCGATAGCCATAGCGATGAATCGCAATTGACCGATGACGAAGACAATAATAATCGAGATGTACCATCAACGGAACAACAAACAAAACGACGTCGTACATCTAATTATCAACATGTTACAACAACAACAACTAGTCATCATCATGGTAATGAACGAACGTCACCAGGAACAAGTATGACTCGAATAAAATCTTCATAAATAATCTTGTTTTCTTTTCAAAAATAGGTTCTACAGAGAGTGTCATATCTTCGACACATACAACCCCAATTCTTTGTCGAACATCTATCGAACAGGATTATTCTGAAGTCGTTCATCGTGTTCGGCATCATTACAATCATCCTTCTAGTTATCGAAGAACAACTTCCAATTACGATCCGTCAAAATCGCCACTTTTCTCTGCTGGAAATCGCGTATGTCGTCTCTATCTTTATCGTTCTATGATTAATACAGTTCTCATTAATTAGGCAATGACAACTTCACAGTCGAATGAAACGGCAGCAAACCATCTACTAGCAACTAGTCTTACGAATCGCTCGTCACCATTTGTATCAGCAAATAGTCAATCGTCTCATACATTAACAAATCCAGTAAGTGATCAAGGATTGATAAACTGCTGGATTAATCGGAAATCAATTTTATTCTAGGTATTAAAACAACGACAAATGTATGGTTCTGGTTATTCAGCAATTAACCCACGTCGTCTATCATATATTGAAAGGCTTCGTCGACGAACTTTACAAGATTGTGTACGATTTGATCGTGCACTGGCTGATGAACCGTAAGTTTTTTCTTGGAAATCTCTTCATTCTTGTGTATGTAAATAAACGTTGTTTAACTTTAGATTAGCGACAACAACTGAAAAACCACAATCTACAACTACGGATCCATCAATAGGCTCACACAGACTAAAGGTATTAGAGAAAGAATGCGGTGTTCAGTGCGATGTAAGATTTTTGCATTTGCTCGAACGATTACTTGCAGTAGTTTCCTTTTTTCTCTTGTCTGTAGATCACAGTTGAAGGACCGAACAAAACGACCGCTCGTACATTTCCTCCGGAAGACATTCGCGATGAAGCACTATTAATACCAAATACGGACAAAATTCAAACAGATAGTTCAATCACAATTGAAAAGTCTCAACCGCCAAAACCTACGTTTACTATTACCAAACCGAAAGTAAGTAAATAGAAGGTAGTCAGACTGAGTAGAAATAATCTCGTTTTGTTCCAAGGTGCTTGGTAATATCACACCTTTTTCATGGCCAAAATTTGCTCGTGCTCAAGACGAATATGCCAAAAAATATCCAGATAAGTGTCGCCATGATGCAGGTAAGTTGCTTACTGTCGCCAATAAAATCACTAAAATTATCTGATTAATTAGTCGTTCCTTCTATTATTGGTAAATCGAATGCGTCCATATCTTCAACAAATCAATCACAGACTACTGATAGTCCAACCACATCGAAAAATATTTTCTCAGTTAAATCACCTTCGCGCCCTGCTGAATCTATTTGGAAATGCCCATGCTGTACTAAGGAACATCCCGCACAAACAGCATCCTGTTCATTGTGTCATGGAATTAATCCAAACTATAAGAAACCAAGTGGTAAGTTTCGAATTCTTGTTTAATGAATAACACATCTGGTCACATTTGTAGCGAATCAACTAAGTGTATCAGTTGGGAAAGAGCAACTATTAACTACGATTGCTAGCAGCGCACCTCTTACCGTTACAAAAGAATCAACTACATTCACATTGGCTCCTTCCATTTCTAGTCAAACGACAACTACGACTAAGGAGAGTGTTGTTCCTACGGCTTCCTCGACTGTTACAACTAATAGCATCAGCATTACTTTCCCAACATTTGGAACAGTGCAAAATGCAAGTATATTACCCGCAACGACCAAGGAAAATACGGTCACCACTACCGCTAGTTCATCGATTCCGCTTTTCGGTGTATCACCAATAATGTCACAACAGAAAAATGTCACAACTAGTGCGACGATACCAACATTTGGTGTGACGCCATCGTTTGCAGTGACAAATTCAACAGCAAGCTCTACACTTACAAATACTTTTCCTCCGATTTTTGGTGTGACAACAACCACTATAACTACGGCTAGTACTGTACCTGCAACTACTGTACCTGCAACTACTGTACCTGCAACTACTGTACCATCATTTGGTATCACAACAACAAAAGATACTCTTATCAATAGTAGTCGTCTATTTCAATTCGGTACATCATCGTCGCTATCGTCATCAGATAGTTCTATGATCACTAGCCCATCAAGTTCGTTTCCAGTGACTTCGGCATTCCAACCTTTTGCTTCGACGTCATCTTCTCACCTCACTACACCCGCGACGACATCGAGTTCGACCGTATCCATCCCTTTTGGATCGTTTGGTAGCTCAACATTACCAACGACAACAACAGCGGCAACATTTACTCCCTTCACACCAATAGTTACTCCGCTTACTACCACAGCTTTCTCTTCAGGAGCAACAGCAGCAACAACAACAAGTACTTCAACCACTTCGAATATATTTGGTACTTCCCTCGTCTCATCATCATCTACAGCGACAAATCTAGCACCATTTCCAGGACTTTCTGCAATCAATGCGTTGCCGTCCGCACTAACAGGCACCACGTCATCGACGCCTGCATTTGGCATAGGTAACTTTAGTTTCACATCGTCATCGTCATCGTCCGCTAATCCTCCGTTCGGATCTCTTGGAAGCACTGCTGTGAGACCATTTGCACCGTTGTCGATTTCATCGACGAGTACAAATAATCCACCTACATTTGGTTCGATTGCACCATTTGGAGCATCTGCCATGTCCGCTGAACGACCTGCAAATCCAATACCGCAATTCAGTTTTGGCACGCCGTCAACAAATTCTTCAAGTTCATCATCTGTTGGTGGTTTTGCATTTGGTGCTCAATCATCAGCACCTCCACTGTTTGGTGCTACCAGTCAACCTATTTTTCCGCCAACTGCAATCAATTTTGGCGTTCCTCCTTCAACTTCAACTACCTCCAATCTATTCGATATGCCGCCGTCATTATCAGGCTCGATAGATAGCGCTCCTACGTAAGTGTCATCATAAACTCCTCAAATTCTATTGTATTTCATTCGTTTTTTTTTTCATTTCAGTCTATTCACTATTGGAAGTGGCAGCTCAACGTCAAATTCACCTCGTCGAGTGCTTCGAGCCCGACGTACAGACCGATCTTGAAAAGCAACAAACTTTGTTCTTTGAATAATATTACCGATTACTATGCTCTTTTCGCGTGTGCTCGTGTGTTTGTATGTTTTTTGTTCTTCATAGCTCTCATATGAATGTCGTTTTGGATGGACAGGAATGTCGTAGATTGTTTTTTGTTTTGAGAGTGATGAAAAAGAACAGACAACCGAGAAATTAATAAAAAAAAATAAACCTAAAGTAACGATTTTCTAATTTGTCTTCTAGATTAATTAATTATAACAATTCCAAAATGGTCAAAGTACGGAAAGGAACAAAGCCACCACCCGATGGATGGTAAGTTCAGCGTTAGAATCCCTTTCACCGAATTATATTTGACATTTAGGGATCTCATTGAACCAACTTTGGACGAACTCGAAGGTAAAATGCGTGAAGCTGAATTAGCGCCACATGAAGGTAAACGTAAAGTTGAAGTCCATTGGCCAATCTTTAAGATCCATCATCAAAAATCGCGTTATCTCTACGATTTATACTACAAACGTAAGACTATTAGTAAAGAGTTGTACGATTATTGTATAAAACAATCAATTGGTGATAAGAATTTAATTGGTAAGTCTGAGAGAACAATGAGTGAAGATTTTTGTATTGATAAGTGTGTTTTTGTTTCTTTTAGCACAATGGAAAAAACAAGGGTATGAAAATCTTTGTTGTCTGCGATGTATTCAACCTCGCGATACAAATTTCAATAAAAAATGTATTTGTCGTGTACCAAAAGAGAAACTGGAAGAAGGAAAAGTTGTCGAATGCGTTCACTGCGGTTGTCGAGGCTGTTCTGGTTAATGTATGTACACATTTGTCACAGTCTGATTGTACTGATTTCTTTCATTTTGTTTTGTTTATTGTAAAAAAGAAACATATTCGAACAAAATAAAACTTCTACTTGATTGATAAAAATATTCGTCCTATTCCATGTCAGATTTTCATATGAAGAAAAGATTGTGTTTGCAGATGGCAAATGCAAGCAGTTTGATTGATGGACGCTATTCGTACTTTTAGATTATTTTTAATAAGAAAGATATCGTTCTTCGAAAATTGACATCATGTATAATTGTCTACGGTAAAGCAAATCTTTGCATGAGAGATTATATGAATTGTTCGTTAATCAGAATAGGAATTCGAACATTTGCTACGAAGGTTGCAATGAAGCCACGTGCTGTTGTTGTCTCTGGTCCGAGCGGGTGTGTTTTTGTGAATTGACACGATTTCTAATAGGACGATCGTTTAGATCTGGCAAAAGTACTTTGATCAACCAATTGTTCGAAGAATATCCAACTGTATTTGCCTTTAGCGTTTCTCGTATGTTTTTCTACTCGCATAGATCTTTTCTCATACCATACATGCTTAGATACCACACGAACGCCTCGGCCCGGTGAACAAAGTGGTCGAGGTACGTGAGGAATCATCTCTACATAAACGTAGCTGAACGTTCATCCTTTAGAATATCATTTTGTGTCACGAAATCAGATGGAAAAAATGATCGCCAACGGTGAATTTCTCGAAACAACCGAATTTTCCTCCAATCTCTATGGAACAAGGTTCTCATTCTACGCATCATTCTCCCTCAGGAATATCTTCACGGTTTTTAACCTTTAGTAAAAAAGCTGTAGAACACGTGGCTCAAACGGGTCGCATTTGTGTTCTGGATGTCGACAAGCAAGGTGTGAAAAGTATTCGCAACAGTGATCTCCGTGCATTATTCATTTATATAAGTCCACCAAGTTACGAAATCTTAGAAAAACGTTTACGCGATCGTAAAACTGATACTGAAAGTGCGATTGAAAAACGTTTGAAAGAGTCAAAAGAATCTATGGAATTCAGCAAACAACCCGGCGTTTATGACCATATTATATTAAACGACAAACTCGATGTTGCTTACAACGATCTCAAAAACGTTCTTCGTAAAGTAAGACATATGTCTCATCCGAGATACTCATCTACTTTGATCTTGTTCCAGGACATCGAATCCGCGTTGAAACAACAAAACAAATCGTCATAACAAATTGTTTATCTTCAAATTTTCTCCTTTTAGTATATTTAGTCGTCATAATAAATTGACTAGGCTTAGTGTTTTGCTGTGAACGTTCAAACGATCGCGAGAAAGAATAGATGTTTCTTATTTTTTACCGACCTTATCGATCGACATGTATATGTGTGTGAAAAATTTAAAAAAAAAACAGTAAAATTTTGACGATGGAAAAGTCGGTTTTTCGTTCGTTGTTCAATGAGCTGAAACGTGTTGTCGAATGGGTGGTGCTTGAAATCCGGCAAAGCTGGCCGATGCTTGTTTGTAATTCTGCTGTGTAACATGTAAAGTAACAAATTTGTTTATTACTGAGTCACTGGGCCGCGTTTTCGGATATTTGTTTGGAAAATAAGTCTTCCCTTGTTTATTAACGACATTTTTTGGTGGAGAGTAAATTGTGCCAACGACATACGGATCTTTGTCGCTACGTTTGGGAAATTTATCGAAACAACCGTCTTTGTTTCCACCCAACTAGAACAAGTTTATATTCGGATGACATTTAATTGGAGAAAAGTGACTCACGGATTTGCCGGGTGAACTGAATTTGAATGGTTTTTTATCTGATGGGGCTGATCGTGAACGTTCTTTTTCTTCACCGCGTCGTTTTCCACCTTTACCATCGTCATGAAATGGATTACGATCGAAATACTCCTTCGGATGCATATTTAATTTAAACACACCAGCCTTCATGGATGCTTTATGATGAGCGAAATCTTTCTATTTAACGAATGAGATTGATGTCTAAGAGAGACCGTCTCCGAAGAAACTTACGCGTTGTGCATCGATGGATGCACTGTAATCATCCGTTTTATCTTTGTATGTATAGGAAGGATCTTTACTTAGACACAAATGTGGATAACTAGCAAACAAACGAGAAAAGAAAGAGATTAACAGAAGTTCGGAAATGTAATTACCCGTAACCAGTTCCTTTCTTCGATGGATTGGTTTTGAAGTTTGGTTTTTCAGGAGATGGTTTAGGTTGATCACGATACTTTGATTTTGTCGGATCAGGATCTTTTGGAAGACCACCGAATGTGCCAAAAAATGAGCCCAATCCTTCTCTAAAATGTCAACGTAGAATCATCATCGCTTTTAGAAAAGTTAGAAGTTCGTTTTGTCTTCATATTACATACGGATCTTTGGCTCTCGACATGGTCACAAATGGTCTTGAAACAATGTTTCTTTTCTTTTCCTCATTCCGAGCTTGGCGACGCATTGATATCGGATCAATATACGACGCACGTAAAGGTTTAAATTCCGTTTCAAAATATCCAGCCATCGACCCTGTCGATCGTTCTTTCGATGATTTGCTCATTATCTGTTTACCTTTGTACGCAGCTTCATTGAAATTTACTGATTAACAAACAAAATACACCTATATCGCTGCACTTAACAACACAAGACTTACTTTTCGACGCTTCTTTATACGGATCCTTAACTGTCACATATTCCATTTCTTTAAAGAGACCTATTCGATCCATATCTTCTTTTCCTGACGCCATGGCTGAATTGAATAGTAAACTATGTCAAGAAAGTGTCTTTGAATGTTAATTTTCGAAAAATAATGTTGCCATTATTCAAATGCTGTCAGGACAACAAACAAAGAGCAACTCTTCATTCCACATGCAGAGTGCGCCATGAATCAAGGTTTGCATTTTGAAGAATTTCAGTCGATATGTAAACAAGAAAATATCGTCTCGCACGTTTTTCAATTAACTTTTCGAATGTGATTTGATCATTGAACTTGCAAATTGATCAAGTGACACTTGACGTATTGTTACAATCGGCGGGTTTGGTTTGTGATCTAAATGAATATAATGAAGTCAATCAAATGGAATTAATATTCAATTATTTTCGTTTCTCATATATGTACGAGTTCTTTTGATCTGAATTTCATCATAGATTTCTGTTCAAAAACTAAATTTTTCTTTAGAAAATCGTTTTTCAAAAAACAATAGGTTGACATTGAAAGTACTTGAAGAATGATCGTAAACACAACTTTGGAGTGTTTTGTTTAAAGAAATTTTAACATCGGAGCAGTTGATAACAATTTTTGCTTATAAGACATTACCTTGCTTAACGTATATATGTTATCATTTCTATTTATACTGATATTTTGCTCTTTTATTCACTATTAACAAAAATGCAGATTATAAACTATTTCTTCTGTAAGTTAACTACAAAAATTCACTCTACCGAAAGCATAGCTTCAGCTTTCATTTTATTAGTGCTTCTCTCCTGTGTGTCCTATGGGTCGTCGATACTTATTAGCCCTTGTGCGGTATGGAATACAAATGGAATCACTGTAGCTGGCACTGGCCGACAGGGAAGTTCTGCTAGACAACTGTCGTATCCTCAAGGGATCTTTGTTCATGATAAAAGTAAACTTTTATACGTGTCCGATTCGTTCAATGGGCGTATTCAAGTATTTCCTCTCGACCGATCGACAACCAATGGTGTCACCCTGATATCAAAGTTACAACAAAACTTTAAAATCTATCTCGATAATGACGACGATTCTTTTCCAACTGTTTACATTGCAGTCAACGGCGGTAATCGTGTGGAAAAATGGACGAAGGGTGCGATGGACGGTGTGATAATAGGTGATACATGCAAAGGCTGTACGGGAGTTTGGTTAGACGCAGAGAAAAATGTTTATATGACAGAACATGATCGAAATCGTGTACTGAAATGGAATCGTCTGACGAACGAAACCTTGATAGTTGCCGGAGAAACGGATCAAAAAGGTCCAAGAGCTGATCATTTGAGTGAACCACAAGGAATTTATGTTGATAAGACGACTCAGGCATTATACATAGCAGATCTCACGAATCATCGTATTCAGAAATGGCCGAAAGGTGCCAAAGAAGGGGTAACTGTCGCTGGTTCGAGTGAAGGAGATCCGGGATCAGATGCGAAATCGTTGGACAGACCTTATGGTTTACGTTTTGATGAAGTAACCAAAACTCTTTATATCGTCGATTTATTAAACAATCGAATTCAACGTTGGAAACACGGAGCTACCGAGGGTGAAACTCTTGTTGGTGGCAATGGTATATCGGATGTTTTCATTTAACTTCGATATCCAATTGTTTTTATTCTAGGCCAAGGCGGTGCAGACAATCAGTTTTACCATCCAACTGATTTAGATTTCGACAGCGAAGGAAATCTTTATGTATCCGACGCTTGGAATCATCGTGTGCAGTTCTTTGCTTTGATTAATAATTCACCTTGCAGCACTCCGCTCCCAACAACAAGTAAGTTGAGTATTTGTAAGAAGTCGATCTTGATTTCCTCTTTCCATTGTGTTTAGCTTTCGTGAGTTCATCAATACGTCAGTAAGTAGCTCAAATTTTCATGATCAATTCATCTGATAGTTGTCTTCTAGATTACCAATCGACTTATTCTTGGCACTACTTCTTATTATCGTAGCGATGAACTTGTTTTGATTCCACTTTCTCTGAATAAAACTATCTTTCCCAAATGACTGTAAGCAATTTAACATTTGTTACACGGTTTCCGATGATATATGTACTTGATGCTTTTTTCTTTTTATCACACAAATATAATTTCTTTGATGGTTATTTCACGGCAATCACTGAAGGAGAGATAAAAAAAACGAAAATGCTTCATTTCCGAAAGATATTATCCGTGAAAAGTGTCAACGATTAAAGTTTTTTTTTCTGCATTGTATAAATGATTCTTATCAATTTGTTTCTATTATTATTCAAAGAAAAAAAAGAAGAAGAAAAGATTGTAAAACGCGAAGAAAAGAAAAGCATCCAAGATGCCCTTTAAAAATGACAGATAAATATTTTTCGAAAAAAAAAGTGAACAAATTGTTGCATACACACATAGCTACAAATAGAATAATTCTAATCATCGATTGTTGCTATATTCTGAGAGAAAGAGAGAGAGAGAAAGAGAAGAGAATCGATAGATCTAGTGTTCACACATAATTTTTTATGAAAAGGAAAACGAATCATGGAAAGAAAAACCGACTAAAAATGAGCGGAACACAAAACAAATTGTGATGTACTGATAGAAGTTTCGCAAGAGAACCAAAACAAAACATTGATGCAAACAGACACACTGTCATTCATTACAGATATGCGTTCTGGAATATATCAGAAGATGAAGTAACAAACAACAGCAAGAAGGAATGTTCAAGCACCAAAAAACGAAAACAAATGAACTACTGCTCAAACAGAAACAGAAGGGGGAAAGTTCGGAAGGAGAGTTCTATGTACAAAAAAAAACAAACAATGAATTCTTTGTAGCACGCCATCATTTTCATCAGCTTCTTGGAAGGTATAGAACAGAGAAATAAACAAACAAACAAACATATGCGCGTATCTTTTTTTCGTATCAAGAAGAAAAAAAGACGGTAATATCTGATCTGAGAGAAGAAGAACAAAAAACACACACACACATTTATCAATACACTTATTTATGAAACAATTTGTTTTTTCACATCATTCCATTCATCCTCAATACAAAGAAAACTTCGTTGCAATAATTCCATTTGTTGCATTAAAGAATTTTGCATTGCTAATGTTACGGCGAATTGTTGACGAAAAACAGTGAGACGTTGTTCGAACTTTTGGTTAGTTGACAACTGAAAATGAATGGAAAGAGAATGAACATGTCATCGATGAAGAAGAACTCTCTTCTTACCTGTTGTTGATCTTTGATATTTGCATTGTTTCCTGATGATTTTATAGCTGAAAAGGTCCGCGAAGAGAAATTCTCATTCAGCAATGGAAATTTGAATTTCTCTTGTTTACATTGATTTGATGAACCATTGGTTAGTAAAGATTGAATACTGTTCATTGCTAAAAGATTGGGACTTCCAGCTAAATTGTTCGATGGTAAATCATGTGTTGATAATGGAAGGTTTGTTGGATCGAACGCGGACAGTGCAAGCGATTTTTCCATTGAATTACTCGATGAATGAGAGTTGTTCAATGATGATGTTGCGGAATGATTCGACGAGGGCGGATGCATGGCACCCAAGAACTTCTTGCGATATTTTTTCACGATATTTTGGTATTTTCGATTGGCTGCTTGTTGAAGAAGAGTTGATTGTTGGTCTGTTGATTGATTTGTTGGTGGTGATGAATGATCAGGACTAATTAGAAACGAATTAGTTGTTGTTTTGTCTTCATTACCATTTGTAATTGCATTCGGTGTCGAGGAAGGTGTTGCATAACGATTACGTGCTAAGCGTAAAAATGGGAGACGTTCTTGTTTCGATATTAAATGATGTTTCTTTATTAAATGATCAGTTAAATTCAAAACCCAGGTGTCGCAACGTGGACATAGTAAGCGTTTTTTACCATCGACTGGTATATAATTCGCTGATTGTTGTTCAGTAATTGTTGTTATTGAGTTTGTCGGTGTTGGTGTCAGTGCTGGTTGATGGTTGCCATCGGATTCGTTGATAGGTGACGATGGACATGTGATCTGTTGGTTATTCGTATTAATACTTATTGGTGTTTGCTGAGGACTTTTATCCGGTGCACAGGATGGAGTGTTGGTTGGTGAACTTTCACTAACACTTGCTAATGAGGAATTATTGTTGTTATTTTGATCGGTATAAGCGAGTAAAGTGAGAATTTCTTGTCGGGCAAGGTTATGTGTAACAGCAAGATGATGGGAGAGACGAGAAAAGTTTGCTTCATTACAGATTGGACAAACTTTTCCGCGACGATAACCTGATGATTGCGAAGCCGAAAGTCTAGAAGAACAAAATAGACGATGCCGATATAGATATAGGGCGTGTTTGTTAACTTACGTCGGTTGATTATTTGTTGAACTTTTGTTTACTTCCTCATCGATAGTTAATGGCTGTTCTTGAAGATGTTCACTATCAGATGAGTTTTCATCGTAATTTCGATTAACAAATACACAGACAGGTTCGGATTTGACAGAATTCGTACTTAAATTCCAACAACCGTTTTCATTCAACATCGGAGTGGTACCATTGACAACAGATGGTGTTGACGTGATTTCAGATCGAAGATCAACTGGTGTTGTTGTTTCATTTTCGTCAGATAACTAAATAAAACAAAAGGACAATGAACCATTAAATTCTTATTTTTCCTCTATTTTCGTTTACGTCGTCTTCATCTTCTTCACTGCCGTATTGAGGATAGGTCGTTGGATACCCATTGTCATCATATTGTGCTAAATTTTCATTCGTTATAGAATCATCTCCATTGACACTTGTTTTTCGCAACATAAAACGTTGAAAATCATCGAGATTGTTCATTGAAGAATTATTTTCCATCATTCCATCGTCATCATCTTCATCGTCATTGATATCATCGACAAAAATAGCTCCACCTGTGTTCTCATCGGACGATAATTGCATCAGTTCATCATTACCATTAACCATGGATTCATTCATTCCATCTGGATCATCTTCACCATCGACTGAACGTTTAGCACGTTTACCCAAACGAATACTATTTGTTAAGATACGTGATATGGATGCTTTACTCAGTACACGATTCGATGTACGTTGTAAACGCATTTGTATTTGACCGATTGTGATTAAGGGGTGACGACGTTTCATTTCTCGTATCATTTCAGCTTCATCTTCAGTTATAAAACGAAGACGTGTACCAGCGCGTTGCTTAGCCGATACGCGACCCTCGTCGATGTACGTTCGAAGTATGCTTCGTGCTATACAAATAAAAATAATAAGTTACGATAAAATCAGATGTTATTTTTGACATCACCCATGACTCATGTGTCATCGGAAAAACATATGTTACAAATGAATCACCGAGTATATGTACTAGGGAAACCTTTCCTTTTTCATGTTCTTACCTGTTGATCGTTTGATATTGAGTTTTTTCGCCAAAGCTATAAAATCTTCACCTTTCTTGTATGTATCGATTAGTAAGCGTCGGTCAACATCACTAACGCGTACATATCGGCCACGGCGCTGATCAGCTAATTGTTGCTGAATATCCAATGGATTCATAATTAGTCCTATTTTATCTGCAAATATCGAACGAACAGGTTGCGTTGGAAATGAAATCGAAAAAAGGACAAGAGAGATTTCCCACTGAAAATTTTATACGAAAAATCAAGCGAAAAATACGATTGTTACCCTTTTTTCATCAACTTGCTATCGTCGAAATGCTCTTTCACATTTCGGTGTATGTGCAAATCGAAAAAAAAGAAAAAAAAGAGAGATAGCGTAGTTGAGGGTGACTTTAACTCTCGAGCATTCGTTCTGTTCCCTTTTTTTCTCGTCTATATATAAATGTATGTGTCTACATAAAGGCGAGCGTACTTCTATTGAAATTTTCATTGCATCGCGTTCTTTTCTTTTTTCTCTTCTATTTACTTTGTATACCTTCATTGAACGGACAAGAGACATTCGTTGTAGTAGTAAGGTTCGTTTTTCCCGCTTCATACCCGTTTGTTCCCTGATGTATAGATGTGTGTTCTTACCTCTTTTTCTCCTCCTTTGCCTTTCTCCTCTTTTAAATATATGTACACCTTTCTCTCGTCTCCATTTCATTCACCATCGAGCGAACATTAAAATGAGCGAAAGAACACAAGACGAATTTTTATATGTTGACGGTGGTGGTAGTAGTGGTCGAATGGACGATAGGCTTCAATGTGCTTTTACTATATCTAGATTCATCATTCTTTCTTTTCTCTCTAGACGTGCTCTTCGCATTTGAATACATGCGAATATAATACTTTTGCTTGCTCAAAGAAAATACAGTAAAAGAAAAAGAACGACGACGAATATATTGTTTGGTTTGTTAGGGTAAAATAAGAAAAGAAAAAAAAACGAAAGAATCCGAGAATGAAACTTTAACGGACGTTGATGTGACAGGACAAAACTAAGAAGTTGAGAGTTAACGGTCGAAAAGAAATGTGCACATCGAAAAGCAAACGTTTGCCATTCTAATTCGCATTTCGATTAAATTCTCAATTAGGAAATCTTACAAATATTCGAAGATTTCCAACAATCAACTAACGTGAATTATGAATACTGATGGCGTGTTCTTTCTGTGTGTATTTCGGAAAGTTCATGTTGAAAAACTTTCCATTGCATCATGTTAAACCA